TCCATTATCATGGAATTTCCTGTCAAATACTACAGCAAGATATGACTGTGAACTCTGTAAATATTTTTAAATGCTTAGGGTTTGGCTTTTTTTCAGAGAAACAGGCAGAAAAAATGTTGGTATAATCATCATTTCTGAATGGAGTTATCTTATTCTGTAGTCTTGTCAAAACAATATAAATACCAATTAGTTCAGTCCAGGTAGTGATTGGACAATGGGGTTTTAAACTAAAAGAGGAGAGGAAATAGTCTTTACTATGACTGGGGAGGCACTGGTACAAGCAACCCAGAGAAGTTGTAGATCCCCCATCCCTGGAAGTGTTCAAGACCAGGTTGAATGGGGCCCTGAACAGCCTGATCTAGTGGGTGGCATCCCTGCCCACAGCAGAAGGGGTTGGAACTAGATGTCCCTTCAAACCCAAGTTCATATCTTAATCTCAGAGATGTCTAAAAGAGTATTAAATTCACAAATGTATTTACCTTGCTTCATTTTCCAGCCAGTCCTTTATAAGTGAGGGTTTACTCACTTGCATTTGAATCCACATATTCAGCCCCTTCCTCGACTCAGTATTTTTGACAGTTGCTACATGCAATGTTAGATCTAAACTGGGCATACATTATTAAAATATCTGGGAACAATTCCTCCCTTCCTTTTTATTTCAGCAATATATCCTGTAGTTGAATGATTGTGTCATAGCATCAGCTATTACAGTTAAGAGAGAAGGAAAAGCCTACACTTTTAAAATTCCCACTGTCTTTATTTTTTGCTTATAACAAAGTTAACTGCTGAATGCAACTCATCAGGTGGTAGAAGGAAGACTGTCTATCTTGAGGAATTAATTTCTCTCTTTGGAATATGGTGTAGCCATGTTATCTGGTATATACTAATATATTACTAATATATTATAATTACTAATATATTGTAATTATAATATTGATTTTATGCTATGATTTTACTATAAGCAACTTCTGAAAGAACGGTTAGAAAAAGATCTGGAAAGTTGCAAAATTAATTAATTGCAAAACTAGAAGTTTTGCCCTTTGAAAAGTGACCTCAATGGGATGAAAACTTCCATTTCCTCCACTGTAAAAATCAAGGCAAGTAAGTGTTGGGTAGTGGACAGTCCTTACAATTCTGTATGTCAAGAATGAAAACTGGTTGTGTATTAAAGGTTTTCTTGAATTATCCTATAGACAAATCTTACAGAAGTTTGTTTATATTACTGCAAACAAGAAATTTTCAAGGAATCCTCACTTCCCATCTATTATATAAAACCTAAACTGCAACAGCAACTTTGCAATACACTTGCAGATCCTGGGTTTCGTATATATTTATTGCAAAGTTTAATGCTCCCTTCAGTTCTGGCACTTCAGCACACATCTGTTTGAGTTATTTACAAGCTTATACAGCTGTTTTCCTTAATTCCAAGCATGCTGTTGTTGATACTCTTTCTCAGCAAGTTGCAGGGAAAATTTTCACTGACCAAATGAGTCTCTTTTTTTGAGTTTAGCTTCTTGGTACAGGTTTTAAAGGTTTTAACTTAAAACCACAGGAAAATGTAGATCACTTTCTAAATGTTAAATAGACCGCTGAAATTGAGTAGTTTTGCAAAAAGATTAATGAACTGTTCCTGCAGATTTTCCAGTCAAAGATTTAATGTTAACAGACTTCTGGCAGTTCTTGTTAATGAAGGAATTCCCCAGTTAAAATTATAATTAATTTTAGAACAGCCTAATCTCACACAATTAGTGCATTTTGTTTGTCCTGAAATAACAGAACTGACTCCTTCATCAGCTATGCAATATATGCCTCTACAGAAGTAACTAACACCTGAACAGAAAACAGTGAAATTTTTAGAGCCCTTTTAATATCACACATTCCTTCATTAGAGCACATACAGCAGAGCAGCCTCGGTTGTACAAGGAGCCTTTTGATTACTGGAATTCAGACTGCGAGAAGAATCTTTGGCCCTTCTTGGGACAGTGAGAAGAGGGAGGAGATGTAATATCAATTTTATAGTGCATTAGTTGGAGCTAATGATGCTGGACGATGTGCTTCTCTCTTTGGTAGAGTTCCTATCCCTGTGTTGACTGACATTAACAGCACAATTCAATTGTCCCATTCCAAGTTGCTGGTGGCATTTAAGAAGCATTAGTGTGCTCATAACATCCACGTGGCAGATGCAGTGCGAGAGCTGTGCTTGGAGCTGCCTGCTGGATACCACAAGGAATGTTCAAGGGCATTATGTTTTGTGCCCTAGATGGTATTCTCACTAGATGCCTATATGTAGGCACCAAATAATTCTCACAGAAATGATTGTGAAGTGATCATACACTTGCTAATGCAAATGAAGCCCTTTTATAATTTCTTCTTTTACCAACTTGGAGAAACCAGCATGTGAAAATAGACATCTTTCAGTATAGGGAGAGTTAATTTATCTTGCTATTACAGATTTGTAGTCTATATTTGGTCTTAGAAGTAATATTCTGTTTTATAGTTTAAATATTATATATTTTTACAGTAAGCATGCTGAATTCAAATGTTTCAATGTAACATTTTCATCTTAGAAAAAATAATTTTTCTTCAACTATATGTTTATCTTAAGTTCTGAATTGGTTGCTGAACTTCTTCCTTATAATCTTTGTCTATTCCAGATTACAAGATGAAAACTTAATAAAAAGCCTCATATAATTATTTTAAGTAACTTGTGCTTGGATAGGTCTTACTACAAATCCTGAATTGATATTTCCATATGTGTTTAAGAACAGCTTTTAACTTGGACCAATGGAAATCATGTATTGTGTAACTGAGATATCTAAATTAGTGGTTTCTGAAGAAATATAGTATCCAATGATCAAATTGAGAAGACTTTTTCTGATGATTGCTTTTCTTTTTCTCTTGGGATCTTTTCCAGTGTAGTTTTCCCTCTGCTTCTACCTTTCCTTTTAAAAGAAATTTTCCATCTGAGGCTCTAAATTTCCGTGGTTGTGGATTTTAAAAATGCCTTGCCTCTCTGTACTAAGCTTCCTCAAAATGCTGATTTACCTCGTGATATTCACAACATTCAGGGAATGTTAGTTGTCTGTGATTTGCACTCTCCCTTTTCTTGGATGAGGCATTCCTCATCGGGTATGTCTGAAGAACTGGACCACCTGCTGCTCTGTGGCCATTTGAGCAGCTCACATGGGAGTGGTTGTCATAGACTCATGGAATATTCTGAGGAATATTGGAAGGGACCCACAAGGATCATCAAATCCAGCTCTTAAATGAACGACCTGTACAGGGATCAAACCCATGACCTTGGCATTATTAGCACCATGCTCTGTCCAGCTGAGCTAATCTTATGTCAGTCCAAGCAGTCCTTGGAAATGGGGTAACTGCAAGGGCTCTTGTAAAGTGCTGATGGGTAGAGCTGGGCTTTTAGAATGAAACAAGGTTCACCCCATTACAGACATTGTTTGTAGTGCTGGTACAGTACCTAGAGAATAAAACATTGCTGTCTTTAGACTTCCTAAAATTTTGGAAGTCTGAAGTTGGAAGGAATTTTTGATACCCTGTAGCACTCTTATTTTAAGCTGCCTCATCAACTGGACTGCTGAACCAAAGTTATCAAAAGTTGTTACTTACAGGATTCTTAGAAAGTGACAGACATTGACTCCTGGTGTCACAGATTCATTTTCCTCTATGAAATAAAATTTGTAACATAGTTAAGGTAATTCTACAGCTGTGAACAGGAATTCTGGCTCAAATGCAGAGGAGGGGAAGGAAAGGTTAGTTCAGGTGGGGTTTTTTGTTTTGGTTTTGGTTTTTTGGGGGGTTTTGGGGGGTTTTTTTGGTTTGGTTTGGGTTGGGTTGGGTTTTTTTTGCATATGTTACAGTATTCCAGTGAAAGCTCCTGGACTGGAACTCTCCAAATTAAAATCTGTTGTCCATAAGCACCTAGTTATTCCACGTAACATAAGGAAGGACTTCAATTGTGGTAGCAGAGCTGGGTATCTTTGCAGGCACTTTGGCACTTTGGCAAAGGTAATAAGGATTAAAACAAGGGTTAGGGGTTTTGGAGGGATTTTGGGCTTATATTCCCCCACATCTGGTTGAAAATGAGAGATTAGATGCAGGATCTTGAACACATTCATCATTAGGACAAGTCACCCTATAGCAATGTTTTTACATTTGAATAGTATTGTTGGGGATAAAGACTTTAATTTGTTTGAATTGCTAAGTTTGAGTTGTTTCCTAATTCTGTTTTTACTTTGCCTCTTATCTTTGTTTCTCTGCCCTATTTGACATTCTTTTGGAAACTGTCTACAAGGTGAATTTTTCTTTACTGAACTTAAATCCTTTTAAATAAATTCCGCTTGTTATAGGTCATCTGGGGGATTTTTTAGTGATATGGTGTATCACAATTCTTGAGAAACAGATTTCTAAACTCTCATTGTATATACTTTGCCCAAAAAAAAATCCCTCTGCAGACATTGTTTACTACCTTTATAGAATCTATCATTTTTTATAGTAAAAAAAAAAGAAAACCTTCATCATAACTTCAATAAATAGGTTGGTGGCTTGTAACAAAATCATTATACTTATTTCAAAAGCTTGAAGCTGTATAATTAGAAGTATTTCCAAAATAAATTCTTTCATAATGTCTGTTAACATAGAGTTTGAAAGGTTTTTTTCTGAAGCAGATAATAGAATCTGAGTGATTTCAGATGTCCCCAAGAAGCTGTCCAATGTATCAGTCTTGAAATTTGATATGTTAAAGATTAAAGTTGTTTTTATTAAGTATTTGACATCCTAGAAGTCTTTCTAAATGACCATTTTTGGAAATAGTAATTCATTTTTCCAATGTGCTCTTATTCTGTAATAGTTTGTTCCATTTTATAATCTGAAATCTTTTTGAAGGTGGGTTGAAACATAGAATACCAAGACATTTAAGACATCTGTGGAGGACTATGTGATTTCATGGTACTTGACTGTCAAATGTGTATTTATCTATTTAGGTTCAAACAAAGAAGGAAGAAACTTTGCCACCATCACATAGTCAAAACATTCCAACTTTTTATTTTCCTCGAGGATGTCCTAAGGAAAAAGTAAATATAGATGCTGTGATTGCCAAAATTGAGCAGACTTTTTCTCAATTTCCAAATGAGAGGGCAACGTTAGAAGACATGGGTAAGGTTGCAAAGGTGAGAACTTGCTGGCCATCTTCTTTTTGTACTGTACTCCTATGGAAAGGAAAGATGAGTTGTTCGTGCTTGGTTTTCTTGTATTGTGTGTTTCCATCCCTCACACATTAGTATTTAATGATATTCTACATTGTTGATAGCAGTTATGTGAAATTTTCTGCATTAACATTTGATATCATTCTGTATCAAATGACCTTATAAAAAGAAACAAAACATTAAACCAAAACTTGAACTACTTTTTTTTTTGTTGCATAAACAACCAGATACTAAAGAACAATATTCTATGTTGTTCTCTATTCCCTATTGACAAAGATAAGGCAAAAAGGCAAAAGCATTCCTAATATATGTTTTGTTTTCAGGTGTTCACACAGGTTGATTTTTTTTTTTCTCATTCTGCTAAACCTCCATTGTAAAGGCACTGGTAAAGACAGCATAGTTTGGTAACTTGAGATTATAGCTCTCAAGTTATTCCTGAAGAGCTACTTTAGAGTTATGGCAGAGTAACAAAATACTTGGCTTAGAAAGCAGCAAATAGTTTTAAACTTCTGTGTAAGTTTAAAGACAATAAACTAGTTAAAATGAACTTGAATTTTCATTTCGTTATATTGAATCAATGCTTGAAATCTCCCTGCAAGTCATGGTCTTGGTAATGAGTCTCAGGTTCTCATCCATGTTCCTGTCACTTTGCCCAGGGTCTAGAAAATAGAAACCATGACTGCTCACAAGAGCAGGACTGGGGCTTTGCCTCACCAAAACATTTTTACTACTAAGCTGAGTGATAGGATCCCTGTCTTCCACAGGTCCTTCCAACACAGAAGCGGGGAGGTAGGGAAGAGACCCTTCTCTCTCAGCAAGGAAGCTGAAAGGGTCTAGTCACCCATAATTCAGTGATGAAAGACACTTCCTGGAGAATACTGTCTGAGGATAGTATTTATCAAAAACATTTATTTTAATTTGTTTAAAGTACTAGTTAAACTATTGCATGAGAGGTAATTGTACTTTTGCTCCAGTGACCTTACACATCATGCAGTATTCACAGTAGTTTTGGAGATCCTTGGGGATGCCAGCATGTCTGACTGCTCCCAGCTGGAGCCAGTTTTAGGCAAATTGGGCTCTTGGCTGTTACTGCTGGGATGCTTGGCCTTCAGGTGCATGTGGTCACACTCGAATGTTGAGTACCCTAAATAAAGCAAGATGCTGCTGCTCAGGGCAGGCTGGCCTGCTACTTAAAATTGGATAGAGGATGTGTAATACATGTGCAAAGGATGCAGATGAGTTGAGCCAGACATATGTCAATCTGCACCAGTTCAGAAGGTCTGTAAGTGTGCTGTCTTGAGTTTAGCTTAAAGATATCCAGCTCCTGAGTGGAGCTTAAGATGGACTCTGTTCAGCTGCTTGGAGCATGGACAGACACGTGACTCACTGCTTTAGTCTATTAGGAATGCTACCAGTTGCCCTGTGATTTGCTCCAGTTGCTTTAAATGGATTATTTCAGAAGGTGATGTTGGTTTCATAAACTTTTTTTTTAAAAGTCTCTTCCCTAATGCTTTCTTCTTAACATTTGTAATTTTTGAAGGATCTATAAATAAAAGAGTAGCCCTCAGATAAGCAATCAATAAACTGACTTGATGTGTACTTTAATTGTAGGCTTGTGAATGCCCACTCTACTGGAAAGGTCCTTTGTTTTATTGTGCTGGAGGTGAACGAACAGGATACGTGTCAGTTCATAAATTTGTTGCAATGTGGCGGAAGTGAGTAGATTACTTTTTTTAGAAGTACTGCATTTTTTTTCATTGAAATGTGATATTTTAAGCTCTGAATGTGATCCTGTCTTGTAAAGGGGAATAAAACACTTTCCCATAATCAGCTATTGTCAGCAAGCTTGTTCATGGGAAAATGTAACTCACTAATACTTGAATATACACAAATCTTCATTTACAGGGTTTATAGATTTTAAAATAAAATAAATGGATAAATGACTGACAGTTCATGAGAAGTGAAAACCATGGCCCTTACTTGTAAATGCCAATTCTGAACATAGTGCTTTTAATTTTCAGTTATTTTCTAATTCTAACTTTAAATTGCCCTTTCATGTAATTGATTACATGGTGTACCCACCCCATTTAACATAAATTTAAGAGATATTACTGCTTTGGTAAGTTCACTTGGAGCATGGTTTGACATTTGTAATGAACTTTTGAATAAATATTGTTTCATAGGCCTTGATCTAGGTACCTAATGAGGTAGCATGAGCAATTTTCTGTGTAGAATACTAAATGGAAATATTTACATTTCAGAGTACTTCAGACCTGCTATGATGATGCTGCAAAGTTTGTTCACCTTCTAATGAACCCTGGATGTAACTACTTGGTGCAAGAAGACTTCATTCCTTTTTTACAAGTAAGTTGCAACTGAAATTATTTCTAGGAACACAACAAAATTATGAACTGGCAAAGCCCTGAGTTGTTTGAACTAAACATACTTTTTCATGATCATCATTAAAGTTTATTGATAATATTTAGTGCAACTGACTTTGCATGATCCACTAAGATGCTAGTGAGTTGTTTTACAGTTAATAAGTTTTGTATAAGATGAGGTGTTCTTTAAGCACCATGGTAAGATTTAAAATCAATTGTAGGAATAACATATGTATTGGAATCTTATGTTTCATAAGGCAGTTAAAGTTACTTAAGTCAGGGTAGCCCTTTGGAGGGCAAAGGAGAAGTGGGGTATGAATTCAAAACCTAGTAAATCTTTGTTGGAAGAGCAGCAAACACCACCTATAGAAATGACTGAATAAAAATTGAATTGGCTTTACTGAATCATAGCCACAAAATTACAAGCTATGACAGTCAGCAGTGTTCAAAATCCTCAATCTACCTAAAATATAGGAAAAAATCCTACAATATTTCTAAAATAGGAAAGCTTTTGTTTATCTGATTTATTTAAAAGATAATTTTATTTTTAAAAAGGTTTGTAATGTGATTTGTCTGAAGCCTTGGTGAAAACGAAGTTATCAGTAACGATTGTGATAGTTAATTTGAACTGTTTTGGTTAAGGAAGCAGGTGTGCTATTCTTTGCTAATTGTCTAATATGGTCACTAATTAATACTCTTTGGGATATTGTTATTCCATTTTTTTTTTGTAGGATGTGGTGAATAGTCATCCAGGCCTTTCATTTTTAAAAGAAGCATCTGAATTCCATTCTCGGTATATTACAACAGTAAGTGATTTGTATCTGGAAGACCTATATTTTGGTTAACTAAGAAAATCAAAATTAAGATTAGTCAATATGTCTAAGTATCTTTGTCCTTTGGGAAGAGTAGTGTTACAGCAGGCTGTCAGTCTTCATTTCCACATAACTAGCAATTTTGTGGAAAAAAAGTCTTTCTTAGGCATGATAGTTCTTCTCAACATTTTTAAGGAATTGCTGAATTTAATACTAGTAAGAGAAGCAGTGAATTGTAATAGTGTTGGAGAAGTTAATGAGCATTAAATGAAGAGCAGGCTGTTACCTTAAACACTTGATTGTGGCTGTAGACTGCATTCATTAGAATCCTAACCTTAGTCTGGGATTAATTAAATGAAATCTTCAATGAAACATCTATATTAATATGATTATGTTCAGTATTAAGTGAAATAATGATAATATTGAAGTTGCTTGCCAGTCTTCTCCTCTGGGGACTTTTCTTCCAAGGAAGGTTCTTATAAATGAAAAGTTTCATTCCTGTCTTCCCAGGGTTACGTGACTGAAGTATTTGTTCTGTACCCAAGGGAAAAATCAGTGATATTAAATTTTCTCAACTGTAGACTAGACAGTCAATTCCACTGAAGTCTCAAAAGATTAAAATTCTTCAAAATGACATTCAGTTCACTTTCTTTGTGCATATGAAAACTAGCTTAATGAATATGCTCCAACAAAAAAAGCCATGCAGTGTTGATCATCTTTTATACATCTCATACTTTGACCCAGGTTAAAATTGTGGAAGGTTTTTTTTGAGAGCATTTGGGTTTTGTTCATTACATCCTTTTTACAGAGACTTGCTGGCCTATCAAGTATGTCCTGCTGCATTAGGTTTTGCTTCTTGTTATAATGATTACCTGAGCTCACAGAACTTTCTTGTCAGTGATTGAAGGAATTGTTCTCCCTGTGAGTTGTTTTGTTTCTTGAAGGATTCTTGGTTGTGTTAAAGCCTGCTCGGGTTAAAATTGTGAAAGCTTGCTGCCTGACCTGAAGAACACTAGGAAAGAAAAGGTCCTGCCATGTCCAGTTACTTTTCTTTGGAGGAACAGCTTTTGAGTAGGTCTGAGTCTAGCAATATTGAATAAATTATTACTGGAAGTATTTTATTAACAACATTTAATGTAGTCTTCAACAGAAATTGGTGTTTAATCAAAAAATTGGTATTAAATCAGAACGTAAACTAGTATGAAAGCATCAACAATATTTGGAATGCCATTCTGCAGATTAAGACATGACAGGAGCACTTTGCCATTTTCTTATTGTACCCTAGGATTGCATAACTGTTCACAGAATCACTGAATATTTTGAGGTGGAAGGGACCCAAAAGGATGGAGCGCAACTCTTAAGTGAATGATCCATACAGGGATCACACCCACAACCTTGGCATTATTTGCACCATGCTTTGACCAACTGAGCTTGTTACACAGTCTTCTAAAATTGTGTCCTGCAAGTTATTAATGATAATAATAGATTATTTTACCTATGATGAAAGAAGCCATTTCATACCTGTTCAGTCAGCTTAACCTTGCTACATGAAGTTTTATCTAAAGGATACGTCCAGTTGCAAACCAGATGAGCCATTCTTCTGCTGGGTTTTTTGTATATACATACATATATGTATGTGTGTGTGCATATGCATTACATACATCTCTTTAGCACATGTTGTGTGAGCCATAAAAGCAATCTGTTCTATCGGCTAAGTTATGTTATAGGTTTGTTGGTCAGTCTAGTTACATATGGCCAAGATAGAGCTGAAATAAGTTTAAAATGTTTGCTGTGACAAATGAGATACTACTTTTATTCTGCCACGATGTTAGGTGCATACCTGAACTATGAGTTCTTGAAGTTGTAGTCTCTGTATTGCACCATTTCTTCTCCGTTTGGACAAAGCACTCTGCAGAATAGTAAAGGCAATTCTCTGACAATTTGCTTATACTCTGCATCAGTTTACTTTAGAAAACAGTTTAAGTCTGTTCCCAGTTGTCTTTACCAAACACTCAATTTTGTTTTTATTTTTAGACCAGTTAAATGTATAACAGATGAGATAATGACATGCAGAAGGATTAAGTTGCAAAGCTAAGGCAAAAACCTTTTTAGAAAAAATTGCTTTGTAGTATAAGCCAAAAATGGACCTTCCATAAATTCACAATTAGTATTAAGTTAATTAAGTTTCAGAAGCAGGATAATCTATTCTTCTGTCTGGAATCATTGAGCCAGCTGTTCTTGTTCATAATAAGCACTGAGGAGCTTGCTGCTCTACAGTTTAAGTTTTCTTTCAAAACTTCATCAGTACATTATTCTTCCATTTGTTATTTAAAAATTATTGGTTAGTTTAAACTATTTATTTACTGCAATTTATATTGGAAAAAAAAGAGCTTAGCCTGTAGTTGGGAGGACATATTAACTGCGGGAAAGGAGTTCCAAACAAGAGGGGATTTTAATTAGTAACTGCTCTCTTGCAAATGAAACACTACACATGCAATACTGAGTCTTGCCAATTAGCAGGTATAATCAATCACCAGTTGAGCAGTTATAATTCATAATATGCTTAGGGGTTTTTTTTGGTTTTTTGGGGGGGTTTTAAGTTTTTTGTTTGTTTAGTGGTGAATGATTGACTTGAAATGTACATCTGGTTGTCTTAAGTCAAACTAACTGAGGTGAATACTGAATTCAGTTAAGTAGCAGAAAAAACATATTTTAAAGTCTTATTTAAAGTCTTTAATTCGTAAACTAAATCCAAGAAAATTATAATGAATGCATGAGTTGCCTAAAATAGCCCTAGAACCATTAGTTTGGAAAAGACCTGTAAGACAATTGAATTGATGTATGTGTAAAATTTATTTAAACAAAAGTGTTGGGTACTCATGGATGCATTTGTTTCTAGTTCCAGTATCAGTCATGGCACAAGAACTAGTCATCTTATCATCTTTCCTGCACAGATTTTTGTTGTTTTTTTTTTTAATTCACTTGGAAAATATTAATGTACTACTTTTAATGCTATTAATAGGATTTTTTTTCCAAGGAATTTCCAAATAGAATGAAGTTAATTGGGGAAAAACATTCTCTTTGCACCCGCAGGAAGTATTTTTGTCAGATGTAGATTTGTTGTTTGTAGACTTCAGAAGTAGCAACATCTGCTGTACTCTGATCCTTAAACAGTCCCAATTCTATTTCTGTAAATTCAATTATGAAGTAAAAAAGTCTTATAACAAATGCAGCTCTTTAATATGAAGTAATAAGATACATTAATAGGTTCATTAGATTATACCCTGTAGATCTGGAAGACTTGAGGTGGTAAAATCACAAAAATACATATTTTGGATAGCACATGAATATTCTGCACCATTACTGAGTGAAATATAGGTACTGCAGCATTGAAATAAAACTTATCTAGATGAGGTTAGATGTAGATTTAGAAATTGTTTGAATAGTGGATGATATGACACAAGGGAAGTTCTGACTAATGAGAAAATAGAAATAGGGGAAAGACAGAGCTCTCTAATGCAGCTGCACTAAAACATCTTTAAGAAATATTTGGATGGGTATTTAATTACCATAGCTAAAGTTTCTTTCCATTTTCTGTTTCTTGCAGGTCATACAGAGAATATTTTATACAGTAAATAGGTCCTGGTCAGGGAAAATAACTTGTAATGAGCTTAGGAAAAGCAACTTTTTGCAGGTACGTAATATCTAAAACTTTGCAGGACAGATATTTCTTAGAAGTTTTAAAACTGCATTAACTAAAGGCTTAAGGGAATAACATAAATAGCATTTCTTCCTTTTCCAAAAGGTAATGAAGACCCAATTGCATTAATTCTCATACATCCAGAGTATGTTTAAATGTAACTTTTTGTATCTAGAGCTGTATACATGTAGATGTGTCTAGCAGAAGTTGGGCCGATCTACTTATTCTTCTGTGAATGCATTCATTTTCTGCTGTGTGTTTGGTTTCACTGTCACACTGTATGATGTGCATTGTCCCTGAAAACAAAAATTGTTCCACTGAAATAGCATTAGATATTAACTTGGTTGTGAGAACTCAGATCATTCAACCAATAAATGTCTTACAAACTCTTTATTGTGTTCTGTTTATCCTTCTGATAATAGAATGTGGCATTATTGGAAGAGGAAGCTGATATTAACCAGCTGACAGAATACTTCTCATATGAACACTTTTATGTTATCTATTGCAAATTTTGGGAGCTGGATACAGACCATGACCTCTATATTGATCGGAAGGATTTAGCTCGACATAATGATTATGGTATGACAAATGGAGCACCTTTGTTTACATGTATTAAGTGACTGTAAACTTTGAGCTGAGGAAGTGGTTTAATGCCAAGACCAGTTTCATGAGTCTGTTGGTGTAACTGGTCCTGCTGAGTCAGTGAACTAAATCAGGACAAGTCATCTGTGATGCTACTTTGCATCTACAAATACCACATTTGAAAAATTCTGAATTTGAATTCTGATCTTGACAAAGAAGTAGAGCAAATATCACTTAGATGTTGGTGTATTATAAATAGTTTTATTTGGCAATTTTGGGTTATCTTGGACACAATCCATTTTACTGATATTATTCAAGTAGCATTATTTTTATGGCAAGATATGGAAATAATAGAAAAGGGAAACTTCAGGTACTTGGCTTATTTTGGAGTTTTGCTAACTTAGCTCAGTGTGTTTTGCTTTAATGCTGTTTAGCACTAGTTAGCAGATTTACATTTGCTGCATGTATAATATGCAATGACCATGATTCTGTAGTCTTGCAGGTTTGTTCCTATTTTAAGTATTCTTGTAGCTTGTATGGAACTGTTGGCTCTTTTTAGGTGCCTCATGTCCATCTTAACAGTGTTCCTTTCAGGACTGGAAAGCTTACTTAAGCACAAAGTAATTATGGAGTATTACCCCACGTTAAAAAGGGTGAACACAATTCTGATTGCTTCTGAAAATTTGCCTGCTAAAGTTTGACTATGCTTTAGGACAGTGAGAAAGGAAAACTGCTTTCATTTGAGTGGCTGCACTACTAAGTTAGTACATTTTAGAAAGAAAGCACAACTAATACAGTGCCACCTTCATTGAATATCCTTTACAAAGGTAGTGTTTAGTTCAGACATGTCTCTAAAATCCCTGAAATGGTTTCAAAATAGAAGCATAGGTCAAAACCATGTCAAAAATAGACCCCTCTCAGAATCAGTAAGGTATGTTTATTATGTGTGATTGTGCCAGTTCTGTTTTGGCTCTTTGCCAAGGTCATGTAAAACTCAATGCCACTGGAAAACATTATTTACCTGTCAAAGAACTGAGAAATGCAGTTTTATTAATCAGCAAGTTTTATTACTTGTATTGCAACTTTATTACTATTTCTGCATTAAGTTTGGATTCAAAGCTGGGTAGTTGTAGTTTTGCTTTGGAGACTGTGTTAAGTGATCCTCTCTAAAAGGACTTAAAGGGATTAATGAGCACTACACTTGATCTTTCTCACTGATCTTTAAGAGGAGAGTTCCAGTAAACTCTTCAACAACACAATACAAAGCAAAAATAACCTGCATACAGTTGACACTGTTTCAATCTTTTATTCACAGCAATTTCAAATAGGATGATAGAGCGCATCTTCTCAGGAGCAGTAACAAGGTACTTCTTTTGTATGCTGATCTAAATCACATTTAATTTTTGCCTCTTAAATTGTGTGGTATTCCAAGGGAAAAAGATGGCTCCCCCTCACAAAGGAGCAGTGAATTTCAAGATTAGTATCGTAATTTAAACTCTAGTAGTACTAGAGTGGTCTTGGAACCTTTGGCACAGTTCAAGTTCTTCACTCTCTTTGCCCATATGATCATGGGTCACTGGATATTGTATGATTTAGCAGGACTGGGAATGAAGAAGGAAGAAATGCTAGCATCATTCTTTTTCCATCCCTCAAACCTGTAAAATGTTCAAGGAGAACTGAGCTTTTAAGTACTAAATGTAAAATCAATGCTTATTGCATCAATAAATTTACAAAAATGCCTCCAGTTGAATTAGTTCACATTTTTGACAGTCATTCTTCATGTCTCCCCTTGGGATTGACTTTCTTTTTTTTGTATTTATGGCATTTTATTAATTTTTGAAATGTTTTCTAGCACAGTATCTGAGATAGAAAGCAACTGATAAACAAAAGTAAAAGCTGAAATGAGAGACTTAGCAGGACTATGTCTAGAGCTTACTCCTTTATCTGAGTTTCTTGTGCAAGACAAAACATATATCATATTTTCCCACACATCTTGAAGATAAAACATCAAAAAATTAATTTCATTATTGAAATGTAGTATGTCTAGGAACTGCCTACCTGACTTTTTACTACACAGGTTGACTATGTGCAGCTTACTTGGTTGCTGCAGTTATGAGAGTAGAAACTCTCATATGTTCTTGCCATGGACACTTCCTGAATATTTTAATTTCATTTTTATCTTCATATTTTCATTCAAAAACTTTTAGCTAGTGGAGTTCTGTAAAGATTTTAAGTTCTCATCACTTCTACCTGAATAGAAATTTTAAAAAGCATATGTATTTGTATATAATATACCAGCAAAAAATCTTTGGGATGGCTCTTCTGTTAACTATTAAGCACCTTATGAACACTGGATCATTTAGGAGTAAACAGTTAATACCAACAAGGAAAATAATTCTTAATTTTGGTCAGTACAAGCTAGGTGTTCTAAAATAAATTTTCTGTCTTTTTCCTCATTGGCCTCCAAGAGGTAGAAAAGCACAAAAAGATGGGAAGATTAGCTATGCTGATTTTGTCTGGTTTTTGATATCTGAAGAGGACAAGAAAACACCAACTAGGTAAGAATGAATTTGTTTCAGCAGGAATAAAGAACGACTTTCTTTTCCCAGTCCTTAAACGGGGACCACTGATGAACAGCTGCAACTCTAATGAGAAGCTAAACTATAAAACATGAGTGGAAAACTGGCCCAGTTTTTTGCATCATCCTTGTTTATCAGTGTCTCCTGTTGTTGTAGCTGTAGAAGTCTAATTTAATGACTTTTGAGAGGCTAATTTAATGTTATTGTTTCGTAAGTTGTGTGTGGCCTATTTATGAACAGGGCCATATGTTAAAGATGTTGCAGCTGTTTCATGATGCCAGTGACTTCAGGAAGCTGTGCAGCTACTATCAGCTGTATGGTACTGATAAGGAACCTATCATGTCATATGTCACTAGCTTGTGCAATATGGGAACATACCCAAAATACCAGTGTTTTCATGTACAATTCAATTTTTCATTGTCTCCCTTGATTTTTTTTTAACGTAAAACCATGTGTTTTAGTCTTCTCCTTCACACCATTAACAAATGTGTTTTCAAATGCAATGATGGATGACGTAGCAAATACCAGCAACTCTTACAGTAGGTGGTGTTCAATGACTTTCCATGGATTAGTGGAATGTACCCTTAAGTCTAGTTTTTAGTATTGCCTTTGAAAAAGGCAACATGAATTCTTGAAATTCTGTAGTAAGTTTGTCTCTTTGCTGTTAATGACTGAATTTCAGCATTGAATACTGGTTCCGCTGCATGGATCTTGATGGGGATGGTGCTTTGTCTATGTATGAATTGGAATATTTTTATGAAGAACAATGCCAAAAATTAGATAACATGGCCATAGAACCTTTGCCCTTTGAAGACTGTCTGTGCCAGATGCTGGACCTTGTAAAGCCACAACATGAAGGTAATAAACTCCTTTTTCATCTTTAACTTCTGTTTCTCTGGATTTAGGAGTTAGTGCAGCCTTAAGAGCACTCGGTATCAGTGGAATGAAGTCTTAGGCCAACAATGTGTAATGCATGGGAGCTAGGGGGCATTAAAAATGAAGTGAGCTAAGCTCTGAGAAGCACGTTTATGTTATGTGGTTGCTCACAATCCCCTCCTCAAATACTACACCTCAGTAGTTCCCTTCCACTCTTATGTTATGCTTCCGAAAGGCGTTTATAATATTTCTGTTCTGCATTTTAAATGAAACAAGATTAATGTATCTCCTCTATGTCATGAGGATGATAAAAGAAGGCTATTGAACACAACCAAGATGAGTTTATTCAGGGTAACAAAAATTAAAGCCAATTGAGAAGGGTTGTTTTGTTGGGTTTTTTTAGTAAAAACTGAATTATGTTTAAAAGGTGGATTAAGAAAAAAATCTGTTTTTCTAATACAAAAGACTAGCAGCATAAACTGATGTTTCACTTTGTAGCCTTGAAACAAAAGAAGACACTTGCATAAGGTTATCACTAAACTGTGATACAGTTTCTATAGAATGCTCTGTGTGCTAAAAAGCAAACTTTAATTTCTGGAGACCTGAATTAATTACTTAAATTTTACTCCTGTTTTGTTGGTGTTTGAGACAGTGCTTGGCATCTACATTAGTATTACATGTCTAAGCTCCCATTGCAATAAATGGAAACTGGAGAGCAAATCAATGAACCAAATATAGGAGTCTAACTTAAACTGGGAGCTTATGTAACTAGGATTCAAATCATTTGCTTGCTTGTGGAGAGCTGCTGCCACTGGAAATGGCACAGTGCATCAGACATCTGTGTGGGTCTGACAGATACAGCACAGGTGCCACGGGGGATTTGTGCCCTTCTGGAGCACCAGTGACGAGCCAGGCAGAACACACTGGGGCCCTTCATGACAGATGCAAGCGTGGCAACCATGTACAAACCGGATTTGGATTTTGCTTCCCTGTGATGTCCTTGAGTTACACTTTGTTAGAGGCTGGGACAGTAAGCTAAGGAAGTACTGTTCTAGTCTGGCTTTTTTTCAACTCTTCCATAACATCTTCAGTTAGCTCCTATTTGATTAACAATGGAAGACTGTCTGTATTCCAGGTGAATCAATAAAGGGGAGTTTTAAGGATAGTCATCTGTCTTCACTTGTGTATCTCGTATTTTTTAGCCTTTCTGCAGAAACTTCAATATTCAGCTTTGAAATAGGGTAACATTTCTGAGCAACCTGACAAATACTTCTAAAGCTTAACACATCCATTGATTGGAGTCTTTAAAGTATCACACTGTAAAAATCAAACAAAACACCTCTAAGCATTTGGCTTTCCTCTCAAGCAGTAAATATTGATCCGACTGGACAAGAGTGGCAACCCTGACTCTATGAAAAATTCATCTGTATGAAGCATAGTCACACACTGTCATCTCTGTCATACATTTGTCTGCTCAAGTCAAGGAAGAGAGAGGGCTGCTGCCATAGGAGATTCCTACCTGCTACCCAAGCACTCCCTGGGAAGGAATGGCTAACTCACTGGAGACTTCTATCTGTTGAGGAAACTTAAACAAATACCTTAAACGATTTTTACTAGCTGAGGGAGGTAGACTGCATCTCACTTCAACATACTGACAGGCTGTGGGATATGACAACCACAGCAAGGAAAAAAATCTGAACCATTTCAAAGTTTTGAACGCTTTGAAGGACACATCTCTACTTGTGTATTTCATCTGTTTGCATCTCTCTCATTGCATTGAGGATCAGTGAAAAATGTTGCTAAGCAGTGATGACTGAGTAATGATAATGTACCTTTTGATTACTCCACTTTTGAGAAAGGATAACTTCAGCTCTAATAACTTTAATAATCTTATCTCATAATCTTCTTTACAGGAAAAATTACTCTGCATGATTTAAAGCGATGTAAGTTGACAAATGTGTTCTTTGATACTTTTTTCAACATTGAAAAATACCTTGACCATGAACAGAAGGATCAGTTTTCTATGTTACGGGTGAGTATTGAAGCTTTAAAAGTCTTTATAGCTACGTGCTTAGCAATTAATACTGTTTTAATTAATTAATACTGTTTTGTGTACCATGCAACATGATTGCTTAGGATGGTGAAGGTGAAAGTCAAGAGGTCTCTGACTGGGAGAAATACGCTGCTGAAGAGTATGATATCTTGGTAGCAGAAGAGGCAGCAAGTGACCAGTGGAATGACGGGTAAGAATGTAGCAGGAGAGCTGATATGAATCCTCTCTACTAAAGTACAGCCTCATCACCACTATCACTCATTTTAAAAAAATAAACACATCCTTCTCAAAAATGTGTGATTAATGGTGTATGAGACTATCAAGTACACATATGTAAGCCAAAATTCTTATTCTAGTATATGCATCTCTTTTTACAAGCCCTTATTTTTAAATTTGTAACTTGGCGAATTGAACCTTCAGATGACTTTTGTTTTCTGTTTAAATCGGTGGTGAACTCATGGGAGAAAACCAAGGTGCTGCTCTATTTTAGTGTTCATAGTGGATTCTTAGTATTTAACTCTACTTTGCCCTATGTCTTTCTCTGAAAGAGCAGCTGATAAGCACATAATGCCTTTATAAAGCAGTTTTAAAGAACAAGAACTGCAGTATCTAAAGCTCATTCTCTGCACAGTCTTGTTAAGTAGACAGAAATAAAAATATGTGATGAAATTCAGTAGTGGTTGGGAAGACATACATGAACCTGAGTCACCCTACCCAGGAAATGGTCAGTTTTTTAATCTGCTACCATAAATCTCCACTGAGACTTTGTGAGTTTTTTAAAAGCTATGAATTATAGATTGATCCCATCTAAAGTGTTGAAGCTAACCTTTTTAAATATCAGCCTTCACTGGCTTGCATTAGTTAAACTTATATTTCATTATCCATCTATTCCTCTGCATCAGCAGCAGGTGGTTATCAATAATTTCTGGGTTAACACCTGGGTTTTGCTTTCCAGCATCTGCTTAAAAGTACAGTTGCTATCAGTTCTTGGTGCTCATGCACATGTCAGTAAGACCCTCAATCCAGTATTCCTTCTCTTTTATCGTACCTACTGCAGCTGTATTTCGTTCCTCTTAACTGAGCCTCACTTCAGCTTTCTTGAAAAGAACTTGAGAGGTTTCTGGCAAGTACTTAAAAGTCTTGCATTTCACCATTTCTAGCCTATAAATACTCCACTGGAGCAGTGTGTGCTTTGAATCCTTTCAGCAGAGCTGCATTTCACACTGGAAAGTTCAGCATGTGATAGGAGAGTAAGCTATCTTAAATTCAGGGAATTATTACAGAACCCTGGTGCTGTTCTGGTTATGTTTCTTTATTATAAAATATTGTGATCTATATTCTTCCTGCAATTGCCTTGTTAGTGTTCCAATATTCAGGCACTTCCTGGCATAGTTAGACTCTTTAATTATCCCTTTTTTTTTTTTTTTTTTTTTTTTGTCTGCTTCTAGGTATGAAGCAGAACTGAATCCTGTAGACCATCAGAAGGCCAGTGTTCTAAAGTATCAAATGGAGAAAAGACCATTTTTTGAAATGCCTTCCCATCTGGCTGATGTAGACTTGGATGAATATGACTATGATGAGGATTTTGAATAGAGGTTACTCATGGTCAGCACTTGCAGAAGAGAAGGGACAGTCTGCAGCAGGTCTGCTACACACTGATACTTTCTAGGAAGTCAGTTTAGTTTTGTGCTAAAAATATCTAATCACTACACTACCTTTTAAGTAAAAGAAGTGCATTTATATGAAATGATGAAATTTTTGTATTTATTCAATAGTTTATCGTTTGTAAAATAGATTAAAATATTTATTTTCAGATGTTGCATAATTCCTTTTTGGAAGAATAACAATATTTGACTTAATAGAAAAGTAATCTACTGTTTTTAAGAGAACTGTATAATTATCTCGGTTGATGTGTGGTTCACTGACCATCTCCATCTCACCTGTGAACAGGTATTTCTGTCCTGGTGTGGGAGGTAAGGAGACAATTTACACCTGCAGTGTGCTCATGCTCACAGACAGCCCTCTTTCAGGTTTTATGCCTTGGCAAGGAAGAGATGTGACAATGAGTGCACAGTTCAGCACTCATTTACAAGCAGAGTTTTGTCTGACAAGCTATGCATATTAGAATACCCTAAAGTGAACACCCAAGACAAGTTGTTTTTCTTCTCTGTGTAGTCCTTCTTTGCCCCAGCTTTAATTTTGCATGCCCTTTTAAACTTCAGTCTTTTCATTTATGTTAATCATAAAAAGGTTATTTAACAATGAATTCTGAGCATTCATACTTGATCCAAAATGTGTGTGTTAATTCATGCAGAAGGAACCAATTTTTTTTTTAACCCTCTGTATAAATGTTACTTGATCAGTGATGTGCACTAATCTGTTGTGGGCATTCAGTGCTTTTGTCTGTCCTCCCCTTTGCTTGTTTGCTATTGACACATTCCATGGATATTCATCAGTGTCACAGCAGCTTGAAATTGTTGCCTCACTCTTAACTGTTAAACAGGTTTTGTTGGGAAAAAATGTACAAAAAGATGTAAGTTATTTTTTTGGTTGCAGTGTAGATCTTTTAAAATGTTTTAAAAAACCTGTTTGTATTTTCAAATAAAGATTTTCATACATGTAATTTAACAGTTCTAATTCTTACAAACTGCACACAATTCATGTCTTACTAATAAAGAACCACTCAGATAGGATGTGTTACACAGGTATGCAGTCTCATTGGGTAATTACAACAAGCTGCATATGCAAAGCAATCAGCCCTCTAGCAGGTTTTTCTTCATCCAAAAGAGAGTATTTGATGAGCAGCTGGGAGAAACCTGTTGTGCTCAACTCCTCACACCAGCTCCTGCACAAATCTACACACCTGTATATCAAGAAACTCATTGCCGAGGTGCTGGTGGACCTTACTGAGGGAAACTCAAGTAATTGTAATACCATTTGAAGGATTTTGGTTAATTATTCCAGTTTTAATACAGACTCACCAATGTCAAATTTCTCCAGGCTTGGCTGGATACCTTTCACTAACTGCCCATGGTCTGGGGCTTTTAAACAGCACAGATACACTGAGCATTTCTGCTAAGCTCTGTTCCCTCAGGGAAAGAATGACCAACTGGCTTTGCCGCACATGGTCCTGAACATCTGTTCCACTGCACGAGATGCATCTCCCTACCCTAAAACTTTTCTCAAGAAGGGGGCTTGTAACTGGGCAGCAAACAGCCACAGGCCTTCCCAGCATGCAGGGACACATCTCTGTCACACAGCACTATGGTGCAGGGTCAATCTCTTCTGCAGAGCCTGTAGCTGTTGTTGCCACTTTGTGTTTAACAAAGTGCCTGTTAAATCCTGCTCTCTACTATACTTGTGCTAACCAAGTCCCTTATTTCCTAAGTAGAACATATTCTGCTGTTCTTGTAGAAGTCCTTTTTCTTAAAATACATGAGTTTATGAGGATTACTGGACCTTGCCTCTGCGGGGTAATTCCCATCCCAAGCCCACTGTTACAAAAATTAAAGCATCCATACGTGGATGTGGTTCCAGGTATGACTATTTTCCCAGTTAAGCTGTATTCTGCCTCCCTGGTGAGTGCTTAGGCCTAGATCCACAAATTATCCACAGATGGATAAGGGGAAACATCAGTACCCCAGCCAAGGTAGTGGGAGTTACTGAACCTGAGAACCACCTCCCTTGTGGCAGCCTGCACACCATGCACAAGGAAAATCATGGATTCACTGTGGCCACTTCAGTGTACACAATACCTGGGCAACAGTCATGGCTTTCACTTCCATCTTCGTGTGAATTCCCTGCTCAGCCTGTGAAATAACACAACAAATGCAAAGACCAGCAAACATTTGCTGCCATTCTCCAGACATGGTGTAGGAGTATCACTTAAACACATTCAGTACTAATGGATAGCAATAGTTCTGTAGTTTATTTTACACAGTTACAATCCAAAATATATATATATATGTATATAAAAAATAAAGCTGATATGATTACTGCAATGTACAATTCCAGGGAGCAGTGAGAAGGATCAGTGAAAGCAGCCCACACTCCCCAGCCTACTGCCACTGAAACACTCTTGAGTGGCTATCATTTGCAAATTCTTAATGCAAAAACACCCTCTTTTCAAATGGCCATATTTACAGTCTATTTACATTGTCTTTCCAGGCTTTTTCCAAGTAAATACCACATGATCACTGTACAAAGGACTTCTTCCAGAGGAAAATAGTCAGCTGGTCCACTGTTTCTTTGTTACTCTGAAGCCTTGACACAAGTTTTCCTGATCATGTCCTGATGCTTGCAGACCTCTAACCACATCTTTCTAAGCAACAGAATTCAGAGATACTTTCAGATGAATGATCCAGGTTTTCCATTTTACAGGCAGGAAACGGCACTTGCCATCACCCAGCAGGTCCCAGTGCTCACAGTTGGGCCAGGTTCCTTTCTTCCCTGCACCAGGTGCAAGGAAAGACACAGATCTCCATTTGTTTATCTCAAACAGTAAAGAACACAGCCAGCAGAGCACTGCCCCCACATGCTTCAAATGAGCTTGTCTCACCTGGTTCACAGTGTCTTTGATTCAGTGTTTGCAATACCCTGATTCCAGTCCTGCAGCTGTGAACTTTTCCAAGGCAGCATCAAGGATCAGGATGCAGCTGAGTAATGATGCTCAGAACGCCCTACCCTAGAACTGCAGCAGCCACCTCAGTAATGCCCACAACCAGCAATGGTGAGAAATCAACCACCGTGCTACAAACTGGTTCTGGGTGGATGCCCACGGGCACAGAGACAACTTGATCCATGTCTCCTGCCACCTCAGTTGATGTTCTCACACCACATTGACAAGTTAAACAATTTGCAGAAAAAACAGCGTGTGCTTCACTTCTGTTCATCCTCTCAGTGTCTTTAACTGTCCTACATCACAAGAAAACAGAAATTAAGTCAGTCCTCTACTATGGAAAAGACATCATGTAAGAGCCCATAAGGAATCTGAGCAATAGTGTAGCATCTAACCATTCAGCAGCTCAGCCACAGAGCCAGCTCTTATAAAGAACTACAGCTTCCTCAAAAGGAAAGAATCATTTCCATACCCCAAAAAGCCCAGAAAAGGCACTACAGTGAAAGGCACCATACTGCATAAGTAGTGCAATTTCTGTATGGCTTTAATCTTTAAATTCTTCTATTATCTAACTTCAGTAGGAGCCGCTTCAAGTACATGGGCCAAACTTTAACATTTTAACATGCATATGACTGAAAGAAAAGGTAGAAGTCTCTTTTTTTCCCCTTCTAGTCCTCTTTAAAAAGAAAAGCCCAGCAGCATGTGTTAAAAAAACACTGGCTGAACTTTACAGCAAAATCTCATTTAAAAAGACAATCATGCAAAGTCTGAATGTGGTGGTTAGATCCCAGATAACCAGTCACTGGAAATCAAGGGGCTGCCTGACTCACTGCAAAAATATGGTCTGCCAAACACTGAGTTATGTTCTGAAGTTGCAGACAACAGAGGGAAACACAGGAGAAAAACCTGAAGGAACTGCTCAGCCCCCTTTAGTGGCTGACACAGAAACCTTTAGGGAGCAGAAGGGTTATGATTAGCTGCAGCACAGGAAAAATCATGCCTTCCTTTTCCCCCCACCCCTTTCCTTGTACAGTCACTGCACAAGACACTGCTGTACAACATCCTGTCTGAGTCCTTGCAGTCCACGGGCCCAAAGGGCTAGAAGTCCTTCCCTGCTGCAAGGATCCAGTCCAGGGCTGAGCTGAGGCCCAGGCAGAGAGCTGCAGCTCTGCCAAACTTGGATCCCAAAGGCAATCAGTGCCCAGGAGACAAGCCTCTGGCTATGCTGGTTGCCACTCCAAGCCCACAATGTTCTCATGCTCCCCTTCAAATCCCCAGTTTGTTCGGGGACAATTTAATTTGCCCAACAGCCTTGACTGGAAAAGGGAAAGACACATGGGATACTCCAGCAAGAGCCCAGGGCTGTCCAGTGATCAGACACATTCTGAATCTTTCAATTTAAAGAGCAAATGCAAACACCATTTCTGAAGCAGATACGTCCTGCAGACCATGCAGCAGTGCCATCTCTGCAATGTGTCAGCAACACAAAGTAACTGCAGCAAATGGCTGTTTAATAAGGAAGCTTCACGGTATGGGGAAAAAGAAAGGGGATCCTTCTATTAATGCATCCTAAGTGACATTCAATCCTTACAAATTACCTAAAGATGTCTAGGTGCTACAAAAAGGATTGCCTCTAAAATGTAGATCGAGCTGAAGGAGGAAACTACAGTTGAAGCTGGAAAGGGAAGAGGGCAACCCCCTTTTCTCATCCTGAAAAGGGTCACAAAAGAGCAACCTCCTTTGCTGCTGCATAGCTACTCAGGAGACTCTGACCTGACATTGACCCACCAACTACAGCTGTCCTCAGAGCTGGAAAACCAGCCAGAATTACCTGGTCTGTACCAATGACATCAACATCTTCAACTGTGTCTTCTGGACCCTCCTCGGAGACATCTTCTGTCTTAACCTCATCTTTGCTGGAAACAAAAAACAAACAAACAAACAAAAAACCTAAGTCTTGAGATATAACAGAGGCTGCACATGGCAAAATTGTGCTTAAGGCACTGTATTTCACACAGTAAGAGCTGCTGCTCATATCCACGTAAGGTAGCCTAAAGTTACTAGCCCAGAATTTCCCAGTATGAAACAGGCTATGCTCTGAGGAATTTTCAATAAAGCCATTCAGAAAAACACTGATTTAAACAGGGGCTGCCTTCACATTTAATAAATTTTTGTTCTATTTTACTTGTATTCACCAGGTCCATTTAACAAGTGTCCCAAAACGTTGAAAAGTATGCATCTTCCCAAGATTTGTGTTTCACCTTTTAACCTACTAACAGGGGAAATGGCACCTAACACCTCAATAAATTAACTGAATTGAAGGAAAACACTGCAACTGAGCACTTTGATTGCTCAGCAGTATGACTGCAGACTCCCTATTTCTGCAACACCTCTCTCACATCCAAGCTGTATGGGGTTTCACTGGGGCATGTTTGCATGCTGCACACCAACATGTCTCTAAAAGAAAGCCACAGGGTACACAGTGGTTAACAGCAGATCTGCAGAGACAAGAATCCTCTTTCATTTCCAGAGATGGAGAAAACACTTATTGACTGGCTGCAGGAAACAGCCCGAGAGTAACTAGCACCACAGATCTCCAATATGGACACAGCAAGTGGGACAGGGAACTTTACTCCATCCTTGTCTTTTTCCACCCTGTGTCTCTGCACACTTGATATTACTCCAAGAAGGCACAGAAGCCCTGTGACAGTGGCAGGAGAAAGCAGCAAATGTAGATATTGGACTAAGGAAACAAAAAAACCCAACCTGTCCATGGGACACAGCCCATAAAAAAGACAGGAGGGGCACACACCCTATGCTCATGAAGTATTACAAAAAACCAGAAAGTGTTTAGGAAGACCCCAGATGTCAATGCCAGAACAGGTTTGTATGACATCAAACTCTTACCAGTATCTTCTATGCAGCCCTCCTGGACAAAGGAATGGCAAATGTTCCTGCAAGCGCATCTCTTTAGATTTCAGCCTCTTTCTGCTTTTCCCTGCTGCAGAGGGAAGCTGAGAAGCACACTGCTGTTCTGGGGCTTTGCTTCCTGCTTCAGTCTGGCTGGTTTCAGGCAAAGACCCTGCAACACAGAGTGAACACAGTCATTCTTCAGCCTCAGCCTCACCCTCAGAGGTCTTGAGATGGACATTTCCAGTATGTTCCCCACAGCAGAGAAACAATCGGGCCAAGCTCAAAAGGACATCTGGAGCAAAGCATTCCTTTATTGAAAGAGACAGCTATAAGCCACTTAAAAGGAAATCCATTTAATTTGCCCACTGGTCATTTCTGCAATCTAGATTTATGAACTTGGCCCTGGTCCATAACTGCTATCAGTACTGCTGAGTCTGTATTATGCTCAAGAAAGGAGGGCCTTTGGGGATACAAAGGAACAAGCTCTCTGAAGGCAAGTCACTGAAAAGAAGATTTATGAGATAGAATGAGAAAGAAACTAAAGGACACTGTGGGAAATTTTCCTTTCCTCCACATACAACTGCACATGTCCATAACACTTAGCATTTTAATTAGCAATTGTTTTCATAATGGCTTTATTACATTTTAACTAAGTCCCACCATATCCATGCAGTGAATACTTCACACAGACTGGCAGTCCATAAATGCTGCCAAAGCCTGGATGCAGACCATCTAAATAGAATTCTTTAAGGTAGGAGTATAATCTTACTGGCTCCCTAGAAATTCAACAGAGAGAAAAACTCTAGAAGATGATTTGGCCCAGATAATCTGGCATGAAGATCTGAATAGAGTTCTGTAAATACCTCTCCTGTCTCAATTATCTACAGGGCCTAAAGCAACAATGCCCTTAAGTTAACAATTAAAAGCAATCAACCAAGTCTCTGGCTCAGACAAATGCCAGATGCTAGTACACAGTAGAATTCAGATAATCTTGAATTCTCCTCACTTGGAGTCCTCAGCCCAACCTTACTGCTGTTGAGTGATCAAGGGACCTGGAACAAGCACAAAGCTGAAGGCAAAAAACACAGTTCAAAGTGGGAAGTCCTCAACACCCAGCACACCATGGTACTCTGCTGCTAATGCAAAGCATGAAATACATTTTAGCATATGCAAATTTGCTACAGCAAAGCAAAACAGCAAATACAGCAGATTTGCCAGACAGATAAAGAAAATACAGCTGATCAAGAACTGGGAAGCTTTCATACCATTAGATAATTTCCTCTTAAAAGAAGATGTCTTAGATGAGCCCACAGGGTGCCGCTCTCCCAAACTGCCAAGGACAGAACTCTCCTCATCTTCATTTGCCAATAAAGAGTTTCTGTACCAGACCAAAGGCTGCCATTTGTCTCCTCTGCAGGACAGTGGCTCTGTTATGTACCTCTGTAAGTAACTGTACCTGGGACAAAAACAAAAGCAATCATAAGGAAACTCACTATTCTTCCCCTTCAGTATCTGGGGCAGGTATTACAAGAAAGGATTTTGACTTTACTCTCCAAAGGTGCAAACAAAACTGTTGAAGAGGGCACTATTTTTCTGTGAAACACCTGACATCTCTGAAGTACCTAATTAAAATGCAAATGTCTTCAAAGCTAAAAGAGTGCTTGAATTTTAGCATTAGAAACAACACAAGATCCACAGAAATTACAAAATTACATCAGCTTCTATAGTTTCCTGTGCAGGGAAAGTCTGCTAATTGCTGCTGCCAGTAGCAACCTGAACAGAGCAGAATTCTGTGAGGATTCACCTCTTCTGGTGGCCTTTTCTGCCTCATGGAGACAAAGGAGATCCCAGGCAAGAGATGCTCCCTGTGATCAGTAGTACAGGAAACAGTACAGGTGAGATAATGGGGGTTTTATACCATAAATGTCTGTTCTGTCAAAATTCTGTCAAAAACAAGAACAACCAGTTAAACCATTTTTAATGTATTATCATCTCGAACTCAATCCAATTCTCTCAGTAAAATGTCAAGTGTCTGCAAGAAGCAGATAACTGCTCTGCAGTTGTGACAATGCATGGGATGTGGGAAACATTGTCTCACATCCCTGTTCTGTCTGATTCAGTCCAGAGATTTGACACTGTGCCTTCCTGAATCCCAGGTGAAGCTATCACCTTCCCTGGAGCAAAAAGGCTTTCTTCAAACACTCTATTTGAAAAACAGGACATTTCCAACAAAGTCTTTCTGACCCATTCCTACTTAATAACAATAGAAAAGAAAACCAAAGTCTGACTCAGGATTAGGAAGCAGATACTCACCACATTTCAGTTCATCACTTTAAAATCAAGCCCAGTGTGGTTAAAACAGACCCCACCTTAGAAGTGACAGTTTTAACACCAGACTGTGCAACTTTTTTTTTTTTTTTTTTTTTTTTTTTTTTTTTTTTTTTTTTTTTTTTTTTTGATTAGGAGAGTGGCCTGGAAAATATCAGCCATTTCATTTGCTTTGCAAAACAAGGAAACCAGTGCTGAGAGGAGGTCAGGGTAAGCACCGGCTCCAAAACAATTAGAGTCTTGGACTCTGGGGGCCCCAGGGATCAAGAAACCCTGGTAATGGAATTTGTTGGTTTCAAACAAGCATGTATTGTAACTACAGTTTCAGGGTCTATCCAACTGCTACCAATGTCAATGGAAAGACTTCTACTGATTCAGGACTAAGGCCCTTCATGCTGCTTGCTATTCAGCAATTCATTTCTTGTGTGCATTTTGTGGCACAGAGCAACTGACAAGCCAGGTATTTTACTGCTACAGCCTATGCAATTACGGGGAGAGGGTTAAAGTCCTTATACTTTGATGGTGTTGAAATATAGTCCTTTCTAACAAATGCTCACATTCTGTATGTCATCTGTTATAGGTACATTCACATATGTTAACATATACACCTGGACATCAATCCCATGATTAGTAAGAAAAATGAAAATAACCAGATGTTTGTTTCTCAAAGTTCATGTTGACCTAAAACATTCCATCCAGTAATTTATGATGGAGCTAAACCTAAATATTTCTAAGAGGAAATATAATCTCCAGCCTCTGCAGGGCACTTTAGGCCTCCCAGAATAGAAACTGTTATTCTAGAAACATAGTATGAATGTACTTGTGGATAAATTGCAATTTCCCTTCTAGAAAATTTTATTGTTTCCCATTTGTTCCCAGCAGCAGAGGGAAGGCCCAAAGCAGTGAGGAGTGAAGTGCATGCCCTGCTAGGTTCTGTTATTTTCCACGAAACTTTTCCATGAATAAACCTACCTGAATGTATCAACTGTATCTGATACATTCAGGAATATACTTCCAGAATATATCCTCTGATTAAGAGGTTTAATATAGTCCTAGGAAAAAAAAATATCAGGATTTAGCTTTGATCTGCTCCATCAACAATTAAATATTTTCCTCTTGTTTAATTAAAAACTATTCCCAGGAGGTAAATTAAATGAGTTTTTCAAGGATGGCTTAACAGGAAACTACTTATTACATGGGTGTCACCACAGAAGCTTACAGCTCTTTAAAATACAGACAATATGGACAGAGTTATACAGAAACTGTCCAAACTGGGCCTGGAGCACTTCTCCTATGAAGACAGGCTGAGGGAGTTGGCATTACTCAGCCTGGAGAAGAGAAGGCTCTGGGGAGGACTTACAGCACCTTCTAGTACCTCAACAGAACTGACAAGAGAGCTGGAGAGGGACTTTCCATAAGGGCATGGAAAGATATGACAAAGCTTTAAATGGCTTTAAACTGAGTGTGAGTTTACATGAGATATTAGGAAGAAATTCTTGATTGTGATCATGGTGAGGCACTGGAACAGGCTGTCCAGAGCAGTCCTGGACTCCCCATCCCTGGAAGTGTTCAAGGCCAGGTTGGATGAGGCTTTGAGCAACCTGGTCTAGTAGAAAGTGTTCCTCCCCAAAGCAGGGGGTTGGGACTAGATGATCCTTGAGGTCCTATGGGTTTTATGAAAACCAATTTTAGTAGCAGATCTCAAAAATTCTCATCTGAGAAAAATGCAAGAATCGCAAATGAAGTTATCCATCCATACCCATGGATTATCCACTTTAGGTTTCTCAGGGTCTGTAATCGGTGTATGTTGACTATTTTTCTTCTGCATTTTGCATTCCAGCTTTGAATCAATTTTTTCAAATGAATTGCCCATGTAGATGGCAATCATTAATAAATTATGTCATGTGAAGTAACAGGAAAATAGACATTTTACTATTCTTGACCCATGTTATGTAAAATCCAGTTGATAACTCCCACAGAAGTTCTCCTCCAAAGTAAGACAAAGTGACATGGGAACAAGCAAGTTACACAGAGCTCAGAAAGATGTGACAGCTGGTTTTCTTCCATTTCTGCTGACTTCCTTTCAAAAGTAAAACTTCTCTTGTCATGTATTGGAGTGATTTGCTCAGAAATGCAAAAAGGCAGATGTGTCTTACTGTCCCACATCTTCAAATATGCTTTCAGGAAAATGGAAATACCTGGTTTTACAGTATCTGTAACTAAAATACTGAAGTGCAGAGATCTGGATCCAAAATGAACAGCACTGACTAAGGAAGTAATGCTAAAGGTCAAACAGAAAGAAGAATGTTACTTCCATCTCAAAAATGATCAGAGCTGAGGCATGTGAAGAAGGAAATAAGATACATACCCATATATCTCTCCATTCAGGTGCATAATACCCCACTGACACCAAAAGAAGGCTATCACTCTTATAGCATTAAATGTAAATATTTAAACCACTGTAAAACATGGGCCCACTAGATCAGGGCATATTCCCGTGTAAATAGTAAATTATTGGATTTAAGTATCTATATTATGAAGAGTGTCACATATATTTCTGTTCCAAATATGTTCCATGGAATCCACATAATTGAGGCCTGAAGCTGTGGAAATAGATAATTACAAAATAATGATCCCTGCCTTATTTCTTCCACAACCGTTTGATTTACTTTTCTGTTCAGAAAAGCATTCCTGCCACTCCACTAACCAGTCAAGTCGCAAATCTCTTCCACCAAATTAACAGCCTTTCCTTTAGAAGAATTGCCATATGTGGCCACAACTATGTAAGAAAAATCTAGAATGCTTATTGCACATACAATCTGAAATAATTACTACTACAGAATTCAACAACTGTGTCTCAAACTAACAGCCTGAAGGGCAGACTGATTTCAGAGGTTCTCTGAAGAGCCCTTGAGCAAATTCTGCCACACTGAAGTTCAAGTGTCCTTTGTACAGGGATACACAAATCACAAACTATGTATGATGGTGCACAAGAACTTAACTTACACTAGCCTTTTGTCTGGCTTTAGCAGCTTGTTGGAAAATTCACTGATGATTACCAGAAAGCTCAAGTTAGGAGGAAAGCATTTTCCATCTATTCCAGTAGTTCCTTGAAAAGCAAATTCAATCCCTTCCCTATTGAAAGAAAAACAGAAAAGAACAGAGTAATAAAACAGATAAAACAGACAACTAACAAAAGCAATGACCATGGACAACATGATGTTATGTGGCACATACTTGTGTATCATGGCTATAGATTCTCTAGATTTCACTTGGTCCCAGCCAAATGTTAGTGCAAAGCGACGAGCAAGTTCTTTGATGTTTGCAAAGGAAGGAGAGGAGAAGTCCACACCATTACTGCTGTCTTGGCTTTCTGCATGTGTCTGAAACAGCTGCAAGAGAAGTTGCAGATAAGCAAACACAGGTAATCCTACAGGCAAACAAAGCACCAGGCAGTCAGAGAGACAGGCACAGTCACTTCACACAGACAGGAGCCTCACAGAAGAGCAAGGTAAATCATGTGCTTCTGAAGCTCTGAATGGAACAAGGACAAGGAATTGACACAAAGGACACTGCTGTGCTCGTAAGACAGGCACAAATTAAAAAATAAAAATAAAAAGTCATGTGCATAAACAGAAAAGTGATTCCTGAAGATGATGGTCCCAATGACCTCATATCCTCTTGGGTCTTCTGAACCAAGCCCCAGAGGCCTAATATGCCTGAGATGCTTTCAGAGTAGCATAGTGCAGATACAAAGCAGCAAGTTTGGCAGCACCATAAGAGAGAGTAAGAGTAGGTCAAAAGCACATATTGAGCTCAATTAACTGTGCTTTGGATTTTTTTTTTCTTAATATAATATGGAAGTAGCTTGTTCTCATCAACCTGTTAACTTTCAAGGTCAGGCAAAGGCCAAAAAGGGCCTGTTGTCTATGTGATACCTAAACACAAAGTCCTGACTATGTCAGCAGAATATATGCAGCCAAATGCTGCTTAGACTCATCTAAGCTCAGATTTCAAGGGCTGGTTCACAGATCTAAGCCCCTGGCAATGTGTGTGAAATAAGCAAAGCTCATGTGTCAGTATCTCCAGGAGGAGCTGCTCTCTGGATTATAGCAGGACTCTGTAAGAAGCAGCTCTGGCCACGGGCAGAGTTGGCAAATGCAGTTGCTAAAATAGCTAAATGGTTATCAGTCAGCAGCTGCAACTGAGACCCTTCAGAAGACCTGCAACCTACTTTCCTCCAGAGGGAAAAAAAAAAGCTGAAAATACAGGGGGGGTTGGAGCTAACAAGACACAGGCACATCCATGGCTCCTCAAATTCCGAAGGAATTAAGGTAGTCCATAAAACACAGTATAAGATCCTTAATATTCGTTAAGCTTAAGAGATACCATGTTCCAAGAAACACTTCATAATCTCACATCAGTTCTAACATACTATGCACTTGAAGATCAAAAACACAACCAAAAAATCGTGGACAAAAGCACCTTTTAAAATAGATGCAATGATTTGAAAGGAGTTTTAATTATTACATGCAAAAACAACATACATATAGAAAGTGCAGGAAAGGAAGTAAATTCTGTCACTAGGTTTGCTAATGATTTTGAATAATTATGGCATGGGAGGTAAAAATCTTCACTTGAATACAGCTATCATAAGAGCCCCTAGCCTCCTGCTTTAATCTTAACCTTACCTGCTGCAGACAGAGAATCAGTGTCTTGGCACTCTGAATTTTGTTATTGCACCTCGTCTTGCTTAACGTTTCTTTAATTATGTCTCCAAAATCACTGTAGGTCTATTAAAAGCAACAAAACAACTGAGAGTTATCATTCCCCTTCTTTAGCACTGGGAGAACACAAACCACATGACTCTTCAAGTGACACAAGAAGTTCCTAAAGCACTCCCAATATAAGAACACAGAAGTTAAATGATGAAAAATGGATCTTTTATAATATTTCATACTAAAGTAATGGTATGCTCCTTGAAGAATAATGTGAGGATCAAAGTTACACTGAAATTGTTAACTATTAACAACTAATTGATTGTCAATTCTTAATTCATAATTAATTATAATTCTTTAAAAAGAGCAAAGCCTCATCAAATAGACAAATAGAGTTTTCTGAACATTACCAGTGCTTGCCAATGAAGCAAAGAACAAGATTTATATTCAGGTATTTCCAAAGTTGAGTTGACTAGAGGAAGCTACCCACTCTGATGTTCTTGGCCCTCCTGAAACCCCCTTCAAAATGGCTAAACCCTGGTCATCTAAACCCTGGGACTCATGTGAAATGTAGACACCTGCATATGCACTGTGTAAACTGTATGAATTTAGCTGACCAATTCAGTGTGAGAACCTCAATAGATGAATCACTCTCCAGCCATAAACTGCTGCTCTGCAGTGGCCTCTCTGCAGAAGTTGAGGAGCAGATGTCCAGACAGACATGGACACACATGTCCTCTCCTCAATTTTCAGTTGCTTTGTCTGCTTTGTGGAACTAAGAGAGGAGATCAGCCCCACTCCTGCTGATCCTGATAATTTGTGATTATTCCAGAACTCTGAGCCATAACACTATTGACACCCTGTCTTTCACAAACACTGGAGACACTTTCAAAAACCAAAATGCACTGATAGGAAAAACAACCTTATCTAAAACATTACCTTCACATAATACTTATAGATCTCAGCAGCTGCAGTCATCTCTACCACATTATACACTATTAACTTGCAATATGCTGCCAGAAGACTCCGCTTCTTGTGCAAGTCATCAAGTTTGCAAGTTTCATCCTTTCCCTCTTCTGTCAGATCTAGGGAAACAAAAGCATTGAAGCTTTGTTCTATTACTTTATTCAAGGTATCTCAGTGTAAATGATCAACTTTCACCTAAATAGCACAGACTCAGCTGTTCAGTAACAGATGCCAGCACTCATTCCTGTGTACATCAGAAAACACAGGTTTATTTCCATTTCAAGGCTCCAGTTGAAAATAGTCTTCTTCGCACAGTCTCCTACTCTGATCTTCATAGGACTTTGGCATTTCTACTAGTCAGAATCTCCAAGTACAACACTGCTCCCAGCTACAGAACTGAACCAGCAAGTAGAATAAAAGGCACCAACACACCAAGTGGAAGTGACCTGAAAAATTGCAACCATGTTTTTTTTTTGGTAGAATAAAACAGATGGTAGAAAAGAGCACATAACTCACTGGAAACCATACAAAAGTTGTCACACACAGTTAGCAAGAGTTCCACTTAAATTCTCCAAGTTCCAATAAAATTCTCCAAGTGCTTATCAACAAGAGTGAAAGTAAAAACAGTCACTTAATAGCATTAAGAACAAGTGTCTGGAACACGAGTTATTTACTAGCTGGATAACTCACAGGAGGGCTACAAAGGTGCTTGGGGAAGAGTTTCTTACAGCAGGAGAGCCAAGACACACTCCTCCTGCACATGCAAGCTATCAGCTACCATAAGACTTCAGTCTCTGACCTATAATTTTGACGTGGATTGTTTCTGCTTCTAGAATGACTGTGGGCCTGGAAACAAACATAAGGCAAATGACTGATCAGTAGTATCTGAAAGTTAGAGTTTAAACTGGAGTGAAACAGCTGCCAGCTGTGCACACAGACAAGCACACCTTGCATCACAAAATCACTTGTTCAGGAAGGAATCTGCAATGGGGTGAAAGGGGATCCTTTGAAGGGAGAACTGAGAAACTGAACGCATCACAGAAATAAAGGTTTGAAAAAGATCTCAGGCCATCTAACCCAAAGCAGGATCAATTTTATCAGTTTCAGATATATAACGTAAACAACCTGAAACATAACCTGCCTCAGTAACTCCCACAGGTTGTAGGTTGTAGGATACAACAACTTACTTGTGCAATCTTTTCTACTGTATCTTTACTAATTCAGATTCTCTTACTATTTCCCTGTTGCAATTTTAGCCATGCAGTGTTCCCCATCAGGTTTTTGCATATACACCATGACCTAAGGAAGTGTGGTGCCCAAAACTGAACAGAGAACTCCATCTGAACAGTTGAAGGAGAGGAGTTAAGACTGAGAAATCTAGAACAACGCTTGTTTTTTCAAAGCATGGCACTTGAACTTGTCCTCAGAACCACAACGAACAATTTTCAGAACACTACCAAAAGAAATCAGCCTTCATAATTACAACCTCAATACAGCATCCAAATGTTTGAAAAAAGGTAGTAGAGTAACAAATACTATTTCCCATTGGACTGAGAGCAGCCCTGATGAAAAGGACTTGGAGGTGTTGGCTGATGAGAAGCTCAACAAGACCCAGCCACGTGTGCTCACAGCCCAAAAAGCAACTGTGTCCTGGGGTGCATCCAAACCAGCGCAGCCAGCCGGGTGAGGGAGGTGATTCTGCCCCTCTAGTCTGCTCTGGTGAGACCCCAGCTGGAGTGCTGTGCCCACCTCTGGGACCTCCAACATAAGAAGGATTTGGAACTGCTGGAGTGAGTCCAGAGGAGGGTCATGAAGATGCTCAGAGGGCTGGAGCACCTTGCCTAGTGAGAGCACCACCAACTTGAGAGAGTTGGGGTTCTTCCATCTGGAGAAAGGTAGGTTCTGGGAGACCCTGCAGCATCTTCAAGTACCTAAACAAGGCCAACAAGAGATTGGAAAGGGACTTCTTACAACAGCAGGTACAATGAGACAATGTACATGTACAGTGATACAATGGGGAATGGCTTTAAGCTGACAGGGCAGATTTATTTCTTAGACATAAGGAAGAAATTCTTGACTGTGGTGATGGTGAGGCACTGAAACAGGTTGCCCAGAGAGGCTGTGGAAGCCCCATTGCATGGTGAAGGCCAGGCTGGATAGGGCTTTGAGCAACCTCCTCTAGTGGAAGGTGTCTCTGTCCATGGCAGAGGTGTTTGGAAGTAGATGATCATTAACATCCCTTCCAACACAAACCAGTCTATAATTCTGTGAAATCAGCCCCACAGCCCCAAAATCAAAATCTACTGTTTTTTTACTCTGATGGCTTAGAAGGGTCCATGCACTGACACACTGCAACGCTGCAAGGCCTTCCTCTAACACCATCAACTGGACCACAGCTTTACTTCAGCCCTTTTCATCATACAGATCACAGTCTGTACATATCAAAGAATTACAGGTTTTTTGTTTGTAAAAGGGCCCAACCAGAAAAAAAAAATAATGCAACTCACAAAATAACAACAAAGAAAGGCCAGCCCTTTCCCTGATACACTCTCTACAGATGACAAATTATATAAAAAATAGTAGATTGTTTCTCTAGTGATGAAGATGTCTAACCTTTTTTTTCCTCTTCTCCATCCATGAAAACGTGTTCCTGGATAAATGAAAACAGTTTTTCCTGAAGTTGTGTGCTAGGAAGATAACCTAGAAGTCCAACTGCTTCTTCATTATTTGAATACAGGTGACTCAAAATCAGCAACCAGTCACAGAGTATCATGAAGGCCTGTACCATGCAAATAAAACCAAAGAAAGATTTAGAGACCGTGTTACTTTTTGTGCCAATTCCATTTTGCATTTCCATCAAACACAATCAAGTTTCCATCCCACGCCTTCCTTGCAAACTAAAGATTTCTCTTTGCCTCAGCTGTGATGAAATGCCCCAGCTAAATCCTTAAAAAACTTTTATGTTAGGATGCAGTGTATACAAGTATCATGCACGAATACCTAAAGATTTTTCAAAGTTCCGTGGGCAAGAAGAAGAGCTGCATTATGTTGAAATACCCCTCTTTTAACACATGAACCACTGGACAATTTCTCCATTTCTTTAAGTAATAGTCATAGCAAAACATTAATGAAGCAATGATAGCAACCAGTACACTGATAGGTCTAATCAAAAAACACAATGATTCTCACTCAGATTGAGGCCTTGATTCTGCAGATGGACTCATGCAGAAAGCACCAACTTGTAGCATTTTAACTAACTTAACTTTACCTTTTATTTAAAATAAATAGTTGAAGACTGGGTTTTTTATGTGTTATTTCTCTGCTAAGAGACAAAAACACAGCAAAAATTTAATAGAATGAAACACCAGTATGAAAAAAAGGCAGGAATTTAAAAGGAGATCTGAGCACAAATGCTCATTAAGTGATAGAAAAACACAAACCTTTTCTCTTACATCTTTTTCCTTATGATGGAGGAAGCATGTGCAAATCTGACTGAAATGTCTCAGCTGCTTTCTTAGTGGAAAAAGAGTCTCCTAAAAACACATTTAGGAAAAACAAAAGGAGCAATATGTTAGAGACTATGATTCAACAGAGAATTACAGAACAAACAACAGTTGCATCTTTCTTCCACTCATATTATTAATTTAAGATAGCACAGCTGATGACATGATGAAAGAAGCTGGCATTTCACAGAACAGCTTACTAGCTATGAACAACTGCATCTGTCACAGTTGCTGAGGCCAGTGGAATGCAGCAAGTCACAAACTCTTTGTTTCTCCATCTGTAGGGAGAGCAGCATGTATCCTCTTATTCACTTCTTATCTGTATAAAGCAGTGACAACAATGGAATTAGAGTAATAAAAATCTCTGGTCCATCCCACCTAATGTTCAATGTGCACTGCCTTGTGGAGTTGGCTTTCTCCCTTCCTCCACTAATGACTATAAAGGGAATAGAGTTTAACTGTGGCACTCATAAACTTAAGACACCACACTTTGCTAAGATGAATCCAGTATGGGAGACTATTTGGTTTGCTCACAAGCATGCAAAAGACTTTCTGATCCTCCACCAGCTCCCAGCTGCACTGCACTGAGCTCTGAGCCACCAGTGTAAAAGGACTGCCCTTACAAGAGAGCTAGATTTCATGCTATGCAGCTCTACATCTAGAAGAAAAGAGATTCATCCCAGGACATGCTGAGGAGAACCAGGTGTGGGGCAATACATTGTCTTAACACTGCTAGGGGAGGAGCAAGGGAGAAATAACAGAGCTGCTGTCCAGGAAATTTGTTTTTTGTTCTTGGAACTTCTCTATCTGCCAACATCCAGATTTGGCCCTGCAGAGTGGGCTGTCACATCTGCTTCCAATCAAAATCTGCTCCTGTATGAAAGGCCAAATTAAAAAATGTGCTGCCCCATTACCAAGTTGAGCTAACCATGCCTGGAGTGAAAGGCAGAATACATCAGAGCAGTCAGAGGTGTGGACATCCACGCAGGAATGGAACGGGACGGGAATAGACAGTGAATCAGTGGCCAAATGGGTAACGTCCCAGCTAGCATTTCTCACACGAATGCCCGTGTCAGCACCCTGTCCTGTATGCACAGGAGTGCCAGGGAAGGGTCAGAATGACAAAGCAGCACTCAGTGGAGTCAGGAATCATCAAGAGGAGGAGCCCCACAGGGTACACATTCACATATGAAACAAACCATAAAAGAGTTTTCCTTTCTGGTGATTTAAACTAGACTTTCTTCTGAAATAACTGCTAAACTTGGTACTTTATATATTATGAAAGTAAATAGTCAACCAATGAGAAAATTACCACTTTCCTCAACCTTTATGACAGAAATATGTACGTAGGTAAATCAAGGAAATAAAAAAGAAACAAAGTTACAGAATGTCCTGGAGTTTTCATTTAATATTCTTTGTTGCTTAAAACAAGAAAACAACACACTCTTTGGCAGTGAGACAAGTTCCTTATCTCCATCAAGCCCTAGGAATTTGATGCACATGTTTTGCAGTAAAAATAGCAGTGAACCATTGTTCCTGCAGACTGAAAAAGCACACACATATTAAAAGAAAAAAAAAAAAAGGACGTGATAGAGAGAAAATGCCTCAATTTGATTTGATTTCCTCAAGAAAACAAACTATATTCTGATAAGCTTGCTTTTTCAAGAAAACTCAGAACAGGAAAATTAGCTTTAACTTCTATAAACACAACTCCGGGTTTCAAAATTATATCAGTAACCAACCTTGGGAGAATGTTCCGAAACTGCAGCTAGTTGCCACAGGAGAGAAAAATATGTGCACTGGAGAGCCGGTAGGATAATCTGCAAATAAAAACACATGTCTTTTATTTACATTAAAGGCTCAGCACCAAAAAGCTTAAGACTAAACAAAGCATTCAAGCCTGACATTCTGTATGCTGTTTGCATGAACACCTCCCAGTTGTATTTAGATCCTTAAAATAAATTTAACAGGTTTACATACAAGTAAGCATTTCCCCTTGAGAAACTTCATTACTAAGGTGCTGCTTCTGCAGAACTTCTCTGACATCTTGATGAGTTCAAGGGAAAGCAACGCACATATCAAAAAGTGTATTCCCAGAGGCTCACTTTAGCTTAGCTCCTTGGGATTTCTTTGAAGCCTTTCATGAAAGGAAGACTCCAGAGGCCAGTTCAGAGCAGAAGTGCTCCAATGCTCCAACTAAAGGAACCCACTTCTACCCACTGGCTGCAGGCTCTCTCTATTAAACTAAACTTCACCCCTTGCCAAAAAGCCCCCCAGGTTCTTTCCTGCAAACAGGGGCTGGTTAGCATTCATAACTGCTGAAGTATTTCACCTTGCAATCCTAGAATACACAACTCCATCTCCACACAATGTTTGAGATGAGGCAACCGGATAACCAAAAGGCTGCAGTTGAGACAATTGGTAATTATAAACCACTACAACAAGAGTCAACATGTAAGCAATAGATCCAAAGTATTCCAGTTTCTGGTTACATGCAATCTAAAAGGGGTTCCTCACAACAAAGGAGCCCAACAATTTCATATGTACTGAAATTTAGACTGTGCTATCATTAGAAGTACTAAACATGACAAAGGATCAATCCAGATGTCCTGATTATCACAGTTCTGAAAAATCTCCAAAATTAATTCATATAAAGGCATGAATTTATATGACCAATAACCAAAGACAGCTTCCATTTCCCAGACTGAGAAATGGATACAGTATCTTCCTGTCTCATAGGACACTGATATATAAAATTATTTAATACTTTCTATTTCTTTCTGCTTTCATCAAGAAAAACATCTTTCAATGTTAAATATTAACTACTCACCAGAACAGGCAATCTGCCATGTTCTGTTTCAAACACCAGGAACCTTAAAGTCTTGTCATACAGATTCCACTTGGTGAGATCATGGGCACTGAAGGAGAAAAAGAAATAATGATACACTAAGCAAGAAATGAAGACTCACCTGGTTAAATGTATCAGGTTAAATGTATCCTATTTCTACCTTCATATAATATAGAGCAACAACATTAAACAACTAAAAATTAATTATAAAGGGGAAAAATTAAGTTTTCATCATCTAACACTGCAGCCTTTAGACCACATAGTCTGCATTCCTACCACAAAACTGCAGTGTTATGAGGAGAGGAGAAAGAAGCTTGAGTTCTGTATCTTTTGCTATAATTTATGCATAGTCTTCAAGTACCCAAAAAGGTCTAAAGAACAATTTTCTCAGCCCACTCTAAAAGACTGTTTCTAATAGTCTTGAGTATTCTCAACTCAACATTAGACTTCTCTTTGCAAAACCACAGTAGACCCAGCAGGTTGGACAGGTAAAAGATACATTGAGAAGAAGGCCCAATTCCCTTAACCTCTGTTCTAGCTTGCATGACAATTTACTAATCTCTGGAGAACCAAGGTTTTGAGAAATCATCTTTTAACAAAAGAAGATCAGAAAAATTAAAAATAAAAAGCAGATTACACCTGCTGCAAAGAACGACTGCATTCACTATACCCTCTTCAGACTGACCACCAGTATTGTCAGTAAGGCTGTGGAAAAACATCCAGCTAGGACAGAGGTACCACAGAGGGGATCTCTGTGTCCATTGCAACACCTCAATTCTGTAGCATACACTTCTCAGCCACATTAGGGCTGATGCTCAGTAATGAGTCCAAAAATAATTCCATATCCAAGAGTACAGTTCTATTAAGAAACTAGAACTTGCAGCACCTCTCATAGGGCTCATTTTCATTCTCTTGTGAAAAACCCCAATAAACCCAACAAGTAATTTTTACTTTGCATGTGTAAAGTTGATACTTTAAGTATATGGGATCATAAATTGTATAAGTAAAGATCTCACTTATGAAAAGCTGCTACTCTTCTCAAAGTAGAGTGCATCCGGGAAATTTCTCCTGCATCCGTACAAAATCCTCCTTCCTAAATCATGAAAGTTTGGGAAAGAGAAAGGAATTAGCCAGTGTGGGCCAAGGGAATGACTGTGTTCCCTTCCCAACCAAACCACAAGCTTGGATCACTCTCCTCCAGCCCTCCTTTAACCTTTACCTTTAACCACACTGCTCTACAGTCAAAAGAAAACAATATAACTGCACAGGAATTTTGTGTAAGGGAAAATCCCTGATATTAATAAACCAATGGCAGCCTCCCTAGACTGCAGTATTGCTAACACAGAGCAAAGAGTAGCAATTAATCTAACATGGTCCTTCACGCAGTTGTTAAGGATCGCTGGAAAGCTAAGTGTTCACATAGTGCTGACCTTCCTTGCTTCCAGCTGCCAGATCACATTCAAAGATAGCTAAAAATATATTAAATACTTTCCCATAGATGCAATTGCTGTAGTTTCCACAAGTATACTATGTGATTCTGGGGGACAAAATATACAACCAGGAATTAGAAGGGAGGAGTTCCAGGAGAAAAATCTCTTTATTTAGATATAGATCACACTACGGAGGAGTCGAAGAATCCCTGGTCTTGCACTGATCTTGTTTCTCATAAGTACACATTCTCCCACATTGACATAGATCTCTATTTAAGACCAATAAAATTAATCCAATCTGAGGTTAGGGGATTTTTTGGCTTGACACATTTTGCAATATCCCTGTGTCCAATAAAAACTTGCCAGTGTTAACTCTCATACCATGGCAAGACACCTGTTCATGACAGCACAGTTGATCAGATCAGCTGCAGGCTTCTGTTGTTCAGCTCAGCCAGCAAGCTATTCATATCCCCACCAGCTGTTTCTGCTTTTTAGACCTAATGAAAAGCTTTGAGGGAGACTGCAGTCCTCTTTCAAGGGGGAAGTCATTATTTCCAAGACCCTCAAAGCTATACAATCTGCATTACAGACTACTGTTTGATCAGTTTTTTCACTACATCCAAAGTGATAGCACAAAGGGCATCTAATGTATACAGTCAAATATGGAGAACTACAGAATTGTTTCTTTCTGGGAAGAGCCTCATCACCTGGAGATCGACAGCACTCACTAGCTGATTTTGCACATAGTATCTTTGGCACAGTACTGGAGTAACTACAAAGGAATTTCTTAGGTCCAGAATATCTAGTGTAGCAATTTTGTTCCTCACAAGTACACATTCTCCCACACTGGCACAGATCAACAAAATAATTCCAGTCTGAGATTAGGGGACCTTTTGGCTTGACACATTTTACAATATCAGCATCCAATAAAAGCCTGCTAGAAGACATACAATGCCCTGTTGGTGGTGTGGACTACCTTGTTTATTATTTTCCCTGCCAAAATATATGGCTAAAATATATATGCTTCATTAAAATGTGAAGAACCATTCTTTTAAGAGGTGCGACCCCATCTTTTAGAGTTCGGCCTCCTTCAAGCAGAAACGGTAGGCAAAGAATAGTTCCATATCCCCCTTATTTTTCCTTGTCTTCCTTTTTTTCCCTAGGGAAACAGTCTGCTTACCCCTCAACGAGTCCCACTCACCTTTTTCCAGAAGCAATCTAGTAGCTGGTTAAGCTGTTTCACCAACTCATCTATCATTTGAGTTCGAGCACAATCCACCTGGCTATAGATGGCAATTTCTTCACGGCAAAGGATATAGTAAGTCCTGGAGGAAGCCTCGAGGACAGACATGTCAGAGTGTTTGGCCACAATGTCTTTTATCTCTCTCAGCAAAGCATCCAAATGCTGCAGGTGATAAAAGGAGTATTTATAGGTAAATTGTACAAAAGTCCTCTCACATTTTAAATCATTTCACTAGGCCCATATATCCCTATGGGTCACATAAACAAGATGAAACAAATGCCAGTCTAAGCAGAAGAGGGGCAGGACTAAAGGACACAACTTTTTTTTTTCTGTGTTTATAGTTCTCTTTCATCTGTGTATCTCTAGATCTTCCTAAAGAATGAAGCACCTGCTTTAAGCTCTACTTTAGCAATACATGGCTAGCACCACATAGGGAACAAAAGATGCCTTTCCAAAGGACAAGTCTGTCTTCACACAATGGAAGTTGTCTCCCTCAGCAATGGAGAATGGAGAATGTTTTCGATCATGTCAGTGACAGAGTCTTCACTCTTAGTGGGAAGAGGTAACTTGAGCCATTCTGTTGACTCCCTCTCTTCAGTTCAAGTTTTGGGCTGAAATTAACCTCAGAGTGTTTGCCTAACACTGCCTCCCTGTAAACATCCCTGCTTAAGAAAACATTAAGCTATTTCAAGGATTTCATGTATCCATTTCTGACTGTCCCATTCCCATCAGCAGACATACTATCTCCATTCTTATCTTTCAGTTACTGTCATCCCCCAGCAGCTGGGCATCAGCCTTCATGGAGAATGAAACCTATTCTGTAGTAAACTCTCGGGAGACACCAACTTAAGACACATGGCAGAATCCACCCTCCCTCCAGCCAGGAATGAAAAACCCAGGGCTGGGTCTACCACACAAAACCACAAATTGTTATCCATCAAGGCCAGACCCAGCGTATCAGAACTGACAAGCACTAAGTCTTTTCTTTGCAGCTCCAAATCAAAAAGTAAATCCTGAATAAGACCACTTTCCTTAAGGTATTATACCATTTCATTGTATTTCAACTATTTTCTACTTGTTCCAAATCCCATTAAACTCCCTACACTATCACATAAACTTAGTACATTCCACATGAAACAATTACCCCAATTTCTATTCACCTTCTCTAGATGTCTTGTACTGTAAACATCTAAATCATAATACTGAGGAATCTGCAGAAGATTTGCCACTTTTTGAGCATCTGTTGAATACTGCAGAGAAAAAAACAAGATATGAGTACATTGCAGGAATTTTAATGAAATATTTAACATACATTCACAGAGCAGCTGTTAGTTACCTTTGCCAAGAGCTGAGGAAGCACCATAATAAAGTGTTCAGTAATTTTTTTGCAATCTTCCAATTGGATTTTCTTCTCTTTTACTGACAAAATCTGCAGACAAAGCATCTGGTTTCAATTATAAAATCTCTGGGATTTGAGTGGAATCTTACATATAACCCAAGCTTAAGTCATATAGCATTGTCTCAAGCATATCAAGCTAAGATAGAGACACTCTTCCATGAAGAAAACCAGAAGATTTTTTTTTTTAACCTTAAATTAGATGCAGATTGCTGAACAACTACATGTCATGGATAAAATGCTCATCATTTGTCAATAACATGCTTCAAGTTGCTCTCCTTTAATACTCATCTCCTCCAACATCCACTTCGAATAAGATGTAGAGGTGAAAAGACACTGAATTTTAGGGAAATAAGCTATTTTATTTCCTAGGATACATCTGCAACTAGGAACAAGCTGTCTGGCAAAGTACATAAGGCAAAGATAATGTGATGACAGGACAACAAATAAGCCTAAGATGCACTGACTTTTTTGGCTGCACCTCTGCCCACTGGAGGATGACCTTCAGCTGCTTCTCTGACTGTTGCAAGGATGATTTCGATGAGAACACTTTCCTGGGCATCGCTCAGTGCTGGAAGTAAATCAGTCTCAGCATCACACAAGAGTGAAGATGCAGCAACAACTGATGCAAAGCCTACTCATTTACCTGAAGAACTGTGGAAGGACACTAAAGAATGGGAGAGGCAGTGCTGCTAAATAAACAGCTAGAGAGTGTTTGACTTCATTTGAAGGAAATTATTTTCTGCATTTACTGAGTACCATTAATCCCTTAATGGTTAAACTTTTTGGGGCAGCTGGGCTTGCAAAAACACAAGCGGTTTTAATGACGTCTCCTACTGACTAGTGTCTCATTTAGGACAAATCTTCTTTGAGTACCAAAATGCTCTAACTCACTGGGTCAACAAACTGATTTTAATCACACAATCAGCTCCAGGTCTACAACTATCCATAGAATCATATAGTGGTTTGGGTTGGAAGGGACTTTAAAGATTTATTTACATTTACTTCAAAATAATGCCACAAAAAAAAAAACCTCTAGTGTTAGATGTCAGTGAACTCAATACATTATTCATTTTCTTTTGAGGAAGAAGTAAAAGCCTGACAAAAACTGCATTTCAATCTATTAATACTTTTAGATTAAAAAGCTTTGGACAAACAAAGTGAACACTACATAAGCATTATGGCTTAATTACACAAGTATTTATTGCACAGGTTCTAAACTAACATTACATAAATACAGAATACTGAATAAAACAAGCATGTTGATATAAATACTACACTAGCTGTGCATTGAATTGCATCAGCTTTGTGGCACTTGGGGACCTCAATTTGGGACCAAATGTTACTTCAATATGAAAGCTAAGGCAAGGTTCAAAAAATAGCATGGGGAGATTCATTCAGACAAAACTAAATTCTTTGCTTACCCACCTTCTCCAACTTCTTCAGCATTTTTTAATAGAAGAGAGGTCATGCACTCCCAGTCCTTCAGGAATTTGCCTGCCCAGTCCCACAAGCTGTCTACTAGATATGTAACATGTTTGTGTAGCTAGGGATCAAAAACACAAGCTTATAGAAGCAAACACATCACTAGAAGAAATACAGCTGCATATGTTCCTCTCCCTTTGTCCAATGACAAAGCTCTGACATTCACATATATATTTACATGCAGTATTTCAACATACTTAGTTCAAGGTCAATGAACATTTAAACACCAAGTCTTCAGTCTGATACAAAGCAGGAAAGGGGGGAGAAAAATCAGGAAAAGCCAGCAATAAAATTTAGTTTTCTCTTTTAATATTAATTTAAATGTAAATAACCTCTGAAACTAGTTTCTGTATTGCTTTATGTTGCTGATTGTAACAGCCAAAATCTAGTTACAGGACTACAAACAAGTAATCTATCAAATTATTTGCAGAAAGATTCAAAACTGCTATGCCTGAGACACTTTGGACAGATAGAGATCTGCACCATTGCAAAAGCTAAACCGTGAACTGTTTATCAGCACTTAAACTGATAAAACTCTCATAAAACTACAGGTTTTGGTCAGCATGGAGCCATGGTACAGCAACCCACATCTGCCTCCAGAAAGACATACCAAAAAACCCTGAGTTGGTGGCATTAGTCTTTCAGGCTGTTTCTAGAAACTGCCTCAACACTGATTCTCTCTGTTTGCACACTTGTAAATTAGGTTTAATACAGCAGAACAGAAATGGCTTCATTAAAAACTTAACCTAGAGACTAAAAACATTTCTAACACCACATATTTCAGAACTCACCAACAGAAATTACTTTCAAAAGCAAGAAGATAATTGATTTAACATGCAACACTGGATTTAAAAGGCTTACTGCAGGGGCAGTTCTCACCTCACCCTTCAGGAAAAAGTGTATTAATCTTTTCAACTGGTCAGTGCTCGCCCCAAACTTTCCTCCTCCTTCGGGCTGAACTTTTTTATCTCCCTCATGACTAAGCAGCCTGCCAAAACAAAAGTAAGTCAGTCCAGTTCTGCCACATTCTCCTTACACTCACCAATGTAACACTACTTCTGTCAAGGTCACAAGGACTGTATTTCTCTTAAGTGTCTACTTATTTACCCCAAATCTCATTAGACTTTTTTATAAGATGAAAGGAATTGCTTTCCATTATGAGAGATATGCTATCCCTGTGGATGCAGAGACTATTTCTGACAGTTTCACAGGTACCCTGCGACCCTTCTGGATGATTCCAGATTCCACAAACTGATCATACAATGACGTAGGCATTTGCTCATGCTTGAAAAGAGGCTTGCTCTAGGCCAAATATAAAACCTTAACAACACAGCAGAGATATTATCACACAGCCACTATTCACATCACAGTGCATCTTGGAACTACAGCTTTTTAAGGAAAGCACAGTATCTGGTAATTATAAGAGGCAATTACTGTCACAAATACAGTGGAAACTCTGCTCTTCCTCTTCTGTTTGAGGTATGAAGCACATACGACACTTCTATTTCCCCCTTTACCTAAAATGACTCTGACTACTACCCACAAAAAGCGCTAATCCCAAGATAAATACAGGAAAGCCATCTGTGCAGATTAATGTAAGGCCCAAACAACTTGGATTTAAGACCTGGACCACACTACTAAATGTCAGCAAAAGCTTGTGCATTCAGGAAGAGTTTCTGCTGGTATAATTTACACCCGCTAAGTAACCTAAGTTAAAATATGCAGACATGGAGGAGATTTTGGGCAAACCAAGAAGATGGAAAGCGTAAGCATTTATACTAAAACTCAGCAGTATAACCAGGAAAAGGAGGGTGTCACTAACATCTCTTATCCCACCAAAATGAACATTCTATACTGGGAAAAGTGCTGGAGAGAAGCACTGGGCAAACAAGAGCAAGGATAAGATTTACAGGGTCAAAGTGTCCACAAGGCACTGGCAAGCTGGGCAGAAAAAGTGAAGTCATCAGGGCAATCACTTTGGTAGCAAAATGCAGCAGAGCTCTGAGAGGAGAAACATCTAATTTATGAGAGCATATTAGGAACAACACAAAGTACAAAGTGTAGCAAATGTAATGTCAGATTAATCAAAACAGAAATTCCTCTTCATTTGTCTTTCTGTTGGACTTAGCTCCACATATTCCAGAATGCCAACATTTCAGTTAGACAGGAAAAGGCAACTAGGAAGAGATTCTGTATGTCTGGAAACACGATTATTATTTCTGAATGTTCCTCCACAAAATCCTTGCCTAAATATTTTTATTTTAATTTATTTTTGCAAGTCAAGGTTATTTCTCTCAGCAGTAAAGATGGAATATTTGTCTCTTCCCTTTTTAGCATGCCAATTCCATACAACTTCATGCAGCCATTGTTATAAGAAGCCCATTTATAAGAGTTGCTCCTAGGGAAGATAAACCCTGTATTCCATTAATCTGACAGGAAACTGGGAGGTCTTTTTAATCCGCTGCATCTCTCATTATTCAAATCCTTTACAATGTATAAGGCAACTTCCAAAGGGAGAAGAGGAGGCCATTTTTGTGATTAATCACCAAACTGTGAAAATCCAGTGGATGCCAGGTGACAGATTAGCTTGTAAGAAGCAAAGCAATGGGAAAGTAGAGAGAAAGAGGGCATGTTCTCAACATAGCATGGCACTTGTGGATCAATTAGTTTCATATTCCCTCTGTTAGTCTTGCAACTTTTCTCATGTCTATTGTTTCAGGGCTTGCAGGAAAACATGCACCCCCAGACAGCATTTCTCTTCTCATTGCCAGAAGAAAGGTGACACACACTTTCAGCAGAAAAATTAATGCTTAATGTCCCCCTCAAATAAATCCACCTTCATTCCAAAACAAATGAGAATATGCAAGAAGTAGGCAGGCAGAGATACCTTTTATAAAGGAATTCCCCAGCTGCTACTGCAAGCGGACGGTGAGTGGTATAAACAAACTGGTATAACATTTCACAGTCTTCAGCTGATAACACATCCTCACAGTTCCTAGGCAAAAATAACAACGGAAGTTATAGTCCAGGTTTATCTGCAAAGAATAGCACGAATTCTATGCCCAGCTTTTACTAGACTCGATTCTTCATAACCGTGCAACTTGTTTACACAGTTATGTGTGAATTTTTGTAGGGCATTTCTAAAAATGCTCTCAAACAAAATTGGCAGCATTCTTTTACTCACTGTGTAGAGAAACAGAGGTCTGTCTAAGCCATGACAAATCAGGTCCACTGCATAGACACGAACATTAATTTAAAGTAAAATTACGGATTATTAGTGATCATGGTAAAAAGAGTAATAGCAATAAAACAGGAAAATCATGCCTTTATGCTTAGATTTTCATCATAGAAGACAACAATTAGAAACCTTCATTCTGTAGTATAAGTTATTTTAAAGTTATTTCTTCCCGTATTTTAAAACCTATATTTTATTACACTAGAGTCCCTGTAAAAAGAAATCAAAACACATTCTTGATGGCATGCTTATGGCTGTGACCTCTCTGCACAAACACATTCAAAGTCATGACTTTTTTCATTCAGATACACATCGTGAGAACACCACATGCCAAATAGTACACCTAGAACACTCTCTGAGAGGTAGAAATGGTATACATATATATACAGAAAAGAAACTGAAGCATCAAAGTTGAACAACCCAATGAAGAGATACCAGAGCAGTGAAGTCCAAAGCCAGGATTACAGTTTCCAAATACCTGCTTCTTGCTGCCACAACAATGTCACTGGAATAGGCTACTCCAGAGAATGAAAGAGCAACATATGAGATCCTTACACTTACTACACCCAGGTGAGAGGAAAGGGTTTTTATTGATCACTGCATTCTATCCTCAAGTAGTAACATTTTAAAACCATCCACAGCTGTGGTCCAACACCCTCTCCACAACTGAGGACTCATGCTATTCTCCTGCTAACAGTGATGTCTACAAAAAATCAGCAGTCCTTCCTATGCTTGCCCATTTGTCTCTAACCCATTGCATCCTTTAGCATCCTCACAAGTCACAAAGCCCCAGAATATCCTCCAACCTGACTAAAAAGTAGTGAGCTCACATTAGGTGAGATTATCACTGGAGCGTCCATTAAAAAGATCTTTAAATGAAAGTGCTAATGGTATGTCCCCAAAAGTGATGGATAACGTGAAATAAAAGCTGCCTTACATACTTAATGCATGTTGTGGTGGACTCTTTAAGTATGCAATTACCTTGTGAATCTATTTAGAGTAATAGAACATATAGGAAGTGTAAAGGAATCTATATCAAGAAATTGCCATAAAGAGAAATATTTATGTCACTCATTTAACTATCTACAGAACTGGGAAAGTAGGGTAAAAATGTGTTTATTGATGTTAAAACAGTAAAAAAATTAAATAAGTAATATGGTTTTATGGTGCATTAGAGTACATGAATAAGCAGTGATGTGTCCTGTGAAGCCATGAATGATCAAATTTATTAAACTTCTACAAGTTTAACAAGTGAGAGTAAAACAAAGAATGACAACAAAGAGCACTTACAGGAATAAAAAGACATGATGTAATAAATATTAAAATGCTATGGGGAATTTACAGAAAAAAAATGTGCAGTCTGACAATGTTTCTTTCATTCTTTTGAATGTCAATCTATTATCGAGTTCTTTTAAAACACTAGTTTCCATGAAGATGTCTTTGTCATTTTTTCTCTATATATATTTTTTTCAAAACCAGTGGACAGCTGGGATTATAAGAAATTTCACCAGCACACAGTGATCTAGACTGAATTAATACAGAATCAAAGAGCATTGAGGATGGTCAGCACCTCTGCAGATCATCTGCTCCTACCCCCTGCTCACAAGAGGATCAGCTACAGCAGGTTGATGTGTCCAATCCATGAAGTCGAGGACTCTAAAACATCTCTGGCAATGTGTTCCAGTATTGGATCACTCCCACAGTGAAAAACCTTTTTCTTATGCTTAAATGAAATCTCCTGTATGAACACGCCAGTCAAGTGCACACATTTTTTTATATTTAATTTTTTTCTTCTTATATTCTTATATTTCAGGTTTTCTCTTTTAGCACATTTATAGAAATAATGAATGCAATATCTAAATGTTTATATTTTAAAAGAGTTCCTTGACTAAATTGTTCAGATAGCTTGAAGAGCTCAGCAATACCTATCTCTCTGGACAGAAATTAAGGACCCTTCCTTTCCAGTACTAATGAAACTGCTTTTCCATAGGTATTTTCTATCCTTAGAAAAGAACCTGGGAATGCTGGTGGATGTTGGAGTCCAGAGCATCCCTCTGGCTGCCCTGGATGACTCGAGTCCTTGGCAAAGAGCCCAGGAACCTTGGCAGCAAACCAAAAACTTTGATTTTAGCCCATGGGAAAGGCTGCCGACCTTATATGAGGAATTACAAGCAAAAAGGGTTTGAGTAGTGTAATAGAGAAATTGACACAGGGTGGAAAAGTAGAATTTTGGAATTTTTAGAATGAAATTCAGGGGTACAAGATAAAGGAATCTGGGCATGCCCTAGCTTCTTCTTCCTTCTTGTCTTCCATGTCTCGGTGTGATAGTGACACTTTTCTATTGGTTTAGGATAGGGACACATTGTCCAACGTAGATTTTAGGTATTGGTACAGGAACTATAAACATGGTACATATAATTTTGGGTATATAATGTGGGAGCCACCTGGGGTGAGAAGGAGACTGCGATGGCTTCTGTGCTAGTTGGACCTCAGCAGGTCAGAGAGAAACTATTACAGATAAGAAAAAATAAACAACCTTGAAAATTCGGTTTCATGCATTCCAGAGCTCTTCTTCAGCGGCCGGGCTAGGGAAAAAAGGACTTTCACACTGCTGGGTCTTGCCAAGTGACCCTGACAGGTGGACACCAAATTGAACATGAGCCACCAATGTTTTCTTGCTGCAAAGAAGGTGAATGGTATCTCAATCTGCATTAAGCATTACCAGCAGGTTTGGAGAGGTGATCCTTCCCCTCTACACAGCACTGGTGAAGCCACACCTGGAGTGTTGTATCCAGGGCTGGGCTCCCCAATACAAGAGACAGACTGGGGAGAGACCAAGAAAGTGTCACAAGGATGATCTGGATCATCTCTCCTTTGAGGAAAGGTCAAGGGAACTTGAACTCAGCCTGGAAGAAAGAAGGTTCAGGGGAATCTTAGCAAAGTGTGTAAGTACTTGGTGGTGAGAATAAGGAGACAGAGACAGGCTTCTGCTCCTGGTGCTCAGGACCAAAAGCAACAGAGCAACAGGCACAAACAGAAACACAGGAAGCTCCTTCTGAACACCAGGAAACAAAAAATGACATTTTTACTGTGAGGGTGACAGAGAACTGGCACAGGCTGCCAAAGGAGGCTGTGGAGTCTCCATTGCTGGAGATACTAAAAAACCGTACAGATGTAGTCCTGGGCAATGCGCTCTATGTGGCTGTTGTTCAGTGAGGGCTGGACCAGACAATCCTTCTAACTTCAACCATTCTATGACTTCCAAAATCCCAACCTCTCCATTTTTAACTTTGTCTCCTAAGAGCTTGGGGATTTACCCATTACATTAATCTAATGCAGTATTATTTCCTCCCTCGTTGAGACATAAGTAGGTGAGATGCTGCTCCAGCTGCAAATGAAGCACACCCAAACAGCAGAGAAGAAAAGGAAGGGAGAAGAATCCATTTCCTTTGCAACACAGGCTGACAGACACTCCTGACACCACCTGAGCACCTGATCTGCTTTTTCCTTTCTTGAGTGGGAGGGAATACCTGTGTGCACTGCTATTACTATTACTGTTCAACCTCTACTCTCCGACCATGATGAGGTTTAGGCTTATAACTCCCACTGAAATGAGTGCTCAGGCATTTTACCTGCCTCTGCAAGCAGCAGCACCTGACTACACCTGCAACCCCCAGCACTAACTCTACTTTACTAAACAGGTGTCTTTCTTTTTTATATCCATCAGGCAATCATTAACCACACAAAGAATACTTCAAATACAGCAGTAATACTGCTGCAAATTTACAGCCCTCAGAATGCCAAGCAACAGATAAAGGTTAAGCCAGAAGTGCCTGCCAGTGTTTAGGTGCCTAAAAATAAACAGGCATGGCCTTCCACATACCAATCTCATGACATACTATTTTCTCTGCACTTCAGTGTGAACATGTCCCAGTCTTCATGTCTGAGAAGAAACTGGGACATTCTAGAGGGAAATCACAGACCCATTTTGTTCTGCGTATGGCACCAGTTGGAAGATTTCATATCTTGCTTTTTGCTTCATTTTGCTGCATGCTGGAGTAGCCTGACTTGCTCTCTGCTGTTGCTCACACCAAGGACAACCATCAAAATCACAAGAGTAAAATAAAAACACACCGGATGCACTTTACAGAGTTTTACGCTAGTCTTTTTTTTAGTGGCATAATGGTACACATTATGGTTATGACAGTCTAAGGTATAGCATCTCAATCACAAATAAATCTGGTCACTTTGCATTTAAAATTAAGTCAAGTTAAACATCCAAATCTGCAGATGCATTGTAAAAGCAGTATATGTGCACAGAGCACTATCAACCAAAAAAAAAAAAAAACAAAAGTATGTTAAAAGTATTCTAATGTCTGCAATAAAAATTTTGAGTACAAAAAAATCACATACTACTAAACTGCTCTGCAATCTCACTCTCGCTCCTCTGCTCTCATTGCAAGTTATTTCAAGACATACCTTGGTGATGAGGAAAATGACAATACAGTTGCCACTAAAATGTAACAATAGTCCTTTCCCACCCACTGTACAATGGGATTAGCATGTTGCAATACATTGTGATTATACTGTGGCAGACCAATGTGTTTTGTGTTAAAACTCAGTTTAACTTCTAGTTACATTTCACTAAAGTAAATCAAAGTAATTTTCCCCTGGGCTATTTATATATTCAAGCTAAATGTAGATTTGTGCCCTTACTCACACCACCTGTAACATTTACCCATGCATCTTCTGTGGTTACCTAATTACTTTTGCCACTCTTTTCAAAAATCCCTCTACGCTTTTAGGTAGTTAAGCTCACAAAAATTAGCAGAATTGTCTAGCAGTAGGTACACTGAACTAATTTGCCTCCTAAAAGGCAATGCTTTTTTTACCTTGGTCTCTCATTGTCACTCATTTTCTTCCTCTTTAGTTCCTTCCTAGTTCTATTCCCTGTCAGATCTTTTGCAACATTAATGCTAACAATTATGCATAATTCAGTACCATTAATAATTTCTATTATGCTAAACCTCATAGGCTCATTTCCATTTCAGGATTACATCATGCTGTGAAAAAAACAGAAATCTACTAGCCCAAAGACTGCATTCAATTGAGACAACATGCAACAAACAAGAAGGAAAAAAATCTCAGCTCACAGAGATACACAAGAAGAAAATACAAATATGAATTTGAGAAAAACTAAGTATATGCATAGCAAGAGAGTTCTGAATCAACACTGGGATTTTTTTTTAATAATGTAACACATATAAGTGAATTGAAAAGATAAGTGTTTTCACTGCCTCTCTAGCTATCAAGAGAGAGAATGTAAAGGCAGATCAACTTTATGGGGCAGTAGTACACAGCATAGTCAGTGTATACAGAACTGGAATGCAGTGATGGTTGAGAGATGCTCAAACCTGTTACTACCATACATGGAGCACAGCTCTGCTGCCACTGTAAAACATCAGAAAAATGGCCAATTAGCAACGGTCAATTAAGTCTTGCTGCTACGCTGACCCAAAAGACAACTATGGAAGTCAGTCAAAGAAAGTTACTGACATAACGTATTTTTCCCAAGAAAAATTACCCAACTGAGTAATTGGAAGAAAAAAGCTATTACTGGATGACTTATGTCATGACATAACAAAATATCTATTCCAAGATTGGAGACATGTTCCGAAGGTCTGCACCTCACCAGTGAAGACTATATTTTTTTTTAAAAAATTAGTGATTCCAGATCAAATAGAGAGAATTCAGATAGAGATTCTTTCCAGTAGCTTTAAAAATAGCTTTCAGAAACTTGATCTGAAAGGTGTCTCACATCTCACTAAAAACCCAAGTTGGGCCACTTGAATTCAGTTGCCAAATTTGCAGATGACAAAAATTAGTCGTTAAAAGAGAAGCCAAGATAGCATGGCAAAAGTGGCAAAAATTTTATTACACCAATGCATACTAGTAGCCATGCCATTTATACAAGCTGTCATTTATTACTTTATCATCCCTTCTGAGGCAGTGGAGTTGCTGTCCCCAACTCAATTTAATGCTTTACTGCATGTAACAAGCAGCACTACTGCTCAATATCCAGACACAGCTTTTGAGCTATGAGACACACCTATTTGAGACACATTAGCCTTCCAGGTCTTTGTTTCTGCAGTGCCAGCAGCAAGTCCTTTCTGCCACTATTGCAGGTACTAAGGCATCAGTTTTTCCCCTGCTAGAAAAGGATCTTGATGGAGGCTCTTATTAAGAAGCTTGCACATGTGACAGCTATATTGTCTGCATTCTCTTCACACAGAGTTATAGACTGGTCAGAACTACTCTTATCAAAGAGAAGAGCTGTTGTTGAATTTGCTTATTGAGTCTCCAGTGCACACTTTCACCACTCCAGCAATTATGCCAAATCAGCAGGGCTCAGAACAATTGCGGGGGTACAGTGAAAGAAAGCTCGCTATGCAACTGATGAGCAAAAATAAAGAATGGATTCGCTAGGTCTCTACATAGCTTAATTAAAAACAATTTCATAATGTGTTAATTTTAACTTATGAAAGTTGCATCTTATGATGGAAAAATATCATTCAGAAAAATTTAGATGGCATTTATTCACACTGGAAACCATATTTAAGTAAAATTCAGAAAAAATTGCTTCAGGGAAAAAGAAACATTGATCAAACTTTTATAGCTGCAGCTTGCATTAATGAGAACATGATCCCTTATAATAAAGCCAGAGATGATAAACAGCTGCAGTGCCAATATAGCTCTTGTTAATTCAGATACGGAACAAGTGCAGACATAACTGGTGTATGGAATCTTTGTACTTCAACAATGGTGAGCTGCTCCTCCTAGCACAGGGACATGTTATCCATGGACACACCATTGTGCTTTGTTCCTACAGCTAGGCACCACAGGGAACCAAGGGATGTAGAAATGGACATTGTGAACACAGGAACAATACAGCTGTCCCTACTACTAGTGAGGCCCAAACAACAGCACTACCTTCACAAGAGGGTGCAGTGCTCACAGCATCATATGCTGTTCTGCTGTGCCTATTGAAGGAGGCCTGGAAAAATGCCATTCAAACCAGTGGAATGTGAAGTGAGACAAGAGACAATAAAGCAGCACCTCAATATACAAACATACTTGAAATTTAATGTAAACACCTACAGCACCATATTAGCTGGACCACTACGGCCTACATGCTCCTCTAGCAATGAATAATACTTCAGACTTAAATAGAGAAGCAGATCCCACAAGGCTGTTGGATAATGTCTCATGCTGTACATGGGAATAAGCATCTGCATCACCAAAATTCAACTTACACTCTCAGACACAGGAAACACTGAGTCCTAACCTCTCAACTGTATTATCAGTAGAATGCAGTGAAGTTTTTTTTCCCATTTTGCTTTGAAAAAGAGGGACAGAAAATTTACTCTACACATATTTTGCAAATAAAGACATTTCTAAAATAAACATGCTGCTCAATGATGTATCAGAATAAGATTTATATACTTCTGTAATACTAAGTGCAATTCTTCCCCACACTCCAGCTTGCCATTATCCTACCAATCTATGGCTGGCAGGTAAATTTCCCAAGAAAACAACTCTTCTGTTAGTTTTCTACCTCAGAAAAATCACACTCTTGCTCTTTTCTTGTCAGTCAGTCTGCTATGGTCTCAAAGGCTACCAGACTCTCTGCCCTGGAGCCAAGAATCCAAAAGTCCAAATTTTAGCAAGAGCCTCAAAGCTCAAAGCTTCCTGCATCAGGTGCAGAGACAGGGAAGAGAGCAGAGTTCTCCAAGCTCCTGGTCAAAGCCTGGCAATCCTGGGACAGAAGATGGGGTGGGGATCCCATCTTCAGTGGGAACTTCCCCCAAGAGAGTCAAATGCTCCTTTTAAGATAAGCCAAAATTTTAAAAAGGTGGAATTTCCTTTCAGAGGGAAACATAAAGATATAAAAATGTAGTTTTCGGACTGAATCTCAGCACAATGATTTACTTAACACTGGCATTTCCCATAAAAGGAAAATGTCATGTCTTGAGCAGCTTTAACTGTAATGCATATCCTGCCAGAAGCAACTGTTTCCCAACAAGTAAGTGATTACAGGAAGATTCATCAGGTTTGTACCTGGATCTTGTTGGCATTAAAACAATACAGTAAATTAAAAAAGAAATTATTTACTGTGACATAAGCATCAAGAGTTTCATGGCTTGAACTGCTACTTCATGGTCCTTGTCCAGAGGCATGGACACAATTCGATCCTAATGGATGTAAAATGACAATAAAAAGATGTAACATGGTTTGTTCTCAATAAACATGTATTTTTGCTACAGCTAGATCATCTACACTAGTACAGCAGAGATTTATTTTTATTTCAGCAGCTATTTCCTAAGAGATATAAGGCAACTTGATTACTACCAAGTAGTTCCCCAGCCCCTGAAAATTAACAGCATGTTAATTTTTTAACTGAATTAATCATGCAGTAATATGATATTTTTTATACATGCAATGTATGCGTTCACAAGAAATTAACTACACACTACAAATTAAAAGTGACTGACAACTTGTTTCTAAGATGTTACTACTAGCACTTCAGTATGTTAAATGAAGGTAAGCCTCAAATTACAAGCATTATCTAATCAGTTTCTCCCACTAACAGTAAAGTGCCTGCACCTACACATTACAGAAGTCAGTGCCTTGCTGAAAAGACAGAGTTTAAGTCATAAAGACATCTCATGGCATACCAGCAGTACTGCTGACCTCCAGAATTCACAATATTTTAACTTAGTACACATGCAAACAGCTCAAAACACTGAAAAAACTTCCCATCCCATGAAACCAGGAACTTGCACACCTCAGTGTGGCCTATATCTTTAAGATATATTACACCTTTAGACTGGCTTGATTTGGAACAATTTTAGTTTCCCCATTTAACACATGGTTTCTAAATCTCTACATTCATTTTCCTTTGCACCTTCCTTTTTCTCACAATCCAGATGGAAGGTGTCTAAATCCACAAATCTTGAGTCTGAACACTTAAGGGTACTAGAGGGAGCACATGTAACTCCCATTTGAAGGAAATGGATTGATGGTTATATGATTACACTCCCCACCACTGAGAAAGCTTGCTTTAAACTTTGAAACTGGTATTTTGTGTGTAGCTGTTTGGATTTCTTTTGTTTAGAGGGGAAAGAGTTTATTTTGGGCGGGGGTTTATTGACTGGGAGATGGAGTTAGCAATAATCCATTTATACTGCATCCTCCACACAGGGAGATGGCAGCACAAACAGCCTGGAGCTATTTCATCATTCTTTATTGAATACCAATCCTGCATTTGGTTACAGAACTTACAGTAGTCAGAAAGATAAGGGACTACCACATAATCATTTAAAACAGGGGTCAATCTTAGTTAGCTGAGTTTAATTCTGAGTAATTTATTACTAGGATACCAATATCAATCCATTTCATGTTCTTTGACGATATGTAATAGGTATTTTTCACTACTAGGAATTGCTTTGTCACACCTTTTGCAAAAAGGCCATGGGTTTGCCAGTATATGCAGGCATTGATTTGTCCTAACATTGAATCATGTCCTCATTCACAGGGACTGAGATATCAATCACATAATCTTGAGCTTTCTTACTCAAATACTGAGAAGGTGCAACCCTGCTAGGGTAAGAACAGCTGACAAAATCCTTAGCAAGGCCAAGGTTAAAAAAAGTAAAGGGCTTACTCCTTAAATGAGTCAGGATATTGGAATATGATAAAAGCAGAGTACAGGGTCAGTGAAGCCATGAAACAAGCTCTCGAAACTACAGTGTATCACCCGATTTGTTCAGAAAGGAGATACAAGATCCTTCTTCAAGATTGATACTGACATGGTAGATCAAGAGAGCCATTCCCACATCAGTGTGATACATGGACAGACAGTCCACTATCTGCAAGGCTAACCCATTACCAGGAGCAGCAAAAAGAGAGGATCTTTAGCATAGGAAAATCTTTGTCATCTGCCAAAGATCCTGTAAAAAAATCTGGGCCAATCTGGACAAATGGTGGAGATAACTGACCACAGTGCATGTCAACACCATTTTGTGTGAAGTGAAATGGAAGAGTTCATAGAAACAGAGGGAAACATCCCTCCCTCCCTGCAAAACTCCATCTATTCAGTCAACAAGGCTGTTTCTGCCTCTAAGATCCTCTCAGTGTAGAGAGGGGGGAGATCAGCTCTGATCAAAACATCAGGCCCTGTATATACACCCAACCTAGACTTAAAAAAACAGCAATTTATTTACCTTGAATCTATTAGTAAAGAGATCCATCCTGGAAACAAGTTCTTTTCTACTATAAATTCCCTGCAGTCCCAGCAGACACTTCAACCGCACTTCAGCTTGCTGTAAGACAAAGAGAAGTTGGCTAACAGTAACATACATGTATCCTTCTTAGTCACTATAAGCATTTATATCATGTAAATAAGAGCTCTTTGTGAGTGCCTACAGCAGACTACCCAAATGCAGCTCATCTTCTTTATTAGTGACATCAGTACCAGTTTGTTTGTGTGTACACATGCTCATCTCCCTCCTTCACACACAGAGGAAGCCTGCAGTGAGCCAAACTCAAAGGTAACATCAAAGTTTGTGTTAGGCTCCCTAAGAGTCAAAGAAACTCTCACAGACCACAGTTAATAAAAGCAACAGAATGCATAAGATACAAGGATTGTGCTATTCATGTTAAAGATACAAAGACAGGTGTGTGGATGACCTACTTAGTATACAACCAGCACTCTCCCATACATCAGACTTTGTTTCTTTTCAACAGCTGACTGGGACAATTGTTAAAAACAGACAAGGAGTCCAAGACATTACAGATTTCTTTAGATTCCCAGAGGAAGAGGTACAACTTAGACATGCACTGGCTTATCACTGTGGATTTTTACACAGTTAAGCATCATGCCTTCTCCCTATTTCTGTTTTACACTAGAACATAGTATTTTAAGAATTGTAGGAAAATGGTTGCTTTGAATTCAGCCTAATTACTTAATTTAGGCAAAATATATTTATCCATACAAGGTGTTATTTCATACTATTTGTACTAGTGCTTCATAGATGCCTCAAAAAGAAGTCTTTTCCTTAGCCAACTTTTCAATTATCTCATGTATATTGCTACATCATTCAAGGGACAAAGCTTTAAATGGAATTAGGAAAATTATTTTGATGATCCAACACAGAAAAATCATGTGTTCTGAAATTGATAATGTTAAGCATATCAGCAGAGACACTAAGATGAACTGTAGGCTTTGAATCAGTCTATTCATATTTCTTTCTTAATTCCTCTTGCTAATAAAAGCAATAAGAATAAACATAGAAATCCAAGAAAGGAGACCACCTACACACAGGCTATCCATTGCTACAAGTTCCTGTTCACCTGCTTAGATGGAAAGCCAAGGATGATACCCAATGGCAGGCTCTGACTAACAGTTTTGTTTAAGACAGCTTTTGGCTAGAAATACAAAATGAAAGATCAACAAGTAACAATGTACACTGCTCTCTAATCTGCCCATGTCACACCAGCAGTACTTATTCTATATTGTACTTTAACTTTAAAGTCTCTGAGGAAGAGACTGCTGTCCACACCTACTGCTTCCTACCAGCACAAAACTCACTCACAGACAGTCCCAAGGTGGTACCCATCACTGCACAGTGGCACAAACTCAGCTCAGCCAACGTACTGCAAAACTGGCTTGGGTTCTTTGGTTCTCTTGGTTCTTTCAGATGCCCTTGGTTCTTTGTCACAACATTCTTGTGAATAGGGACTGAATTTTTGTGTGGGGAAAGCGACAACAGAGTGTGCTGGTTTGCTGAATGTTCATATAGCTCTTGGCACATGCCTGGTAATGTAATTTCTCAGCCAGATGGAGTCAAGCATACACCTTCAAAAGTGCAACACATTAAAGTGTACCATCCCCCTTCTGAGGCATCCTTTTCCCGTCCAAAAGCTCTCAGTCACAACCTCACACATGTATGTTTCTTTAAGTGCTGAGAAAATTAACTCTAGTAAACAGAAACATATAACTACTTCTATGGCTACTTCTGTTATTTTTCATAAGTTTTCATCTGCATTTTCCTTGCATCTCCTTCTCAACCACCTCCCCTTTTATACTTTTCTAAATTCAACATTCCCCATAGGGGGGAAGGATGTGAAGTAATGTTGAATGATCAAGAATATCTCACTACCTTAAGGTTCTTTCAACAGCAGAATCAGCAAAAACAAACATCCAGCCACTTACTCCCCTCACCAGAACTACCATTCTAATTTCAACAAAAAAACCTGCTTGTTTGGTCCTTTGAAGCTGTGACAGATTGAAGGGGAATTATGTAAGCACATTTTCAGGATACTCTGAACACATACACTATCCCTCAGCTGCATCATAGCACATTTTGATCCTGACCTGATGATAGAAAACATAAGTAAGGTGGTGGGCAGCTCTAGTGACCTCAAAGTGCTCTGCACAGGCTCCAGCACTGCTTGAACACATTCAGTTATGAGATTTCAGCCCCTCCACTATCACAGAGATGGGGCCGTTCAATAAAACCTTACAGATACAGGCTGGGATCTGGATGGTTTGATAGGACTGCTGAGTCAACACTTCTCAGATTATGAACTGCGAAGGTCTACTTCTGAGTTACTCCTGGATAGCAAAGACAACCCAACTGTATTTCAAGGCAAAACAATTTTAAAAACTGCTCTCCCTCCCCAGCCCCTCAAAGAAAAATCCATGACAATATATAAAAAATACTGCTGCCCTGTTGGTGCTCTTGTTTTAAAATCAGGCAGTTTTACAGTGGCTGCAAATCACAAAGCACAGCCAGGACTGCAGCCACCAGTAGTGGCACACTACCAGGTCTCAACCAAATGCAGAATATGGACGACACCTCACTTTATCTCACTCTGCTTCCATCTGCATTGCTTTCAGATAAAAACAGCCTTAGAAAAAAAACCAACTATTTCCAGTTTCCAGTAAATGGCGCTGGGTGTGCTGTGTGCATTAATTAGAGACACCAGCTGTTAACTTTCACTGCAGAGTACTGCAAATGAAGACACATCATCTTCCAGAAAAAAAAGATTTTTTCTTTTGAGAATTCTCCAAACTGAGCATGTACTAAAAAGATACTGTGATCAGATAAAACGTATGCATGAACAAACGACGGCTCTTGATGGATTTGTCGTCCTAAAATCCCAAGTGGCACCTTCCGAGGGCCGGCAGCAGGAGCCTCGCGCGCCCCCTGCTGGCCCCCTGGCAGAGTACAGCCCGGTCCGCCCAGCACCGACACCAGCCCCGCCACGGCTCAGGACCTACACACACCTGCAAAGGCGGCCTGCACAACTACAGCGTGTGGGATTCGCCAATTAGCCGTTCCTGATAAACATTCCTATCCCCCTGAAGTCTCTCATGCCTTTTCGAAGCAAGAGGAAAAGTGTATTTTCACAGAAGCACAGAACAGGTCAGGTTGGAAGGGACCACAGTGGTGCATCTGGTCCATCTGATTGGTCCATCTGGTCCAAGCTCCCTGCTCAAGCAGGGTCAGCCCAGCACAGGATGGTGTCCAGACAGTTCTGAACTTCTCCAGTGAGGGAGACTCCACAACTTCTCTGGGCAATCTCCTCTACTAGGGAACAGTCACCCACACAGTAAAGAAATTCTTCCTCATGTTCCAGTGCAACTTCCCGAATATCAGATTTTACCCACTGCCTATTGTTCTACTGCTTGATGTTTTGGACTTACTGACTTATTTTGCTTTTTTTGCTTGTCTGTTTTGGTGGTATTTGGAGGATTTTTAAAAGTGCCTCTACTCAAAAAAAAAAAAAAAACCAACAAAACAAACAAACTATAAGTAAAAGGAGAAAAAACCCTTTGGGAAATGGCTGGACTTCCTGTAAATATTTTGTGATTTTGTGTACCTAACTGCCCATGAGAAATGCAACATTGAAGACTATTCTAGTACAATAGAATTGTAGTAGGCAATATTTATTTGTTCATTATTTATAAAACTAAACAAAATTTTAAATGTCGATCAAGCCTAAAAGCAGAACTTCAGTCAACATTTAACACTCTGAAAGGATATAAGCCATTTTACAGTTCAGAAATAACTCCCAATTCAGTAACATAAATACAACTGCACATACAGGGATTCACACAGACTGGAAAAAATGTTCTCTGTCATTTAGTGTTAAAATTGCTTTTAAAATAAAACCTGAAATGGACAAGAAAGTAAATTCTTATTGCACCACCAGAGTCTTACAGATCTACTCTCAAGAATTTAAATGCTAGGGTTCTTTCAAAAAAATTTAAAACAAAAAACCTAACGTACTAAGTAAAAAAAAAATTTAAACTTTACCTTATCGTACAGCATCCACCCAACATATTTTAAGTAACTATCATTCAAAAAAGCATCTGGGGACATTTTAATCCAGCTGCCAATTTCTTCAATGCAAGTTGCTCTGATCTCAGGGATAACATCACTGTGAAATTATAAAATCATAATATTAATACATTAAAAATTAATTTTAAAACAGACATATTTTATTATTTGCAATATTTTTATGTTCTGGAATTTCAAAAGCATATATAATTCAAAATATTCCAAGTATCTTTATATTAATATTCAATCCATACGAAGGTTACTTTTAGCCACAAACTATTTTGCAATTCTGGATATCTTCTCATTCACGAATGCACTGCTCTAAAGCCAGCAGGAAGAATTGAAAGAACACCCTAGAGAGGTCCTTTTGGAAGCCTAGATTCTTAAAAATAAATTTAACTGCTACACTTTCCTTGACACCATCAGTGCCTCCAGGATGTTTAATTTGATTCTCATATCTGTACAATCTAAGCGACAGTTCTGGGGAATGCAGATACACGTCACAACTTTGTTTTCACTCTTACCGGTAACGGTTTAGAAATGTCCCTTTGAAAATAGCATTCATCATGTTCTGTATCTCTAGAAGCTTATGCTCATACTGAAATACAAAAAGAACTGAATGTTAATATTGGTCCCACAATTCACTACACATGAAGAATTTTCATCAGGGCCCTTGGAATACTACTGTGATGCAAACTGCTGGTGTTTACACATGGTACCAACATAAAATAAGGGGTCTGTATCTGCACTAGCAACTGGCCTTTTTGTGGCTACATCCTGAGGAAAGATTTATTGGATACCAACTGCTAGCCTTGGGAAACAAGCTACTAGTTTGATACAGTGAGTCTTGATCTATCAGAGATCACACAAAGATACAGCACAAGTACTAAGCAATCTTCACATACAGATCCAAATTCTCTTTTCATGTACTTGAACAGAGATGGAAAAAAGGCAGACAAATGAATTTACAAAATACACGAGTGCATTAAAAAACTGAATCCTGAAAATGTAGGTAGGAATTTCTGAAAATCCAAGTCACCTAATAAAAGTATTCTCTCATCAACAGCATCAGGAAGGGTGACAAGTTTGGGTTTTCCCTCCAACACACTCATTTCCTCCGTCTTTCCCATAAGATCAGACTTAAAATGATACTAAAATATCCTGTCTCAACCAAACACTCCTCCCCACAAAAAGGATATTGTCTCTGTAACAGAGAATCCCACAGACATCTAAAACTCAGAACAGAGATAACAGATTCTAAGGTCAGGAGACAAGGAACTATACCTGATGTTCATTCATCAAGTCACCTTCTCCCTCAAGCCAGAGTTATTATTTACAGTTATAGCTCTGCCTCTGGGAGTTAACAAGAAGCTGTCTTTGAGCAGGGAAGAAACAACAGAAACTGAAAAGTAAAAATTATACAGGACATCCCTGACGTTCAATCAATTTTTATAAAGCACTTAAGAGATGACACTCAGCCTGTGTCCCTTCTGATTCATCACTAAAATTTGGGCTTGTAATTTGTGCAAACATATACAAAATTGCACTTCCACAACACCAGAGATACTGAGACAATTAAATTTGTGTGTTACTCCATACTCTCCATACTTGCGTGAAGATCAAGGGCTAATGACACCAATTTAGAAAAGCAACCAGTAGGACAGACATCACAGGTTAACAGTACATAGGGCAGTTTTTACCCTAGTCATGTTTGTACCACTTAATCCAGCCTGTCACACCTGCTCTGCACCATGCATTAGATAAACATACAAACCTCAAAGAACTGCACAGACCCAAAAGCAAGCAACCAGCAACCCTTCTACACTTTCCCAAATCTCCCATACAAGACACTTCCCTAACCTCTTTCCTTTTTCTCTCTAGCTGATCAAGTCTGTAACTGGTCCTCCTGCCACTTAGCCTCTTCTTCTCCACCTCATACAGTCTTTGAGCATTGTGTTTGCTGACATCAAGGTTCAGATGGATGCTTACAACTGCTGTCAGAAGTTTCATTGCTAAAAAAGAAACAAACCCAGCACAGTTAGCTTAGCTCAGAGATATGCAGCATAAATATATTCACCACTTTACCACAAAAAGGATATGGCTAGCCAAATCCAGTTTATATTGAAAATACGAACACTACTACATTATAGTAATTTGCTTTAAAATACAGTCCTTATTTTAAAGGCAGACAATGATCAAAAACGGAAACTTAACTTCTATTTCTGGTGATTTAAAACTTTTGGTCAGAGTTTCTGGTCAGAGAAGTAATTTACTGGCCAACTCTCTTGTATGTTTATGTAATTCTGACTTCTCTGCAAAAGAATCTAGAATTGTGGAACAGCTGACTGACTGTTGGTAACCAAAAGAAAAAAAAATTAAAAACAGTGAAGCTGGCTCAGAAATCACTGGGAATCTTAATATATTACTGGAATGGACAACAATTCATATTCCTCTAAGGATTGCTGGACGGTTTAAACAGATTTCAAGTCAGTTTTTTGAACCCTCAAAGCAAACAGCATACTTTAGAATAAATTACACTTTAAGCGCTCTTTGCATGTCAAAGAGGGTATTTACTGGCTTTAGGGGAAAAAAGTAGTAGCTTTAGTATCATCACACTGCATGAAACAAAAATGTGCAATAAGGAATGTTCTTTTTAGCACAGAGACCACAAGAATAGCAGTTCTCCAAGGGAAGCTTCTTAAGGTGAAGCATCTACTGCAACTTCATCACATTAGTTAGTGGAGGGAGAAAAACAATAAAATAGAAAACTGTGAGAAATCAGTTACTGAAAAATATAATACTCAGAATAGAAAAATTCTGAAGTCAGTCATGTCAAGCATTAAAGATTTCTTTATAAAGAAAAAATTGTGTTAGATCTATCCTATCTAAAGCATTTAAATTCAAATTCAATTTAGATACACGTGGGAACAAACAGTTTATATTACAGACATTCATGCAACATACACTAGGAGGAACGTACTCTCACTGCATAAGAGAATTGCTCCACTAAATAGTTTTTCAATTTAGAGCAGTTTTGTTAGTATACAAGTCAATAAAACTCAACACCTCTATAGCAACTCTGAAAATGATTTTACCTGCCAAAGTGCTTGTGTGCCTGAATGCTCTGACCATGGAATCTGCTAACCCTGTAAGCAGTGAGATGATGGTGTCCATCAAGTAGTTATCATACAGGATGCTGCACTGGCACTGCTGGACAAGCACTGCAATGAATTCACAGAAATTGGCCTTGAACTTCTTCCAATAGGGTCCTGTTCTGATCAGTGGGTAGTCCTCATTGTCCTGCACAAGAAAGACAAGTTGAGAGAAAACACAGCACTTAGTTCAGTTTGTGCATTCCCATCTCTCCCACTGAACATCAGAGAGAGTTTTGCTGACACAGTTTCACTTCATCCCCTGTAACTTTTTTCATTATTAGTATCCCAAAGTAGTGACAAGCAATTAGGATACAAGCGAGCAGAGAGACAAAATAGCTTTATTCAAGATACACAAAATAACAGCTCACATTTGAAAGCAATGTATGCAAGGCAGCTGTAAACAGACAGGAGGGAGAAAGCGTGTGAAGGCACAGCAGAGTAAGTAACTTTCACTGGCATAAACTGAGCACTCTTGGCTTATACTACTTTCACACAGGTAGCAGTGCTTCCCCACTTTCCTATCCTTCCTCTTCTTGCAAAAGTATGGTAAAATCCAGGCAGAAAATTAAGTAAGTGAAAAGTGGAGACAAACAACTGTGGTGTGAACAGGACAGGACTGTTCTCCTCAGCAGCACTGCCAGCTTGAGCAGTTTATCAGGCTAAAGCGTAACACCAAATACTTGGTCATTCACCTATACCACCTGCACCTGGGTCTCCAAAAACCCCCACAGAAACAGTAAGTGGGCAATACCTTTGACATTATGCAAAAAGCAAGTTACAATAAAAATGTAAGTGTCCACAGTACGGCTCATACTGCCAGGAGGAAAGCAGACAGAGGGAAGGTGAAATGACTTCTCACACAAAGCAGTGGAAAGCACACTAGACAGACTTTGTAAATGGCAGCCTCAGTGTGAATATTTATTTCATGTACACCTCACAGATCCCAGGAATGGCTCAGAATTTATTTGCATCTTCACAGTTTCCATGTGTGAGTGGAGTCAAGGAACTCCAAAACTTCACTCACTGTGGAAAACCTCTTCCTGAAGGCTGGCCACTTCTCAGCTGGTCCTTCACCAGGGGGGCAAACACCTTCTCAGCCACATTCTAATACAGCATTGCACTCAACATAACTTCCTATGCTTATAAAGTATACTTCATGCCCTTTTCTTGTAACTATGTATGCAGAGGGGCTGCTCCTTATTTAATGAAAAATGCAAATACAGGATAATCACAGGGCTGGCTGCAACCCAAAGCACATCAGGAATTTGGAATATGCTCCTGACCAGGTTGTAAGAGTCAGTTCAGAGCCTAACAGTAGCACCAAGTGCCAAAACAGAAAGGGAAGTCTCTTTGATCATGACATGGACAGTAGAAAGGTCATCTACAACTTCAGGAAATACCCACTTAATCACCATGGCTTACACCTCAATCTGAAAAGCAGCACAAAATACACAAAGACTTCTCACTTTTTCAGAGCATTTCTACTGCCCATGTTTACCACATTGGGATACTCTTTAATGGTAACATGCACGTTGTAATCATATACACAACATGAAGCACACACCACCTAAATTCAGGCACCTAACTTGAGATTCCCTTAGATTCCTTTCATAACCACTAGAGAAATAACTCTGGTTCCAGAAATCAAGTGAGATTAAGCCCTTAATACAGGTTCTTCTAGAGAACTATTCAAATCAATCAACAGAGTGATGTGAGCTCCTGCTCTGACTCAACCAGGAAATTTTTCCTTCTTTCATACAGAGTCTACAGAAAGGGAGGAAAGTCAAAATGAAGTGCCAACAAGGAGTTTAGATAAATTTCCCACAGAAAAAGCTACAGTACAGTTGTGGAAAACTACAACAGCCCTACCATGTCCACCGGCCAAGTAACTGTTAGGATCCAAGGATAGGCCACGAATTTCTTATACTGCAACCCAGTTTCCTGTAATGCAGGAGACAAAATTTTGAAAGCTTGTTAATGAAATGGCACAGATAATTCAGAGCTAAAAGCATTACAAAACATGCAACATATTTCAAAGGCCATTAGAACTGCAACCAATGTGTATTACAGCTGACCCACACAAGCCAAAATACTACAAAAAAGCTAAATCCTTCTTATCTGGGTTTTGTTGTTTGGTTGGTTTTTTTTTAATAACCAATGACAGAAGAAAGACACTTCTCTGCATTTTCTTGTTACTAATATGAGACAACTTGTTTCCAAATTTATAAGCAAACATATACAAAGTATAACCCTCATTATTAATCCTAAAATAAGGCTCCTCATCAAGTATATAAAACCATTTTCAATATTTGGTACCTAGATGTGAAACATTTAAACCCTTAAAAAGAAAACCATTCTGAGCTTTTCAAATTAGAGAGAAATGTTTTCATCACCAGTATGACTTGATTCAAAGATGTTTTCTCAACTTTGCAATTATTCCAAAACAAAAAGCATTAAATATAGAGCTCTTTATCAGGTTCAGTGAAGCACAAGTATTTCAATCCCCATCTAGCTGTACAGCTAAGCAACAAAGTTAACTCTTCCCTTCCTAAATGTCTGAACAACAAAATGAGAAAGGAAAGAAAAACTACATAAGAACAAAGAACTGCAAGAAGTAAATGTCACAAACAGGAACAAAAGCAGAAGAAACAGATTATCTTAAAATAAAAGAAAAACAAAAAACAGTGTAAAGGCTGTCTCATCACTGAGGAATAACATGGCTCATAAAGATGAAATAAATGCCTCAATGACCATATTAAAGCTATTCTCTGTTTCCAACATCACGGAATTACAGAAAGACTGAAATTGAGAGGGATTCTTTGAGATCATCTAATCCAACCCCACCTGCTCAAGAAAGATCAGCCAGCATAGGTTTCCCAGTGCAGTGTGCAACCAGCACCTCTGCTCTCAACTCCTGGAAATGTGGCTACTATAACTAATGAAATTTTAAGAGGCAAGCAGCCCTTCTCTGTGACCAAGCTGGTCACACATTCATTCCTCTCCCTCGTTACCCGGCCCTGAAGGTCCTGTGAACCAAGCAGACAAATCAAACAGATTACCTTCCCTCCCTCATAGCCTCATGGTTCCTGGGTGCCAGACCAATTATCCCCTTCCTTACCAACCCTGTAGGTCCCAGGCATTCAGCCAGGCAGGGGGTGGCAATGACCCAGTTAGAGAACAGGGAAACATCATAGCGCCCAGAGCACTGCTAACAAAATCAAGGTACTGCAAGGTCTAAGTGCTGAACTCTGACCAGAACTCCTACTGGACAGTAGACCTGAGCTATATCACAAATTCTATATTATGCTATTATAGTGATTCTGCTTATAGAAATCCTGTGCCATTTTAATCATAAATTCTGCTCTATACTAATAATAACATACTGTTAAGAAATAAAGCTTTAATTTTAACTACAATTTATGCCATCCTCATTCTGTCAAGGATCCCTCAAAGTACACGTCTTTTCCTTCACTGTCAGGCGATGCCATGAGTAATCAAATACTATCTTCAGAGACTCCACAACCTCTCTTGGCAATCTGCTCCACTGTTTGACCATTCTCTCAGTAGAAGTTTTCTTGTGTTCAGGTAAAATTTTGTCCATTTTAGTTTGCACCCACTGCCCATCTTGGCTTGCCTTTGCTCTCACCATGTCACTGCATACCATTGAGTGGAGCTGTGCTTCCTTCTGTCACATCAGGTATTTTAACACAAGTGAGATTCCTTTGAGCCAGCTTTCTTCCAGACTGAACAAGTTCAATTCCCTCAGACTCTCTCTCCTCATATCAAAGATCATATATCATCTTTGTGGCCCTTCACTGACCTCACTCCAGTAAACCCATCTCTCTCTTGTTCTGGAAGGTCCAGAACTCGACTCAGCACTCCAGATGAGTCTCAGTAGTATGAGCAGAGAGGAAATATCACCCCCCAAGATCTGCTGGCAATGCTCTACCTAATGCAGGCCAGGAGGTTGTTGGTCAATTTTGCAGCAAGGGTGCATTGCTGGTTCATGTTCATTTTTGTCACCCACACCAAGATCCTACTCTGAAGAGCTGCTTTCCAGTCAATCAGCCCCCAGTGAGTAGTGGTGCACAGGGTTATTCATTCCCAGGTTCCTAGGGCTTCCTGTTGTAGAACTTCATGAGGTTCCCCTCTGCCGAACTCTCCAGTCTGTTGAGGGTCCCTCTGAACAGCAGAACAACCACCTGATCTGACAGCTAATCCTCCTCATTTTGCATCATCTGAAGATTTGCTAAGAGTAAACTCTGCCTCAGTGTCCAGGTCATTATTAAATATGTAAAACAGCTGTGGCCCCAGTATCAAACTGTGGTACAATACTAGTGACTAGCCTCCAACTGGACTTTTTGCCACCCACAGGCCTGGTTGTTCCACCAGTTTTCAGTCCACCTCACTGTCCACTAGCTCATACTTCACCACCATGTCCATGAGGATGTCAGGAACTCTTTTCTTGCCATACTGAACTCCATTAACATTTCCCACTAATATTAGTAAGAATTCTAGGAGGAAGCATTGCTACAAGGATATAATGCTGCAATAACTGAACAGCAATGCCATGGTTGAATCACTGAAATTATCATGAATGAATTCCTTAAACGCTAGAAAAAAACAGTAAAAATTCAAAGGCAAGATGATATTCAGCAAATATTAGGCAATATTTTCCACTCTTGTTACTACTTTCACTATTACTGTCACTAGTTTTCAAAAAATGCTTTTGAAATCACAGTAGTTCCACATGGCACTCCTTCTCAACTAACTAAAGCCAGTAACTTATAATTCCATCTTATTTATGAAAAAGATAAGAGAGAACTTACTTTCTTCATAGAGCATGGAGAATACAGCTTCTAAGGCAACTGCAGAACCTGCCTTTTTGCCCAGGACAGGTGAAATGGTTACAGAGCTGTAATATTTCTAGGCTGATGGTAGAAATAATCATATCTTTGTATCTGCCAGAGTGCCTGCACTATCATGAGTGTTATTCAGGGCTAATTTAGTTGGCAAAGAACTGCCAGACTACTAATTCATATGGCCAGACACACATAGGTTCATTTCTGTCAAAAAATTAGCCCAAGTGCTACTACACTTCTAAAATGAAGAAAACCATGTTGGCAAATTCACTCTCTGTGGGAATTTCGACAGCAGCTGGTCTTTGAGAGATGCTCAATTAAAATAAGGCTGATGGCTGCTGCTTGACAAATCAATTCAGAAGTGACAAATATAGGGAAAAAAGCATGAAAGCAACTGTGAGAGCACTGCAGAAAATTTAATGTTGTGATAATTAGTCAAGGAGCAGTCAAGCAGTGAAACAGCATTGTACAGCTATGTGCTTTTCTTAACAATTCACAAAAAATGAAATGCTCACTACTGTTTCCACAATTATCTGACAATCTGAAATGCATTTTTCTTCCTCCATATGACATAATACAGTTATTAAAAATCATAAGTGTCAGTAAAGCAGAAATAACATATTCAAATAAAATATCAGCTAAAAATATCTTTGAATTAATTAATCAGTAATCCATATTAGTATTTTTAAAGGATATATCAACCATTTGATAGATCCTTTCTATCTACGGTTCCAAAAGGAAGCACTTACCTGCTGCAGTGCTGGGTTATATCTACCTGTATGAAGTCATTATCAAAAGAACTCCTAAGAGAAAGATTCAGGAAGGCTGCAGTCAGACAGCCCTAATAAAACTCTCAAAATAAAAGTATCTTTAAAAAAAACATATCTTGCTGATGCTAAAATGGGTAATTACGACAACAAATTTCTCTTGCAAAAAAACCAAGTTTATTTTACTAAATAAATGAAGTGGTACAGAGCTCCTGATAAGCAACAGAAATTCCATTCAGGTTGGCTATTAATGTAGAGCCTATTGTTTATATAAAAAAGACATGAAAAATCAAAGTTGTACTACCTTATCAAAGGTCTCCGTCATTTTTTGCATGACATCCTTCTTGTACAAACTTTGAAACATCTCTGCTGTTACCATGCCTAAAAAAAAGTAGTGTTTTAAGAAGAATTACTGACAACTGTACAACATTAATCAAGTCCAAACTTCATTAAATTTAGACACACCAAAGACAGGGGAATTCTGTTTTATGTGTGTACACTGGTACAGGCAATATTTGTATATAAAGAGACACATAAAATAATTGATAGGAAAAAGTACTGATGAACCAAAACTGAAATTCCCATCAGAGAAGTCTGCTCTGTGCTGTCTGGAAAGGCTATTTTCTTTGTTCATTCATTTACTTCAAAGATTGACTAAAATTTTGCCCACTGGTCAGAACTAGCCAAAAACCCCAAAGTATTTCTCATAAGAGAAGGCATATTAGTCAAAGACTTAGGGGGGAAAAAAAGACACATAAAAGTACATTTCTAGCTGCTTAAATACACTCAGAAGTTTCAAACTAACAGGACAGTCTTCTTAAAACTCTTACTTGCCATCCTGAAGCATTTGACTAGCAGATGCTCCCCAGAAGGCAGTGCTTCAATGTTTGTTATGAAACAGATAGCTTCACAACTCTCTAGCAAAAGCAACTGCAATGAGGCAAGACATTGCTTTTCTAGCCACCAAATCAGGGAGCGGAATTTGCTAGCTGCTTATTTTCAAACAAGGATACTAGCAAAACAAAAGATACCAAGAAATATAAAACAAATGGCAACTGAAACACTGGATTTTAATTAGAACACTCATCAAAAGCACTGTCCCTATGTGAGGATTCTCCAAAGCAATGTGACAGGCCACTTCAGAAACCTGACCTTTCAAACCCTGCTCAAATACAACTCTCAGAGTTGGAATGCTGCTAGCACAAAGAATTTAACCAGCAGCATTCCCTTCTATTTTGCCTGCCCATCTGGAGTTCATCTTAATGAACTGTACAGATCATAAGTTCATGATTTACTGGAGAGAAAAACTCCGTTTCAAAAAGCACACATCAGACTCCTCTCACACACAGACAGTGGAAGGGGCTGCAAAGAAGGTAAATTACCTTGACAGCCTGAGCACTGAATGAAGAAGTTGATGAGATCCAGAAGTGCCACATTCCTGTCTTGTTTATAAGCTTCAACCCAGTCAACTACCACAGACTAGAACAGATTAAAGAAGCTCATTAGTCAGGAGATGAACACATCTCCACTCCACTGAAGATACCCACAATAAAGACAAAAACTAACACTGCTCCATCTCCATTAAATTACAAAACCAAGAATAAACTCCAAGCAATTCTCTTCCATTCTAGTAGTTCTAAAAGACTCTTTCAAGTTTTAAACTGCTTTAGACAATGCTGCCTTTCACAGATGCTTTCTCCTTCCTGTTAACATGGAAAATTACCACAGTTTTAATAAACATAATATAAAAAATTAAAAAGTTGTCCTCCTGAGTTCTTGATTGCACTGAGGTAACAGTTTAATTTAAAAACAAAGAAATAAACACAAACAACAACAACAAAAAAAACCACATACATTTATCCTCTGCACCATTTAATAATTAGTATCAAATTCTACTAGCAATTTACCCTAGAAGTTCTCTTTTTCTCTAGCACCTGATTTGTGCAGTAGGTTTGAAACAGTTCGCATACTAACATAAGCCAGAAAACAACCCCAAATTTCATTTCTAGGGCAGTACAGCCTACAGCCACTAAGTAACATGGGTCTCCTGGGACAGGCCATCCAGGCTTCAACCCACTAGTAGTTTCACACAGCAGTTCTAATAAATTATAGCAGCAGCAGAACTCAAGCTTTTGTTTCTTTTTGTCAAGAAACAAAAGCTGCCTTTACAAGACCTTCCCATGATCATTGGCACAGCAGAAGCCAAGCTCTTCAGGGAGCTCTACTGAAGTTACCCCAGCTGTAGCACAAAGGTTTCACATCCAAAATATAAATGTACTTTTCATGCATGTGTGCACACAGACACTGCTTACAAACACTACACACCAGAGACATATCTATAACTCTACATAAAATTATTTGGGGCTCCAGATTTTCATACACATATACAAAGATAATATACACATGTGCTCACAGAAAATGGGGAGGTGGGCTTCCTCACATTGAAGAATATTGGTAACTATATAGATGAAAAGGAACCTGGCTATTATACAAGCTGCTGGTTAACTGCATTGGAATGAAGGTAAAAGATTAATGGTACAAGGCAATCACGGGGAGGGCAAAAAAAAAAATAAAAGAAAAACCTGATTTTTCAGAATTCTGAACAACTAAAATTTGCTATTGATTAATCTTTTCCACATTTTTAAAATAATTATCTTTTTTTTATATTAAGGCATTGTAGACTGGTTTTGGTACAATTTCCTTGCTCTTTTTAAATATCTGACAGCTACCTCTTCACTAATTTCTTGAAGCTTTCCAAGAGCCACACTCACAGCAGTTTTCCAATCAAACCTGTTTCTTCCCCAGCTAACACAAAATTTAAATGTTCCGCAGAACAATTAATGGAAATGACCACTGTTTATTCACCATCCCTCCACCAAGTGCTTTCAGAACTCAGTGCGGGGAATACCTGCATGGCCTGTTTCCCCATGCTAACCACTTCAAACAAGGTAACTGCCTCAACCACTTCTCCATTCTGTAGCTGGCTTGCTCTTCTGGCAGCAGTAGAACTCCTCCTTATGTTTTCACACTGCTCTCGGACCTTCTGTTTCTCTCTCTGAAATGAGTCAAGTAAACAAAGTACGTGAGAAAACACAGCACACAACAGACATTCACAGATACAAATTTACTTTGCTCTTATTGCAATCACTTCCCCAGGCTGCTCAGTTTTATGCCCCAAGGATCCCAACAATGTCTTACCAAATACGACCATACTAAAAGGGGATGAAAAAAAGGATTTACCAGTTTGAATTTTACTCTTAACAATGAGTCATAAGCATAGGAAAATATAACAGGAAAGAACGGTTTCAAACTACCCAGAAGGCAGTTTTCAGTGGCAGCTGTCATTTCTGAAGAATAGAAAGCAAGCACAGAAGCTTGTCTACATCTTTTCACTCACAGGTTAAGCTCACTACCTGCAAATTAGCATCAGCTGCACACAAAGCACAGAAAGGAAGAGTAATGATGAAATGAACTGACCATGCAAAAGTCAGGATCGAGGCTGCCAATGGAATTTGAGGGTCAAGCTGTATTCAGTGTCCAACTCTTAGATGCAGCGTGATTGCTGCATGCAATACTCACTTTTGCAACAACTGAATGAGACACAAAATAAACTCCACAATTTAAAATAATTAAAACTTTTAAAAGCTTTACAATTGACTTACTGGTGTTTTCAGGTTGCCATTTCTCACATATGTGCCATTCTGCGCAGCAGACTCGAGCACAGTCTCATCATGGACAGCATTCTCTCTAAGGTGTAACAAACATTTTGAAGGGGTTAGCAGTGAGCACTCAGAACTACACACTTCAGGACAAAACTAGAAAAAAATAAAAGCAAATACATGTATTTTAAAAGTATTTTTAATTTGTTGTTTGGAAGTGGTGACATTTTGTCACTAAAAGCCAAACAGCTAACTTTAAAAGTACAACAGATATTTGGGGCCTTTTTCAATCTACTGGCTTTCCTGTAAGATATGCAGATAATTAGAAAACCAGCAAAGCTATCAGAGGTATCAAGAAAGTATAAAGCAAGTAAATGAAAAAGAAAGCTGACATTGACTTAATGCAGCCTTTGTTGACTTAAGAGCTTTGCACCATGAACCAATAACACAAGTAGGCATTCACTCTGTGGGTGCCCTAAGCTAAACAAGGCAGTAACATTTCACAGATCTACATTTTAAAATGGGAGGAAGAAATTGGTTTACTTTGTTTATAAAACATGCTGAAGAAAAAAGACACATTAAAACTTCATTTTCAGGTCATTGCTAATATAATGGAGGAACAATTTTATAAAGAAAGATGCACCTTCTGGGAGATCTGGAGCCATACATTTATCTGCAATGAAACCGTGCCATCTTTCATCATTCCCAATGCTAACAATATGCTTTGCCAAAGGCCATGTTTGAGTAGACGAGCTGGATCCCACTTGTGCAGCAGGTCCAGTACCGGAAGCTGGCTGCAATGGCCTCCTTTAAACTACAGTGGCCAGGACATGAAGCCAGTTGACTTGTACTACAGGAAGGCACAGAAAGAAAGTAAATATGAGAGTGTACAATTACGTCTATTTTCGTGATACTACTGCAACAAGAGAGTGTACTAACACAAGTGACCACTTTACAAACAAAAAAACCCAGCACGTTACACTATCAGATACAGTCAACTCCCCAGTATCCAGTGTTGGCTAACATAGATGGAGACTCAACTGTTCTATGGATGCAGAGCAAGCTCAACTCCACCTAAGTTTATCAATGCCAGATAAGCATTTTTATCATTGTTCTTCCCACAATTGTTTTGCAAAGCAAATTCTGAGACTGAATAGCATCAACTGCAAGACCAAGGTCCCGATATTATTTTGTTGGTAAGAGCATATAGGTTTTATTTAAACATGTCTGTTTACATTTCTGATCTACTGAGACACATCAAGAAGTGATGTAGAATGAGGCTTCCAAAGACTCCTATAAAAATTCTATATAAATATAAAATTGCACAAAACCACAAAATTTCTAAATACAATTATGCTTACCTTCCTTACAGAAAATGTCCCATGAAAGTTAAACTCCATGAATTACTAGTTATAGAAAAGTTCAAAACATGCCACAGTGTTTGATAGACAAAAGGAGAGAAAATAATTCAGGATGAACCAATCCTTATACCAGCTGTCTGGACTTCTGCATGTGAAGAGTGGGATAAACTATACTCCCAGCTGAGCCAGCATTCTATAAGTAATTATTCACAAAAGTTTTCAATTGTCATCTTTGATTCAAAATTGTGAACCACAGAGATTAAGTATCGCAAGTACTACCAGAGACTTCCCAGTTCAAACAGCAAGGACAAACAGCAAGGGACAGCAATATGCATTGCTTTTCTCATGCCAGTCTGTGCTTCTCAGATCCTTCTACAGACCACAAAACCAAAAAGAATCCAAACATGTTTGGCAAGGAGCTGTTTCTCCTATGTGATTAAAGCCTTTCACTCTCAATTTCAAAGCAGAATGCATCACTGTGGGGCTGGACTAACAGGTTCTTACTTGCACTGTTTCACAGGAACTACAACTCAGGTGCCAGCCAACACTATAGTAACACCGGTTACCAGTTTCTGCACTGTACCTCAACATAACACTCAACACACCTTTAAAACCTTTTCTGAATTGTTTACAAGTACTAGTTTAGCAACTTACTCCATCCCATAATGAAGGTAAATGCACTGCATTTGATTATAGCAACTATATTTGAGCCCAGGTTGGTTTAAAACACTTAAATAATTCAAAAATCAGAACTGCCACAGGACAGTTCCACCAAGGACTTGTCTGATCATGTACTGCTTTTAGTATCTCTGTCTAGAACATACTTCTTTGAAGATTTAATTCACATTTCTCTTTCCCAAGAATATCCTGAAGGACAGCACTCTGGACAGCACTGGCCTTGTGCTACTTGTTTAGTCTCTTATGCCAGAAAAAATGTACTTGTAGCAAAAGGGGCCCAACAAAGTAAGGAAATGCCTGGCATACGGAACAGTATGTTAGCAAAGCTCAGCCAAAGCTCCAAGAGTGGGAAGACCACAGATCTACAGATCCCTCATGCTGAGCCAAATAAAACATATCTGTGGTGAAACCTGTTAGAGTACCTGTTACACATGCAGCTAAACAGCTATCTTAAGCATTTCCCGAATTTAACTAAGCACAAAATACTAATAAGCCATTTCGTTTCTGAACTGTTTCAGTTATCAGTGCACCTCAGCACATACAAATATTTGCAGAAACTTGACCAGCACCTAGAAACTGAACCCCATGAAACCACTGAACAATTAAATGGGATATTTAAACGGAACTTTCATTTGCACAACTACATTTCTGTTGAAGAAACTATTAAAATAATTAAGACATTCTCATATCTTTTGAAGCAAAACATAGGTATTACTGTACCTAGTTGGGGAAGACACAGGGGTCACTTCTGCAGCAATCCCTATACATACCCCCATTCAACATCTTCTCAGCCTAGGAGTGCAATGGTATGGTGCCAAATTTTGAACTAGCTGGGGTTTTTTTTCCCTCCCTGTGTTATTCTACAGCATGTTGAGCACTTCTGCATGCATACATTCACTGCTTCATGCACTGGAAGAAACAGCTCTCAGCCATTTAGTTGCTTCCATCAGAAACCAGTAAGAAAGCATAAGCAGAATGCCATTTCTATTTCCACCTTATACCCTCTTACAAATGGCTCAGAGACTCATTTTTACTTTATGTTCCTGCCACAGTATTATACTTTGAAGTATTACAGATAAAACACCTGAAGTACAAAGGAAGCAAAGTCCCACGCCCAATCCTCAGACACACTACTACTGTGATAACGTCTGAATTCAGTGTTCTTATCCTAATAAACATTTAGAATAATTTGTGACTCACACTTGAAAAGAAAAGTACCTCTTTACCAAGGAGGCAATATATTCCTTTTGCTATGTACAAGAAACTATGCACAATTAATCTATGCTACTGAAAGAATCCTACCTGTAAATTTTTAAAATTATAAATTTCAAAACAACTGGTTCATCTTTTAGAAGCAATACAAGAAGCTCCACTAAGCAACTGCCATGTGCCTGCCTAACACTTCAGAAGGGAAAAGCTGGTTTCAGATGAAACATACTGGAATAAATGGGAAGCTATACATGTTATCATGGGCTACAACTCTCAGCTTTCATTAGAGCATAATGAAACAAAATACGTGGAGCAAACAGGCCCAGAACGTGATAGGATCAGAAAAGACTAGGCTGCAATGAGTTCAAAGCACACAACAGTGGACACCTAAGAAGTTTCACTCTTTGAAACCAAACAAGAAATGCACAAATGTTTTAACTTTACCTTTTATTTATTTATATTTATTCTAGTATAACTTCTCGCTGCCATTGTGTAAACAATTATATAAATATTTTATCTCATCTCAACAGATGACTAAAAAATACATTATAAAAGGAAGAAGAGATGATGGATCCCTGATAAAAACAATACAAAATAGATAGAAGCAATGCCCCCATCAACGCCTATAGGGAGCTTGCAGATTACTTAGCACTCTTCCCCCTCAGCATCCCCAAATCTCTGATGAAGGGAACACATGCACTGAATGAATGCACATGCACATGCAATGAATCTGCCCCCTTTTTTTTTTTTTTTTTTTTTTTTTTGCAAGGTGCATTGTGGTGAATTAAGGCACAGAAAATCTTGCAAAGCCAAGGTCCCTGTCCAACAGCATAAAACACTACACTAAGAAGACGTTAAACAGTACATGAAAGGAAATAAAATTAAGCTATTAGTAACAAAGCAGAATGAACAGCAAACCCCTTTTTTCCCCTTTCTCCCTGAGATGACACACTACGGAATGCCGCAGTATCTGCACGGTACAAACCCCAGGGACAGCACCCGAATTCGCCAATAGATTTTACAGGCAACCTCTGCCGGGTCTTACTTTTGGCTGGGAAGGTTACTGGCTGCGTTGGGCTCGGCTATCATTTCCGCTACATTATTTCAGCAGCTCAAACAAGCTGTCACGACCTTCTGAGGAAACTTCACCGAAATCGAGAGTGTTAAAAACTTAACAACCCTTCAGCTTTTGCGGGCGGAGCAGAGGCCGAAAACTGTCAAGAAAGGCACACAAAGAGACTTAATTTCAGGCAAACCAGGGCAGAAACAGTCCCCCCCTCCATACCCGCTCCCCCTCCCCCCGGCTGCAGAAGAGGATGAAACAGAAAGAAATAAAACCTACCGACAACCCCGCAGTGGCTCCCGGGCGCTGCCCAGCGCGGCCCGGCGTCAATCACGGCGGCGCTGGGCCCGGCGGGGCGGGGAGCGCTGTCACATGGGCGGCGGCGGCGCTTCCGCAGCGCCCGGAAAGACGCGGCCGGGGCCTGTCCCGGTGCCTGCCCACCGCCCGGGCTCGGCGGTGCCGATGGGGCCCAGCCGCCTCTCGTGGTCGCTGCTGCTGCGCTGCCGGCGGGCGGCGGCCCTGGGCGCGCCCCGGTGCCGCCCGCTGCCCGCCCGCCCGCTCAGCGCCGCCGCCCCGCTCCGGGCCCCTCTGCGCCCGCCGGGCGCGGGCGGCGGAGCGCCGCGGAACGGGCCGGCGGGCGCTGGCCGCGATGAAGAAGAAGAAGAGGAGGATGATGAGGCAGCCCTGGAGGCGCTGCTGGGGCCGTCTCCGCTGGCCCCGGGGCCCAGCGCCCAGCGCGTTGCCATCGTGCACCCCGCGGTCAAGTGGGGCCCGCAGAAGTCGCCGCTCACCACGGGTGCGGGGCTGCGGCGGGCGGGCGGGATCCCAGGGAGGTGTGCATCCAGGGGGGTCGGAATGCACTGCCCTGCGAGGTGCGGAGTCACTGGTCTTGGGCGTGTGTAAGAAAAGACTGATAGGAGCACTGAATGGCGTGGGCTGTTGGCACGGTGGTGCTCGGTCGCAGGTTGGACTCCAGGATCTCAGAGGTCTTTTCCAACCCAGCTGATCCTGTGCCGCTAGTGTGAGGTGGAGCCGCTGTTACAGCGGTGAAACCGCGACGTGCAGCTTGCAAAGTACAACCTTGGTGGAAGGTCTCGGGCGTTCTTTCCATCTTTGACAGCTTTTTAGAGGACAAGGGAGCTGTTAGTGAGGGTTGGCAGGTCTGTGCTTTGACTTGCAAGCCGTGCTGAGTGCATTTTGGACGGCAGAACGCCTCAGTGCAGGTTGGTCAGGGAAACACTCGGGTGTCCCCCTTATTAGCACAATGTTGATTGCCCTCAGCCTTACTGCCTGCCCAGTGGGCTGGAGTCCTTTGGCCTTAGGGTTGCCCAGAACTTGGCTGGAGAGCAGCAATACCCTCCTATCCAGAGAATAGAGTGCAGTGAAGATGAAGTCCTATATAAATCCTCTCGGGGACTTAAGAGCTTTTGTGCAGCTACTTAGTGATGCACCAGTAATTCCTCTGTAAGGACCTTTCTGTAGGACTACTATTAGGTTTCTCTCAGAAATCATTGTAACTAGCTAATGTGTAAGCATTAATCACACACAATTAAGACACGTTATGAACTTGATGCTTCTCTTTGAACACCTCTCTAATTAGAAGGTTGCAATATAGAGGATTAAAGCACCTTGTAAGTTGGCTTTTTATGGATAGAATCATAGAATGGTTTGGCTTGGAGGGAACCTTGGAAGGTCATCCAGTCTGCAATGATTCAGGACGTCTTCCACTGGATGAGCTTGTTAGACCTCTGTCTAATCTGGCTGTGAATGTTCACAGGAATGTTTACAGGACCCCCACCTCTTTGGGCAATCTGTTCCAGTGTTTCACCACTCTCATTGTAAAAAACTTCTTTATATCAAATCTAAATCAAACCACTGTCCCATTTTATTGCAACAGGTCCTTCTAAAAAGTCTGTCCCCATCTTTCTTTATAAGCCCCTTTTAAAGGCTGTAAAAAGGCCTTCTCCAAACTGGACAACATTGACTCTCCCAGACTTTTCTCATAGGAGAGGTTCCACCTATCTGATCATCTTTGTGACACTCCTCTGGATCTGCTCTGACAGGTCCATGACTACCTTGTGCTAGGGACCCCAGAGCTGGACACAGCACTGCAGGTGGGGTCTCACCAGAGCAGAACAGAGGGGCAGAACCCCCTCCCTGGCCCTGCTGGCTGCACTGCTTTGGATGCAGCCCAGGACATGTTTGGCTCTCTGGGCTGCAAACACAGAGTGATGGCTCATGTCCAGCTTCTCATCCACCAACACCCCCTAGTCCTCCTAGGCAGGGCTGTCCATCCCCCAGCCTGTATCAATATTCTAGGGGGTTGCCCTGACCCAGATGCAAGACCTTGCCCTCATTGCTTCACGTTTTTCCTAGTTTTCCCACTTCTTGAGCCTGTCCATGTTCTGGATGGCAAGAGATAGTTTGTATGTACTTATTCTTTTATTCCAATTTATTATGTGATGAACTTAAATCTTGTTTAGTTTTATTAGTGCTGCTAATTCCAACAAATTGTCACATTGCAGAATAAAGTTTTTAACCTTTTCAGAATTGACGTGACATAATTTTACAACTGAAAAGTAGGTAAAATAAGAAGGGACCTCTGTCCAAATATACAGAAGAATAGCAATGGTCCCTTTCCATTTATTTAGGCCCTCCAGATGTAGCGCCTTTAGTCTCAACAAATGTTTTGGAATGATTTTTGAAGCACCACAGATACAACAGGACATCTCTGTATTTTACAAAAAAAACATGAACAATATGAGGAAAGCGTGGATCATTATTATCTTTAAAAATATGTTATCTTTTGGACTAATGTAACCTATTTAGTATATAAATTAGGTTTTGCTGTCTAGAGAAACTTTACAAATTTGTTCTGAAGAAGAAAACTTTGGTATACCAAGACTAGAATTGCTGATCTGATATTCTTGTGTAGTCTTTGTGATTTTACAAAGTCCACAAAAATCATTGCTTTGCAATGTAGTTGTTAAAAACTCAAAAGTAATTGATGAACCAGAATACAGGATTCAAATCTACTGGTTTTAGCAAGTCACAAACCAGTTTAGGTACTTTAAGAATAAATGGCTGTGAAGTTACAGCAGGATATAGCTGTATTAGTAATTCCCAAATTATTGCTGCAAAACACCAAAGTGTTAATTGTGTAGCTTTGTGCTCATCTGAAATAATAGATTTTCCAGCTAGTTATTAATTTCACTTATTGAGGGAAAAAGCTGACAATACAATTAAAAATTCTCCTAAGCCAACAACCACAGAAATAATTTATACTGTTGGAAAGATGCTTTGTGTGATAAAGTTGCATCAAACTGTCCAGTTACTCTGATTATAGGTAAGACACTCTGCTCCTTCTGCTAGAGATTAAAAGAATTTCAGTGTAGCATAGTCTTTCCATATTCATGCATGTACTGTAGTTACTTACTATCTGAGAAGACATATGATGGTACATAGTAATATATATTTCTTTTTTCTCTTACTATGTTTCTGAAGCTGAATTACAGATTGCCGAAGCTGTTGCTCTTGTAGATACTCTTCAGAACTGGACAGTTTTAGATAAAATAATTATTCCTACAAAAAATCCCAACAAGAAGTTTGTTTTTGGCAAAGGAAACTTTCAGGTTTTGACAGGTAAGGACTGGGATCTTTCAGCATTGCATCACTCTTTTGCAGCCAAAAATTCAAGGATAGGTATGAAAGCTGAAGAGAAGGAGAATTTTGTTTATCCATCATGCAGGTTTGCAGGAAAACTTGAAAGAATTTTTAAGGTTACAAAAGCAACACAGAATAGACATAACCCCTGGTTACTGAAAATGTGTGAGACAACTTAGTCCATAAACTTACGTGATTGACATAAGTGAAACTCATGCTGTTCTTGGCACAGTACTAAATTAGCAATTACAACTGCTGTATGAACAAAGAATGTGGTGTCATTTGATGTTTTATGAGCATTCTGCTCAGTGCAAAATGGTTTATAGTCTGGGCATTTTAAAAAGAGAATTGACATTTAACACTGTATTTTGCAATCATTATCCATCTTTTAGAAAAGATTAAAAAATTGCCCCATGTGACAGCTGTCTTCTTGAATGTGGAAAGAATATCTTCACTAACAAAGGTAATTAAATATAATATCAAATCATATTATTTGCATCAGTATTGTTTGAAAGCTATTGATGTTAGAAGTGGTCACGTAAAATTCTGTATTTGCACATGTTAATATATAAAGCACCAGGACTGAGTTTTATTGAAAAGAATCTTAATACCTATTGCATTTGTCCAGTTGATATATGTTTCCAGCTTGTGCATGAAATTTTCCAGCAGCTTAGTATAATTTATTATAGACTCTGCTCCCACATTTGACACTGGCCCTATTTAAAATGTTGGAAACATTACTTAAGGTGTTTTTTACAAAATTATGGTGTTAACACAGCTTTTGTTATGAAAAATATCAATATTTTGGATTAGCTATGTGCTCAAGTTTCTATATTTATAATGGATAGCATATTTTTTCCCTATACTATGGATGCTGAATTGTATTTTGAATATGAGGTGTAAATTCAGAGCAACCTTTTAGTTGAATGTTTCAAATACTTAAACTTTCAATCCTAACTCAAGAAGCATTGAGGGGTGCAAAATACTCCAGTATTTTAACACTGTAAATAACTGGTACATGAATTATGTGGTACATGAACTACAGATATTCTTGGACAAGCCAAAATAAAAACTTTTTTGGGTTTTTATTATGTGCGGCATCATGCGAGGTGTAAAGTATATGCAAACTCTGCAATCAAACGTTAATGCTTTGCTGGTAGCTTTGAATGCTTTCTCTGATTATAAAATGAAGAGATTACAAATATCTCTAACAGATGGTTATTCAAATGCTTCTATTTGTTGATGAAAGGGAAGTTGAAAATGTTTCATTTCAATTTCCTAGTTCTTAGGAAAGCTATTTTATAGCATGAGGTCTTCTTTTAGTACTAGATTTGCTAAAAAATTGTCTTTTCACGAATATAGATCTTAAGAGCAATTAAACAGGGTTGATTCAAGAAAGTATTTGAGAACATGTATACAAGCATTCTGGATTTTAGAGATGGTGTAAGGGAACTACTGCATATTTTAAGTGTCTTTTGCGGAATTAGAGCAAGAATGAGGGGTTCGGGTTGCTTTGGGGTTAAGTGTTTCATTAAAAGCTTGCTATTAAATAATTTTCCTTCACTCCTCTCTATTTATTTGAAAGTCTTAGTAATCTTTTTTCTTTTCCTAGTCTTTCCCATTCCAATATTTCATAATTATTTTTTACAAGGATTTAGCTACTGACATTCTTGACTCTGAGATATGCTGTAAGACTTGTTGCAAGAATCCATGAAGGGCAGTGGAAGGATTCTCACTGAATTTGATGGGTCTAGACATAAAGTTCTACTCTCTAAACTCTCTTTAACTCCTCTCTTTCTGGTCAACCAGATTTTTACTTTGCATGCTCATAATGATTGCCCATCCATTGCAGTGGAATCCTGAGATCATCTGAGTTCAAATGTCCATCAGCTAACTAACTGTACTTGCTGTGTAGGAATTGATCTAGTGACACTGTGGGGGACAGAAGACATCTCGATTATTTTGTCTTACATGGCTAAAGAAAGAACTGGAAGGTGCCTGGGGCGTGCCAGTCTTTGACAGATACACCGTGGTACTTCACATTTTTCGCTGCAATGCCCGGACAAAAGAAGCAAAACTGCAGATAGCACTGGCTGAAATTCCACTTCTCAGGTACCTCGGGCTGTGCAAGTCACATACTCCTATCTACATGTTTTAGTGACTATTTCTTTACAGTAACAAAACCTAGCAATATTTACTGTACAGAAAAAAATACATAGGGTGTTCAATGATTGATGATAGCACAGAATTATTTACTATAATGTCATTATTTTAAGCTTCTGCAGTGCTGACAGGCAAAACCAGAATGTGTTCAATAATTTTACAAAATGTATTTTTCATTAAAAGGTCCTGGTTCTTTCTAAGACACAAGATGGATTGCAAGAGTATGTAGGAATTGGATATGTGTATCCCATATATAAAATTGTTGAGTTTAATAAAGAAAGCTATAAACAAGGAAGATTAATTTGTATTTAAATTTTCCATATTTCTGTGTTGTGACATAGAAATGCGTACATGGCAGTTGGTGTGAGTTATGTGAATGTTTTTGAGGTATATTTGGCTCTCTGAAATTTCAGAGTAGCAATTATAATTTACCAAGAGAGTTGTATGCTTTTTCAAGCTACAGTTGAGCCAGAACAATCTGGGTTTTTTCCTCCAGGCTTCTTGTCATGAGCAGGTTTTATTTACAAGTCAATCATTTAGTGCTTTTATATGTGCTATCAGAATAACACTACTGCTTCACAATTTTTAGGTATTTAGGTATAACTGGATTTTAAAAATTGTTTCTAATTAACTGTTACTCTGCTGCCAGGTCAAATCTGAAAAATGAGCTGTCTCAGCGAGATCAGCAGAGAGGTGGTTCAAGATACATCATGGGCTCAGGTAAAGTCTAAATATTCTCATGATTTAGAAGATTTTTTTTCTCCATGGCTTTTAAACAAACTTAGTTGCATCTTATTTTATTTGGGGGAGGTCAGGAGGAAAAACAGTGTTCTGCATCTAATTAAACAAATGTACAAAAATCTATTGGAAAGTAAGTTAAATGATAAGGTTTGGGTCTGTAAGTGGTGAAGGATAAACTATTTGCTGCCACAGGGGTTTTTCATAAGCGTACATGGGTATTTTAGAGTGGTTAACATATGTTTTATAATTACTTATTCACTTTTTTAGGCAAGAATACATAGGCTTAGTGGCTTATTTTTAACTTCAGAAGCCCTAGTGCTAACTCACTTGATTTCCAAATACATCGCTTGCTTTACAGGTTCTCTTGTAAACTATTCTACCAATTAAACATTTGTATTTTTCAGGTGAAACATTTCTAGAAACACAGAATCGTGTCTTAAAAGAAAGGGAACTTAAAATTAGGAATGCCCTGGAGAAACTAAGGAGAAAAAGAGCTTTACTTAGAGCTCAGCGCAGAAAATGTGAGTTCCCAATGGTCTCAGTAATGGGCTATACCAACTCTGGTAAGCAAAACCTCCTGAAATCATAACACAAAAGAGCATATATTGTCTAATTTTTAATTAGAAACTCTAGCCAGATTCTCATTTGTGTGTGTATAGGCTTTGTATTTTAATTCATTTTTTTAATTGTGTAATGAATATTTGTCAGTTAGGATGTAGTTAGGAAAGCAAATTAAGCTCCTTGTTTTTTTCAGTCTCCAAGACATGTTTTGAAGTAATGCCTAGCACCTATTGTGCCAAAAAGATTTTCTATACAGTGCTGAAGACTGTAATGTTAATGTCCCTTTATGTCAATCTCTACTACTTGATCAGAATGGATACAGAAAAGAACACGGGTGTTTAGATCACCATGAAGAGTTGAGGCATAGGAAGACAATTAGGAAGGCTGTTGATCTGAGAAACCTGCTTAAGGAACACTGTAGCTTTTCATGGATTATCTGTAGCACATTGAGATGTGTTCCTGGAAGAATCTAAATATAGCTAAAGGGTTTTTTCCTGGTTTTTTTTGTTTGGTTTTTAGTTTACACAAGTGAATTGTTACTCAAGGCATAAATAGACTTTGGACTAGACACTTTTTTCAGGTTGGATTATCTTAAGACAATTTCATTTTCTTATTTAATCTCTTTAAAAAAACAAACCTGTCTTGCACTGATTTTGTTATGACTTGAGCACTCAAAGATTTGGATTATAGTGGTTTTTCTTAAATGTCATACTTCCACATTTTCCCAACTGAAGATAGATATAGATATAAAATAGCTTGGCATACACATAATTGAAATACTTTAATTAGGCTATATACTGAGCACTTTAATGACTAATTATGTGAAATACTCATTGAGTAAAATAAATGTCTGTAGTATTATGTTCATGAGGAAATGCCCAATAAAGGCCTCAGCCTAATAAGGTATGTATTATTAGCACTTCTCTTTATTTATTTTATTTTTTTATTTAGCAAGTAAATTATTTCATTTGATAACAGAAGCACTGAGGAGTGTGTAAGTGCATGCTTCCTAATGCTGTCATGGCAGTGCTCTTCAGAGAGTCTTACAGGTGAGAGATGTAGGTAGGTCACTTTGCAGGTCGAATGAGTCTTTGATTATCTTGTGATTTCACAGCACATCTGTAGATACCAGTATGTGATTACATACATGACCTTAAACCCTATTTCAAGTTATAAAATGTAAGACTGTCTTTGGATTTCCTAACATCATATAGGTAACTGATCACAAGCTACAATTAAAGAACTCAAACAGATGTAAAAATATATGTTACATTATACGTTTCACTTGACCCTTGCAAATTAAATGTTACTTGCAAGAAGCCAATAAAATATTATCTTTTTTTATTTAATTAGGAAAAACTACTTTGATCAAAGCCTTGACTGGAGAAGCAGGACTTCAACCCAGGGATCAGCTGTTTGCCACTCTGGATATTACAGCCCATGCTGGCTATCTGCCCTCACATATGGCAGTTATTTATGTTGACACCATTGGGTTTCTGACTGATCTTCCACATAACCTGGTTGAGTCATTTTCAGCTACACTAGAAGAAGTGGCTTACTCAGTAAGTAGTCACCTATAAAAATTGAGACATCAAATTAATTTCCTTTTAGGTAATGCTCACCCCTTCAAAACAGGGGAAGTTAATTGGCATCCTGTTCTTAGCAAAGTATCTGGCTGCCTATAGTATACTCCTGAAATAATGATGTAAATATTTTAAACTAATTTTCTGATACTTTATTTATGCAGAAAATACAGCTATGAAGGAATTTCAGAAAGAGATTATTTGGAGTATATGTGTCCATCTCCATGATACTTAAACCAGATAAACCAGATTTTTCTGATAAAATATCTGAACAGTGCATCCAAGTGAGTCAAGGTTAGCTTTCCTGGGAGTTAAAAATGAAATAAAGCATCTGAAATTGCCTGGTTTTAACCTAAGGTTTCCTGTAGAACTAGAAGTGGGTGATTGTGATGTGATGCAGGCAGCATGTAATAAATATAAATGTACTTTAGCAGTTATTTTCTCATTAAAGTTGTTTTCCTGTGCTATAACAAAGTGTAAAGCTGCATACATACACGCAGACATTTAAACAAAAACCCTGTATTATGAAAGGTAATGAAATTCAGTGGTAGCTAGATACCAAAATGCTGCTAAAGATTAGATTTAACCATGTAATAGCAGGGCTTTCAAAAGCTGGCTGAAACCATCCTGTTTGTCACTTCTAATTATTTTTCAAATGTTTAAAGTAATGTCTTGATCAAAGATGATAAAACAATTTGAATGCAAATGTTGAGTTTGGTCCTTGATTTTTATCATGGCAAACATATATATACTTGAAACTGGTAAATTTTGTATAAAGCTTTTTAGTGAAGCATCAGTAATAGTATCCTGGGAGCTAAGCATAAGGATAATATTCTATATTTTGAATGTAAAAATAGAATTAGAAGTTAAATTGAGTTTTTTTACCCTCTGTTTTTGAAACAGTTTTGCAGTCATTACTCTTCTGAAACCTTTTTTCAGGAGATAGCTCTTTTTGGTAATCTCCAGTGGTTTTGAAGACTTATTGTTTCAAAGCTTTGGCTTTGAAGAAGATATATCAGTTATTATTCGAAATCTGGTTCTGTAACTAGCTTGACTGACAACATTTGCTTCAGGTGTGTGGGAGGCAATTTGTACTCACTAGAGGTGGAAGACTAAGCTGCTGCAGATTTTCTTCCATCACGGTCTAAGAAAGAGTAGTTTAATACTGTTTTAGTAGTTAATTTTACAGTGCTAATCTGCCAGTGTATTACCAAATGGATAGGAAGGTATTTTACAAACATTAGCAATGCAAAAATGGTATACAGTCTCTACAGCCTGGTAACTGGTGTTGTATATTGATCTTTGCTAGGATCTGATAGTTCATGTGAGGGATATTACTCATCCAGAAACCATCCTCCAGAAAGCAACTGTTCTGTCAGTTCTGAGGAATCTCAATCTTCCTAGCCATTTACTGGACTCAATAGTAGAAGTTCATAACAAAGTGGATTTGACAGAAAGGTAAGCAAGAGATGCTAAGTGTACTTAAACATTTCTTATGTTCTGGAATCTTTTTAATTCTTAGTGTAGAAAAGAGATCCCACACTTCAGAATATATTTAATAGTGTTTCTCAGTCTTTTACATATGTAACTATGGTCTGAAAAAGAATTAATTATCTCTTAATTACAAAAGAAATCACTTGAGTCATACAAGAAGTGGCCTCTGTAGAAGGTGTCAGTACAAAGTAACTCAGTTAAATTGTCCGTGCTTGGAATATTCTCACAACCTAATCTTTATGAAGAAATGTGCTAGCAATTAATTTTCTTTCAGGTATAAACCCACTGAAGACAATGCTTTAGCTGTTTCTGCTCTGCATGGATATGGTTTAGAGGAACTGAAACAAGAAATAGAGAAAAAAATACTGACAGCAACAGGGAAGAAGATTCTAACAGTTAATATCAACTTAGAGGGACCTCAGCTAAGGTAAATAATTTTGAATCATGTGAAGGACTTGGAGAAATATGAAACACTTAATCATTCATGTCTGAAGCTTTTCAAATCATATCATATTGATTTTAATCTGCTACCTCTGTTAAGAATAACAGAGATAATTATCAATTTTTTTATGACCTATTGATAAAAATAGCCCCATTAGAGAAGTGAAGCGAAGCATTTAATCTTTTAAAGTGTTACCTAGATAGGAACCTTCTGACCTAGAGAAACGATCACATTTTGTGCAATATGTCATACTTTTAAGATGCTAATATGCTTTTACATTTACAGTTGGCTCTATAAAGAAGCAACAGTTCAGGAAGTAGAGGTCATGCCTGAAGACGGCAAAGCCAGGGTGAAGGTGATAATCGGCAGTTCTGCTTTTGGCAGATACAAAAACCTCTTTCCCAACAGTGAGATTTTCATCTCATGAAACTGCATCCTGTTCTAGGAGAAGAAACTGATCTCCTCAAGAGGATGTGAAATGAAGTGAATGACCTGTTAAGTCTCACTGCTGAATAGTTTATTTTTCTTCCCTACTTGATGTTTTTGGCGCATTTTAGAAATGGGTGCTGTTTCAGAAAACTTCTGTATGGAAACAATAAGAGCTTTGAGCTTAATTTTGTCAGCAAGTACCAGGACAGCACTAATTTTTTTATGTTAAACCTATTGCTGGCTATAAGCTGCGGACCTCAAATGCATGGAATGGCATCTGAGTTAACCTTCAGAAAAGTACCAAATTTCTTATTTCACATAAATAAAACTTTCTATTGCCCTTTTCAGAAGAAAATAGTATTTAATATAGGTGTTTCAGATGGTCTTTGGAAATTGAAACTTAGTGAAGAAAATATTGTTGGTTATATATAAATAGTGAAGATAAATATGTGTTCAAGCAGAATGCATGACTGTAAGTAAAATAACTGCAATGTCTTATTGCAGTGAAGGAAAAAAAAAATCAATTAAGGTATTAAATAAAGTTAACTGTGAACATCTTTTACCCATACAGTTTTCTTGCCTACAGTAATTTATCCACAAAACTAATTACTATGTCAGTTCTTGGAGAACACAATTAAGGTACAGCAAAACTTTTCACAGAGGAAAACAAAAGGAAAAAAACCCACAACCACAACAAATCCATTTCTTAAGTTATTAATTACTACTAAGAACCTGTAAAACAATATCACAGAAAGGATAACAAAACTATTTCACTCCATATTACAGAGAGAGATGAAGTTTTATTAAGAATAACAAGGACACAAAAGAGGGCACAAAAGATAGGCAGAAAAACTTCTGCAAACATTAGCAGACATCTGAATTTAGTGTTTGTATATAAAGTGCATCTAAAAAGTGAGGTATATGGATGAAGTTGCATAGTGAACTTTACACAATAATTGATTTTATTTTAGTCCTGATGCTTGACATTTCTCTTGCCTTCATGACGATCTGTTATTACACAGTTCATTTAGAAAAACAGAATTAGTATGTGATGGGAACTAGCATAAACCTCTTAGTTTTGACATACACAAAAACTACTTAGTGAGAGGAAAAGTAATTACAGAGCTACTAAAATAGCTAAATAAAAGACCAGGTGTGAAACCCCCAAATGAGCATGATAGAAGCCAAGAATCTGTATTTCTAGGGCAGTTCAAGTTAAGATCAGGAATTTGTTTCCTCTTGTTTATTTTCATTGTAAGGCATACTTAGTCAACACCTAGTAAAATGTTTAACTACCACAGACAAACTGTGTAAGGGCCTCGTTTTGGTGTCTTTATCCCTGCAGAACTGGCATGACTAAGTGCAAATTCAATTACCTCTTAAAAATTCCAAATAATTTTGGAGCTACCATGTTCTTAAGGTAGCTCACAACTGATACTCAGCACATTGGTATGTATATAAAAATAATTTCAAACTTGATTGTCAGTGCAGCATCTTTGATATATCAAAAATATTTTTAATTGTTCCTTTTGTTTATTTAACAGAAACTATGAAAACCAGCAAGTCAATTTCAGACTGATATAAAAGAGTAAGAATTTGGGTTGCAAGTAGTGCAGAATATCCTTACAATTGTCAGAATGAGAACATCTTACCACTAAATCATGCAACTACTAACATTTTCCTCCTTCTTAGTCCTATGTAAAATAAGATTGAGTTCTTGGGACTTTCAGTAATGACAGCTGCTACAGAATCAAAGCATCTCCAAAAAAAAATTACACCTATGCCATAGTTCTCTAGAGACTTCAGCAAGGTACCTGCCCTCTTTTCTGTCCAAAGGCCTCAAAACCCTGATGATGGTGAGACCTTTTCCTACTAAGCCTTGAAAGCATTTCTGGTTTTAGTTAATTGGACCTTTATGGGATTCAGGATGTTTACAGCAGGGCACAATAAATGCAGACAAAGCCTTTTTTACTTTTCACAGATTAAGAAGCTGAGAATTAAATGTTATTTGTTCCAGTTCACTTTGACAATGCAATGGAGGATTAATTTTTGTGTTAAGTTCTATCACATCTTTGACAAAATCATTGTTTCCTATAAAGTCTCCAGCAATGATGTTAATACATTTTTTTTTTGGTCCTGGATACTGCTGCTTTATCCATATTTTCAAACATGGAAGACTCTGGAGTGTCATTTTCTTCAATGAACTGAATGGGTGTACAAGAATATACCTTAAATTTTCAGTAAGGTTAATCCCTGCCACAAAGAATTTTCCTGAAACAAAAACCAGAAAGTGACACATTAAATACTCTTTTGAGGAGAAGAGAAACTTTTCAGTATTGTATTACCTTCACATCTTATTCCATTGGGGATCATTAAAATACTAATTTCACACTCTTTCTGTATTGTTTCATGTCCCTACAACTGTTTCCCCTTGTTGCAGCTGCAATTGTAGTAAACAATTCCTGAGCTACGCTCGGTTATCCAAACTTTCCAGTGTAGCTAAATTTGTCTAGTTAATCATTGCAGTCTAAAAGTTCTCCACTGACTAGTCCTCCTCTGTAAATTACTCCTCTGTTTGTTTCTGTGAGGGTTGCTTCCAACGCTTGGCCTTCCCACAGTGGATGGGAGCACAGGGTGTACCCTTTGGCTGGGGAGTGCGCTTCTGAAACGTCTCCCTTGTCACCACCCTGTGCCTTCACTTCAAACGTGTGCCAGGGGTTCTGAACTGAACCTCTGTCAGATTACACTACACCAGCATGCTTGAGTGCTGCTGTGCAATGTGCAGCTACACCCTTCTCGTACTGCTCTTATATCACATTAAGGTTGGACAAGGCCTCCAAGATCATCAAGTCCAACATCTGACCAAACACCAGACAACTAAGTGCCACATCCCATTGTTTCTTGAACACCTCCAGGGATAGTGATTCCACCACCTCCCTAGGCAGCTTATTCCAATGCTTAACCACCCTTTCAGTGAAGAAATTCTTGATTTCCAGCCTCAGCATTCCCTCTTCTGGTTGCCTGCGGGAAGAGGCCAATATCCACCTTGCTACAGCCTCCTTTCAAGTAGCTGTAGAGAGTGATAAGGTCTCCCCTGAGAGAAACCTTGTAGGGGCTTCCTTTAACAACAAGGCTAGTGGAATGTACTTCTCTCACCATCTCTGCTGCCTAAAGTGACAAGGACTGAAGAAGCAGCCTCCTGCCCATGAGGTGGGCACAACTGGGCCAGCGAGCGGGTCTGCACTAAGGGCTCCCTTTCTGTGGGTCACACGAGCAAGGTGGCCACCACAATCTCTGTAGTCTGTGCGTGCGTGTACACTGACAGCATCCACACCGCCAAGGACAGCGTTACACTCGCCCAGGGGCGGGCAGGGCACTCAGCAGCCATGGGCACACAGCACACACTGAGTGGTTATATCCCGTAAGGCAACAATTGCCCAGCTTCCTACTTGGTTTGCATTGCTGTAAGTGCCCCTTCTCTCCTCCAAGTGAACTCCCTGTGCCTACCTGGCCGGCCCATGCGCTTCATGCGCTCCAAATACCGGATAAGAGCACGAGTGGACGTTTTGTTTCCCCACCAGTATGGGATGGGGGGCCACAGCTCACAGTGCTTCCCCAGCTCCACCTCCTCTTCGTATGAGACTATAACCTGATGGCCGAGGTGCCACATGGTCCGCAGCGTTGGCACCACCTAAAAGGAAGCATGCCCACATTGAAGTCAGCAACACAGCAGTGTTCCCAAAGTCCAAATACTGATGTGTGACATCACCTTGGCACAGATTCAGTTCAGATAAAACTTTTAAATGAGCAGCCCAGTAGGTGATGGGCTGGTTTACAAGCTGCAGAGCAATAGGATTCTAGGAGCTTCAGTAAATTCCTCCCTTCCTCAAATAATACAACTGTGATAATGTATGTAACTCAAGGTCTTACACCTGCACAATAGGAAACCATGCACATTTCACTGCTGAAAATTTCTTAGGGGAGGAAGATAGAGACCATCTGCTGCAGGAATGCAGAGAGAGAGAGAAAGGAGGAATCACTTTGGCAGATTCTGCACATTGATGCAAATTTAGCACAGTAACCTCCAAAGAAAACTGAACTGCTTAAAACTTGGTAAGACTAAATGTGAGTCACCAAGAGCTGCATCAATTCTCATTTCTCTAAGTGGAAAGTTTATGAAAATTGGGATGCTCCAGACATTTTTAATTGAGAGAGAAGAAGACCTGAGTCAGACATATTCTCTATCAGAGAACAGATGGGCTAAAACAGCTGTTAAATTTAGGTGTCTCAATATGAAATTACATTTTCCAACCTCAGAAGTTACCCTTGGAGAGAAATGATGCCCTCTGACTAGTTTTATTTGCAAAACCAACATATTTAATGGGCATTGCTTTTTCTGAGAATGTTGTGGTTAAAAACTACATTTGCTGCTTGCGAAAAAGAAATGGTGGCTTTTTGATGTTCCTGTTAAGTTATTAACTTAAATAAAAGCCAAAGGCACTTGAAAATTAATAATGTAAATATTTGAAGAAAGCTAAGAGTTTAATTAATCCCTCTCAGTTCATCCACAAAGAGAGAATGCAAGCTTCCATTAGGTCGGTAAATATTGCAAAATTAAGGCATGAGCTTCTTAAGCTACAAAATTCTGTGGTTGACTGAAGCCTTTGCTTTACTTCAGCTGTCTTTCTAAAGCTGGAACTTCTTAAACAAACAAGCAAAGATGTGCAATAAAAGCAAAAAAAAGAAATAGCTACCAGAGATGTGTATATGAACACAGGTGCTTATTTTTCAAACAAAGCAGAAATGAAAGTCTAACAAGGGATTTTTAAACCCTAGTAATCCAGATCAAAGGAAGACACCTCGAATAGTTAAGACAATTAAAATTTTAAATGCAGTGTAATATTGTCACGCTGTGGCCTGTGCCAGTACTACATACAGACCTTGCCTGATCAGCTGCTTCACTTTGACGCTTAATTCTGTATGACAACAGAGATGCAGTCTTGAAAGGCAGTAGGTAGCAGTTTATTTTTGAATGAGTCAGCAAGCACTTGGATATTTGATGGCAAATCTAAATCTGTGATCCTGAAAAATCCCACAGATGCCTAATGTGCAATGGTACCACTAGCAAAAATGGTGAGATCCATTGTGCTGCTCACAAACCCCATAGATATAAAGTTTTCCTACTCAAGGGAAGTACTTGGTTTGTCTTTTCTCCAGTTCTCTTCCTCCATCCTCCTGGACACAACTCAGAAATGTTGTTTCTTCCATGAAGTGATCTCAGACCATTCTTTCAATACTTTCATTCATCAAATTGTCATCAGTAACTTGCCCCTTTTGCAGTACCTTTCTCCTTTTTAAGAGCTGGCCATGTGTCTGAAAGCAAATATGACCACCTTCTCCAGTATCTCTGCTCATCCACAACTTAACACGCTCAAGTAATTTGGGGAAACAATAGACCAGTGTCACTCAGGTCTTCAGTTATTCAGCCGAGGCCTGAATATTCAGAATCCCCTAGTTTTGCTGAGAATTGTTCTATTTTAACTCTGCTGTACAAATTGCTTTGAAGTGGTAATATTCGCATGTTACTGATACACCAGCTTCAAAGGCTGAATTTGAATCATGAACAGGGTCATCATTCTCCTGTACCACTCAGCTCTCCAGAGAAAACCCTCTGTTCCTCTTCATCTTTGAAATGTTAATTGTTTAACTACTAAAATCTCCCACACCTTTTAAAAAACAGAGAGAGCTATAAGTCTCAACTTCGAAAATTTAGCAATCGAATATTTTCTCATTATTTAAATTAAGGCTTTTCTGGAGGTATGGGTAACTGTAAGACTGGTTAGGAGGTCAGCACCTGGAAAGTCAATGCCACCAGAAATTCACTGAGGGCAGAGGGACCTCAACAAGTTGACAGAAACCTCATGAAGCTCAACAAAAGCAAATGCACAGTCCTAAACAGATTAACCCCACACACCAGAACAGACTGATGGAAGCTGGCAAGGTTATGCTTTGCAGAAAAGGACCTAAAGATTCTTGTAGACATCAAGCTGCATATGAGCCAGTAGCGCTCAACTGGCAAAGGGTAACTGTGAACTGGGCTTTATAAGCAAAGGCAGAGACAGCAAACGAAGAAAAGGGGATCTTTCCTTCTATTCAGCAGTTGTGGGATTGCAACTCAAGCTGGGGCTTCCCCAGTACAAAGAAATCACTGACAAGCTGGAGTGAATCCAGCAGCACACGAGTGAGTGAAACCAGAGCGAGCAGAGGCTGGAGCAGAGGCTGGAGCATGACACACAAGGACAGGCTGAGGGAGCTGAGTCTGTCCAGCATGAAAAGAGAAGACTGGACAGTTTTACTGCCATCTGCAAATATGCAATGGGAAAATGTAGAGAAGACTCCTCCGATATGCACAGCAAAGGATGGAAGTCAGCAGACACAAGAGAGATTCTGATCAGATAGAGAAGGAAAACACAGTTACTGGGAGAGTGGTCAAATTTTGCATAGAAAGGTTGTGGAATCTCCATCCTTGGAGATAATCAAGAATGAACAGGGCACAGCCCATCGTAACTTGGAAGCTGGTCCTACTTTGCATGGTGGTGTTGGACCAGATGACCTTCAGAGGTCACTTCCAATCTAAACTGTTTTAAATAGAAAAAAATTAATTTAAAAATTTATTCATAATTATTGCTGTGAAAAGGCAGAAAACTGATTCTTTAGATTCTATAAATATAGAAGATGCACAACTTTTATCTTCCTTTCTTTTTTTCTTTCATTTTCCTCTCTTTTCTCTCTTCTTTCCCCTTTCCTTTCCAAGAAAACTCAGACAGGACAATGGATGAAAGTTGTCTCTACTATTGTCCCACAACTCAACAGACATAACAGTCAAATTTAATTCCCTCCTCCACACTGTGGAATGTAGGTTTGCTTTATCTCCTCAGTTCTATTAGGTAATGACCTATCTCTGATGCAGCAAAAAGTACCTTTCTGAGGTTAAAAACATGGTGAAAATAGAATATATCTAAAAATTTGCAATCAAAGATCTCACTGTGGTATGTCATTCTTTTAAAATGAGAAAAAAAGGATTTCATACTTACATTTCTAGGACACAGTTTACACTGGAAAATCTCTTTTATACAGGCAACAAGGTGATTATGAAGTCTTTTGGTTAATCCATCAAAATTCCTGCAGGCTATGATAACAACTTCCTGAGGATGAGTTTCTAACCACCTCAATATTTCCCTCAGAATATCCTACAGGAAAGAGATATGGCAGCTTAGAAAGTTATCTGTGCTATGCAGGGGAAAGGACATACAATCAACAGAGCAGTGATGGTGGAGCAGACTCACAATCACAATAATGAAAAACTGTGTTTTCTCAAAAAACAACAAAAAAAATCAGTTTCTGTAATTATATAGGGCTTTTAATGCCTTCTTCCCTTTAACAACTTCTCTCCTTTCCCTGTTTTCCATACACAGGGAAACAGGAATGCCCTGTGTTTCATCCTGGGACAACACATGATAAACCTCAGAACATCAGGCATGTGGTAGGGGATAGGCAGTGGAGAGCAGGCACAAAGAGTCTGGTTTGAGGATGAAGAAAAGATTGATGCTCCAGTATCACGTGCAGGTGCTGAAACTACCTTCCAGCCCTGCTGGCTTTCTCTAGTTTGAAGTCCTCACAAAAGAAAAACTAATAATCTACTCAGAAGACCTTGAGCCAGCATTTCTGTATTATGATGGCCCTTAAATGAAAAAAATGGCACTGGCTCTATAGCCATCACAGAGGTAAGGAAAATACCTGAACAGTAACAGTTGTGTAAACCATATGCACGAAGTACAAATTCATAGAAGGATCATTAGCCTTGTGGGCAATCCTGAAATCCAGATATCTAACTCCAGCCTCAAGCTGCTCCGTCACAGTCAGGACCTGAAAGGTGAAACAGAAGACAAAGGTCCTGAGAGCTTGAAAGATATTTGTTTCTTTAGTTTAGAAATCTAAAAGAGGGGTACAAAGTTAGCCCTATGGCATTTTTCACACGTCTTTCCTCTTTAAAATGTCACTGTATGGCACCAAATTGCAACTTGGAAGTATTTTGCTCTCTGACAAGAGGGATTCCAATTTCCCTGCAGCATAAACTGCAAGTTCAGATTAGATTAGTTTCAGACAGTTGCCCTTGTCATGTTCTGAAAGTTAAAGATCAATTAACCTGTGCATAAATACATGATTGCTCTTCACACAACTATTCATTTAAAAAAACAATTGCAGGATCAGCAAGTTAGAAATGCTGTATTTATCTTATTAGATCAAAGACTTTACTATGGTCGTCTCTGCGGACCTCACATATCCTCAACAGAAGGAAAAACAAAAATAGAAAAAACTACTGGCTATTATTCTTTTTCAAGTTATAGTTTCTTATGAAGTTTGAATTAACCTGTAGAAGTCCTACAAAACAGAGGCACTCCTCTAGATCCACTTCCCTCAGAGCACTTCCATTGGATTTGAGGGCTGAATAGAACAGGTGATAAAGCTGCTTCTGAGGCATGAAGTTCCAAATGATATGTCTTTTCCTTATATCAAGACTCTCTTAGCAAAAGAAAGTAGAATCAATTTAATTAAATATGTTCAAACATTAGTTCATCTTAGTTCAGCCTCCTAGAGATAAAAATTTATGTTGCAGAAACCATACATGATACTGATTTCAGTTAGAAAGGATTCAGTGAAAGCTAAATCAGTACAAGGCATTGCTCTTGAATATCCAAATTCATAGCTTTAGCACTGTGGCAGAGCTTAAGGCACATGGCAGGATGCTCACCTTGCTTAGTTTAACCCCCTAACTTCCTGTTCTTTGGATATGAATTTAGCTTCCCCAGGCTGTGCCCGAGGGGCTGGGCTGGAACAGTCCAGCCCCACATGCCCCGGGTTCCAGGGGGTGCAGTGGGTCTGGCCAACAGCTCCTCCTGGGCCTGCTTGGTCTCCACCAGGCTGAAGCAGTCAAAGGGATGATCCACACCCCTTTGCTTGGAGTTTGTTGGAGATGGGAGTATACATGGCTGCAGGTCATTTATAACCTCTGTGGCCAGAAAAAACACCAAATGAAATTGCTGTTCTGAACTGCCCTTCAGATTAATTCGTTTCTTATCTGTTGGCCTCACAGGAAAATGAGACAAATTAGACTCTCTAATTAGTGACCTGGGTTTGGATACTGAATTAGGCAGTGTGAACATTGCCCCATAAAGGGCAAAATTCTAAAAGAAGCCCTGAGGAGCAATGCTGCTCAGTGCTTCAGTCTCACACCAGGCATCCAGGGCATGACTGGAAGTTACATGGCCATTACAGAGGAAACATTTGGCCCTCTAGACTGACAGCCATAACAACTGGGGCTCAAGCAGGCAACTCCCAGGCACTGAGCCATCCAGGAACTTGTGCATCCTACCGCCAGAAGGGCTCCAGGGTGTCTGTTCTGCATTCCAATGGGTGGAGTCATCTCCCCACACTGATAACTGGAGCACAGCAGAGCTAGGAGGGGCAGGATTGTAGATGTACCTCTTCCCTATCAGCACTGGGCCACTTCCTGCATGTCACACTGGGTTTGGACCACGAAATTATTATAATGATGTTAAGAGATTGTTTGTCAACAACACGGTCACTTTGCCAGACAGAAACCCACACATTAGAAGGTTTCTAAATCTTTCATTGGCTAAAGCCCCCCCAAAAAAGCAGCTCAAAATAAACAAGGATCTGTGTTAAGCAAGTGCCCTTCAACATCAGCTCATGATTGCCAGTTCATATTTGATACCTGGTAGTGTCTAAGATTCCAGTTTGCCAGACCTGCTTAAACAAACAAAAGAAACCTTAGCATGCTTATTACATGCTAATTATTCCATTTAATTATCTAATCATTAACTACTCCTTCAATAAGAACAAAAATAGAAAGATTTTTTTGTACCTCTTTGACTTCAGGAAAGTCTATTCTTTGGAGGAATCCTCAAAAGCTGTAGCTTAAATCATGATCTGCAATTTTGTCTTTAACATACATTTATGAGGAACAAAGAGATAGCTACTAGCTTATTATTTGCACATTTTAAAAAGTTAACTAAACCTTATATGATGGACCACACCTTCACTCTCTTAATCTTTATAGGAAAAAAAAATCCCTTCAACAAGGGATTCTTCTGTTTCTGCTGCTGGTGAAACACCAGTGTAGGTGGGGAGAACAACTGACATCTCACAGAACAGTGATAGCAAAAATGACAAGCAAAGTTCATGAACAAAGTTCAAGAGGAAAAAAAAACTCAGTTTTTTTAAATTCATTAATTTTATTCACTAATATTGAATGTTATTGACCACCACAATAAACATGAAAAATGGCTTCTAGTACCAAGTGGTCGGCTTTAAACAACAACTTTAAGTATCATCCTTGCATCCCCTTGCATGCTTTTTCCCCAGAAAATATGATCAGACGTGTATGGCTCCTATCTCATACTCCAAAGTGCTGGATTTAGAAAGAGTAATTTTCCTCATATTTGCTGGAATGGAACTGTGGCTTGGATTTGTATTGGAAACAGCGTTGATTACACAGGGTTGTTTTTGCTGTTGCTGAAAAGTGCTTATATGAAGTCAGGGCCTTTTCTGCCTCTCACCCCACCAGCAAGGAGGCTGGGGGTGCACAAGAAGTTGGGAGAGGACACAGCCAGGACAGCTGATCCTAACTGACCACAGGGATATCCCACATCATAAGGAGTCATGCTCAGCATATCAAGCTAGGGGAAGAAGAGGGGGAATGTTCAGAGTGATGGTGTTTGTCCTGTTAAGACACCGTTACACATCATGGAGCCTGGCTTTCTTGTAGATGACTGAACACCTACATGTCCATGGGAAGTGGTGAATTAATTCCTTATTTTGCTTTACTTGCACATGTGGCTTTTGCTTTACCTATTAAAAGGTCTTTATCTCAACCCACAAGTTCACCATCTTTTACACTTTAATTCCATCCCCTATCTCACCCAGGGGCAGCAAGAAGCAGCAGTGCAGGGCTGAGCTGCTAGCTGGAGTTAAACCACAGCACCCAAGCATAGCATTTCAGGAGAGCACAGATTTCTGGGCAGCAGGCTATACTGTCACTGTACACTCTCAGCCCTGCAGCACAAGCTTCAACTTTGCCAAGGTAAGAAGCGCCAGATGATGGTTACCTGTGTTATAGACCACTTCATGATAATGGGGTGCACAATGCAGGGCAGACATTTGTTTAAAAACTTCACCAGCTTGGACTCATTGCCACTAACAGCAGAGCTTTTATCCAAACAGTAGGTCATAGTGTCGTGACTCCCTGTAGAATACAAAAATGAATGTACAGAAATCTCATTTCTTAACTGCTCAAGACCACATTCCATGGCTATATTTCATGTGCACACCTGATAGGCCACCACATTTGCAAGCCACGAACCTATATTCTCTGATAGTTTCTGTAGTTATGGCAAAAAGGTAGAATTTTCTACAGAGGTTGTTCACGTAACATTAATAAGCTTAGTGTGAAATCCTTGTGAAGGGAAGGCATTGACACTTTTCAGTAAACCATCTAAATTACACATCACTGTTGTTTGCCCCAAACCACAATAAAATGGTCTGTTTCAAATGGTATCTTCCCTCAAAATAATTATCTTGACGTGAAAACATTTTTTTAGTGAAAAAATTCATCTGAAGATTGAATTTATCTAGAAATTGTCCTGTTTTCAGAGTTGTGCAAATGCAGGATTTCATTGTCCAATACCCTCATCTCTGCACGGGAAAATATGACTGAAATAAGAAATTCATCTTCTTACACCTTTGACTGGACCAATATTAACTTGGCACTTTAACTACTTATATCTTAAATATCTAAAAATGTCCTTCTGAACTAAACACCACCTCCCCTACAAAAACAACAAACAAGGTGGGTGCTTGAAGGTTCCTGAGGCAAATCCAAGTCTAAGTTTAAGAGTGAAAGATGAACAAGATCCTCCTTTGATGGACTTGAAAAGTTAACTGACTTTCCAGCACAGGGAATTATGCAGGCATCAGAGCCAGGACCAATCTGCCTAAATATTTTATTTCCTTGGAGTCTTAATAAATCTGACACATCTCTTGCATCATGTTTAGATGTAACTATTGCAACTCACAATTTCATCATGACAGGGAACCAGTGATTTTGCTAGCTTTTCTGTTTCATTATTTCTTCCTGTTTTATAAAGCATCAATAAGAAAAACTAACAACTCTGTGAAGTGACTTGCTTGGATCTTAACAAAGTATGTGCAAAGAATTTGCTTATCATTTTGGGGTTTAAGTCTTCTGTCAAATTAATTGTTCACTGGTGCTAGGAACTGCTTTCTTGAATTGTCAGTCTTACTGGTGCCAGCGATAATATTTCTAGCAAACACAGTAAAAATTATTGGTTTGGAAGTAAAAATTCTTTGGAAATGTCAATAATAGTTTGGTGTCTCAATCAATTTTTTCACCTTCTAAAAGCCATTTTTTATTTATTTTACTGCTTTAAACACCCAAAACACACACTGCAAATGGAAGATCAGTATTGAGGGCAGGCAATAAAAGAAGTATGTGTTAGAAGATGTAAGAGTCAAACTATTAAATATCCATGTCTGAGAGAGATGAGCAGAATTCCACTGATGGGTGTTGCATCTGTGGATGCCAACCAGCAAACAGATAGTAATCTTTTACTCATTAGTCTTGTGTGATGTCATGAGTAACAGTAATGAAAGGAAGATGGGTACATCCATGACACAACATATATGATGCAAAGATAGTAAGCTAGTACCAAGCCAGGTAGCTCCAGACCTTGAATCCACTCCTCCCCAGCAGCACTGTGCTGAATCTGGTGCAAGCACTACACTAATTAATGAGATGTGCCACTGTCTCATCATCAGGCTGTCAGAATCCACTCTGTCATGTTTCTTGCATGCCTTCTATGAGATAAGCTTCCACTTCCAAATTGAGTTTCCTCCCTCTGGAAACCTGCTAGTGCTGTCTTGACCTGGTTGGTCTTGATCTGTTTGTGTTCTAACTTGGGCTAGATCAGCTTTGTAGGTCAGCTGGACAGACACCAAAATATTCCAAGCCAATAGCCTGCAATGCTCTCTAAAAGTCCTCTAATGTTTGCTGAAATGGACATGCCTTCAATTGTTCTTCATGCCTGCTCTCCCAGCAGGCATATTCACAACAAACATTTTCAAGAATAACAAGGTCACCCTTAGGAAGAGAGCCAGGAAGGCAAACAAACCCATCAGCAGGTTCTCCACTTTCTATGACAGCCAAGAAACACCAGATGAAAGTCTTATAGAAACGATATGGCTCCTTTTCCAGCAAAACAAAATCCCACTGAGCATTGAATAATTTTTGCAATAGGAATAAAATACAAAAAAGAGAAGACTATTACCTTCTTTCATCAGTCATAAGACAGATATGTATTTTCTTTTCTCCTCTCTTGATGGTTAAATATATAATGCCTTACATAGGCTTTATCCTAAACAAAGATGTGCTTGCTTTTAAGTTAACATCAATTCAAATTACATTATCTAAGAAGCCACCCTGAAACAATTTTCTGGGTTTCAATCTTAATGGGAACTCCACACTCCATTAGTTCACAACAGACAGGAAAAAACCAAAACACTACAATTCTTGGATTCTCCCAAGGCTCTGCCTGCTGAAGACAAGACTTCACACTATCTCTAAATATATGCCTTTCCTAAAATTAACCTATGATCCTGTGGCCTACATAAAACATTCATCTACACACCGTGCTGCTTTCCCCGCAATCTACCTGTCACATCTGCAGGTGTGAGAGAAAACACAGGCTAGACTTTTCTTTAGTGACATTTTTGATGTGGAGGCAAAGGGAATCACTCAAGAGCTGATGGTCCTTCAGTGCCTCCCCATGTGTCAGTGAAATCACATTATACCATAAATTTTTTGGACAGAATGAGAGGGGAAAAAAATCAAGGCAGCAGAAAGAAGCAATAATAGGACCAAAGAAAGTTAATAATACACAGGTATAATTTAAATGCATTTACACATGACACAATAAATACAGTTTTTATAAGCTGGATCTTGTAGAAAACTAACAGTCTACTTTAATAAAAACATGTTAATTACAAGTCTCATTTCTCCTCTTTCTGCAACTTCACAGCCTCTTTTAGGCAGTACAAAGAACAAAAAATAATGTAAAATATTCATTCTCCCCTCCTGGAAGCATTTCATTATATAGGAAATCACAATATTTAATTAGAGAAATTTTATTATTGCCCCAATAAGTTAATCCTTAGATTATTAATAGTATCTGATAAGATAATGTAAAGTGCTTATTTCTTTTCATTTTTAAAAAAACAATAAAAAATTCCTTTGTTACCCCTCCCCTCTAAGAAACCTCAAACATTACAGACCAACATTATTCACATAACAGCACACAAACCCTCCCCCACACACTGACCCAAATAATAAACATAGCCGTCCTGAAATGGGACAAACAGGATATTCCAATGCTTAAACTGCAAGCTAACAAAACAGTGGAGAACAAAAGCAAATCTTTACCTGGAAGTGCTAAATTATAGAGGGGAATATCCCAGAGCTTCTCTGGTAACCGTGACATCCACTGACCATTTTCATGGCACACATGAACAAAGGTTTGCAAAGGGCCTTCCATTGGTATGTGCTCTGGGACTTCATAGGGTGTTCTGGGAGGAAAAAAGAAAATAAATCCAATAAACAATTCTATATACTGCAGTTGAATTAATGACATTGCACTTGCATAGGAAGAATTTATAGATGTTAAAAAATGCCAGCCCTTCTCTCAAGTAGTTACAGAAAAATGTCAAGAGCTTGTCAGCCACAACATATGCTGCCTTTGATAACACTGTCTCCCAGAACAATGCCAAAGGGTGGATTCCAGCTTCAGGTTTGCAAACTGACCAAGTGAAAGAAAAAACCGAGCCAAGACAAATATACGCCGTTTCATTGGTATGGAGAAATCTCTGTCTGTATTGGCTATTGTGAAATCACAAGGACTACCTCCCTCCAGTGTAGAACTGCATCCATTCCTTTACCCTTTGTAGTCCCAGGAGCACAGCAATGGGACTGATGGCAAGGCTGGGACAAGTCTGCTACCCTCAGGTCCCTACAGAACCCTTACCTTGAAGGATCCAATCAGGTGCCACAGGAGTACCTCTATGAAAAGCTTTTACAAAGATGTCAGGGCACTGGATTTGCAGATCATGCCAGCATCTGGGATCAAAGAGGAAAACTTTCCTCTCCTTATTCCTGCTTTGGAGAACACCAGAGATGTTTTTATAATCCCTACAAGTCCATGATCATAAGTATTTCAGTATTTTCAGTATATCAGTTTGGTCTGACCTTCCTGAAACTACTCTGGAACTGTTCTTCTCTGAGATCTTCTGCAAAATTTGCAGTGGTCATGCAGGAGTGCCAGAGGAGGAAACCCAGATGAGAAATCATGGCATCACCAGGGCCTACTAGAGTTACCCTGTTCAATTTTCATTTTATGATCTCCTGAATTGTGCAGAACACAAAAATAAGCTCTCCATGTTTTGTTGTTGTGTTTTTTTTTTTTTTTCCCTAGGATGTTCCTAGTTCAGGTGGTGGTCTGGGAATTAGAGCCTTCTTTCTTTTCACTGCTTTCAAGGCTTTATTTTTTCACAGCTAGTGTGGGAGTTTCTTCTGGCACGGTGGTGGCACAACGATTACCAATACCAATATCACAGCTTCCTTTTTAATGCTGTTTTTAAAAGCTGCCAATGTAAATGATTCCTTCTTGTCTACTACAGCAATCTCAGTCAGATATGTATTTTTGAGGTTTTGTACTCTGCAAACACCCTCACTGGTCCCTTTTGCTGCATCTTAGCACATTAATTCAAGATTGTTTCTCCTAGGAGGTTGTTAGGTTTTTGTTGTTTTTTTTTTCCTCATATACTGGAGAGCCACTGTGCTTATATGAAGAACATTTCCTTAAACAGGGTGCAATATTTTTTTTTCTTTTGACAGTCACACAGGGTCATCTGAAAGGCAACTTTAGGAATTGCTTTCCAAAGTTTTATGTCCGTACCACACAAAAATATGGAATCTGCTTTTATACCAGCCAATGCACAAAGCATTACCTGCCTAGTCTGCCTTGTTGTGCCTTCAGTGTGTTTTTGAGCTGAAAGAAACATATGGTCTCTATATGCCGTGTCAGCTCTTCTTATTCTTGGAAAAATATTCAGATCTCAGGCAGATCAACTCCTCTGGCTCTGCACTTTAATATGATGAGCTTCTGTTCCCCACAAACTCTTGTTCAGACAAGAGATGTCTGCAGCTCATTTTGTCACCTTTTGCTGTTTCATGCTTCGTCACACTGCACACCACTGCTCACCCACAGCTGCTCTCCTCTGGTCTCTGTACCAAGTAGCATCAGCGTGGACAGGGACTGCAGGTGCTTACAACAGCATTTCTGTTTATAAACACTGGATGGTCTTCTTCTCCAGCTCTGAAGCTGACAGGAACTATGAGGTTGCAACACCCCAGCATATGGTAGCACTTATGCAGGTCCTGTGCAGGTCCTTATGCAGACTAGAGACCTGATTATAAGCATTGCTTTTGCTCTTTTGAGCAGGGAGATTAGCAGCTCCCTTTCCAGAGCTTTTGGGGCTCTCCAATACCCCAAAGCCACCCATGCTCTCCCAGAGCAGGCACCCATCACCCCAGGAACCCAGAGCAAGACCCGCAAGCCCTGCCAGGCAGTCATACCTTGTCCTGGCCCAGGCTCCTTTGCACTGACAGCACCCCCGGGATGCATCCAAGGGTGCAGGTTTGCCTGCTGCCAACTCTCCTGCCATGTGCTCTCACTGCCTTGCTTGGGCTAACACAGACACAGCCTCACAGCTGACAGAAAAAAGCTGGGTTTCTGCCATGCTGGTCCCTTTCTCCAGCTCATCACGGAGACAGGATAGCAGCTGCTGAGGAAGTTCCTGCAGAGCCATCAAGCCCTGCAATTGCCTTTACTGAGCTGTACAAGAGATCTCCTGGCATTGTCCAGACAGAGCCCATGGGCAGCACAGCTGCCATCAATGCCCCAGCCTCTGCAGAACAAGAACACTTCACAAAGAGTGTCCTGCTGGGCCTGAGGAAAGCCAGCAGAGAGCAGAAACAGCAAGACCAAGACACACTGCAGTCCTGCAAGCACAGGACTCACAAGACATGTGAGCAGATCTTGGAAATGACTGATATTGGAGAAATTTATGGAGGACTGTCTCCCATAGGAGGGACCCCATGCTGGAGCAGAAGAGTGTGAGGGGTCCTCCCCCTGAGGAGGAAGGATTAGCAGAGACACTTGATGTACTGACCTCAGCCCCCATTCCACATCCCCCTGTGCCATTGCAGGTAGAGGAAATCAGGAAATCAGAAGTGAAGTTGCACCCTGGAAGAATGGAGGGGTAGGGAGTAGGTGTTCTAAGATTTGCTGGTTATTTCTCATTACCTTTCTCTGATTTCACTAGTAATGAATTCAATATTTTCCTCAAGCTGAGTCCGCTTTGCCTTTTTTTGTGATGATACCTGGTGAGTGATCTCTTGCCCTATGAGCCTGTCGTTACATTTTTCTCTCCTCTTGCTGAGCAGGAAAATAGTAGAGAGACTCTGGTGGGCATTTGGCTTCCATCAGGAACAGCGTATCCTAACTACCCCTGCTTCCCTTGTTCACATCAGCTATCTGACCTTCCCTGGGTGCTCTGCATACAGGCAGCAATTACATTTTGAGGACTTTGCCGGGACACATGCAATAAACAAGCAATACAACACGCAGACGTGTAAAGGCGCTAGAGATGCCCATCCTCCAGCCCCAGGACACCGAGAGCATCGGTTGACTGTCCCTCGCCCGGAGGAGCTGCGCCCCGCCGGCCCCGAGCGCTGGGACGCGGCCAAACCCCGGCCAACGCAGTTCTGGGAGGCAGATGTAATTAAAGAACGATTCATGATGACATCAGTAACACATACGCTGCAGCCGACCCAGAAGCTAAAAAAAAATCCCTCGCGGGAGTTATAGGAAAGCCTGTGAGGAGCAGTGCCCGAGCACCCGGCGAGGAGGGGGCCGCCAGGGACCGGGGCTGCGCTGCCCCCGCCTCCCGCGGCCGGACCCTCCGAGGAGCCGCATCCCTCCATCCCTCCCTCCCTCCCCCGCCGCTGCTTTACTCACTCCGAGGAACGATTCCATTTCCATGCCGGCTCCTCGGGAAGCCGTGCGCACCCCAGCTCGCCCGGGGCCCCGCGCCCAGGCGGGGCGGAGCTGCCCCGCCCGGCTCAGGTGGCCGCAGGTTTGAGGAAGGTGAAGAGCGGGCGGGAGGGATGAAGAAGAGGAGGGGAAGTGGTTCTGGTGGAGTGGCGCTGCCCGGAGCGCACAGCCGCGCTCTGGGCTGATGGGGCATTGCTCCGGGAGGAGCCTGCGGGCAGGGACAGGCGGGGGAAGCGCCAGGTATGCCGTGCTGCTGCTCCGTTTGACATCTGTTAATGCAAGAAGGCTTACAATAAATATTTACATATATATATATATATATATATATATGTATTTAAAGTATCTTACGTTCCTGTCCAGCACAGCTTGTCAGGCCCTCAGATGTGGTGAAATTCACTTATGATGCCACCTGGCAGAAATCTTGGCAAGCTCTTCAAAAGGCTTTTCTGTGTAAAGAGGCAGGAGGTAAATAGATGAGTGAATGGCATGTAGAGGCAAACTTGCAAGTCCTCTGTGCTGTTCTTGAAGCAGGGTGTGTTCTCAGCCTTCTCTGAGAGATGGAGAAAGGATCTCACCTACCCTTAATGTTCCAAAAGTGCACTAAAACACACAGTTCCCTAAGTAAAGAACAGTAAGATGAAATTCCAGCTGAAAGAATGGATAGAGAAGATTAGCTCCCCTTTCTCCACAGGGCATCATTCCTAGAGGCTCATCTACCATGGAACTGTGATCTAAGTGTTCTGGGATCATACTGTAGCCAGGATTAGCAATACTTCAGGTTGCTGCAGTGTTATGCTTCTTAATGCAAGGATGTATTTTCCAGATAGGCCTTTTTAATGAACTCATTTTTGCATGAGGAAGATCAGTGTATACGTACAGACAAAACTTGCTGTGGTACCAATAGTGGCAAGATCAGGTTAACAGTCAGCCAAATGAGTAATTTCCATGGGGGAATCCCAGGACAGCAGGGCTGCCTGGGCTTCAGGGTGATGCTTACATTATATCAGTCCAGGCTTCTGTTTATATATCAGGCCTTACAGAGTATCACAAAAGTAGCTGCCAGTAGATGCAGAATAGATGTGCACCAAGGTGTAGCACTAGGCACAAAGAGGATGAAACACCGAAAGGAATGAATTTAAGCAAAGGAGAAGGTAGGAAAAAAAGACACTCTTTGATGGCTGTGTGGTTTTGCACCACCATGACAGAAAGTAGCTGAGAACAGTTACACAGAAGTATTATTGTGCCCTTTGTGGAATAAAATAAATAGGAAAGTATTTCAATCAGAAAAGACTGGGAGTAAAAATCAAAGTCAACTTTAATTCTTCATTTTCTCAAAAAGTTAAGACTATGAAGGTGTGCCAAAACAACAGGCAGACTCTGGATATCACTATGATGAATACAGTACAGCCAGACATGGTTTCACTCTTGTGAAATTGCTTGGACTAAAAAGCAAAACATGACAATGGAAAGAAAAAAATTAAAAGCTTTTTTGGTGTGGATTTGAAATGAGTAATAGAAAACTCAAAAAGAACCATGAAACTGAAATCCCCCATTTTATTCTGAGGGCCTTAACACAGGACTTTACACCCTAGTAATGTGAAGTGTCTGCTGAGTGATGTGGGTATGATCTTGCAGGTCTCAACTCAACAGAAATACTCTATCAGGCAATCTCTAGCCCTGTCCAAACCCTTCTAATACCTACCCTTTCAAGTCTGATTTTGTGTCTCAGTTCTTTGTTTGCACTGGAATTACTAGAGATGTCAAGACAGTTGCTTTTGGTTTAGTTCTGAGATCACAACCTCTCAGGAGGGATTTAGGAATTCCATAAACCAATGAATGACAGGAAGTTAATCAGCAAATGATTAAAGCCCTGAATAAGCACGTCTTCTGAGGACCAAGTCAAGGCAAGGATTACTTTTAGCAGTATTTGCAGAAATAACGATAAACAAATTTCAAGATAAGGAAGCAGGGACATGAAAAAGCACAAGATTTACCCTCCTCACAAAATAAATGTCTGCATTAAAAATAAGTGACAGACCTCAAAAGACAAAGAACTTAACCGGAAGGAGCTTATCAGTGTTGAAGTATTCAATACTGAAGAGGTTTGAAGTCGGTAGCATCTGAGACAAAACAGGCAGATTCATCAGTGTGGGGACTGATGGAAGTGCAGGTCTGATTTACAGCTGTGGATCAGAGTTAAATTTCTGGTTGGTTTGTCACAGAGGCAGGAGTCATACAGCCTTAAACTGGATTTTGTATATTTAAACACTTTAGCATACCAAAATATGATGTTCTCAGTCTGAGAAAAATCAGTTGATTTGTTTAGATGAATTAGAGGTTTAAGACTTTTTTTTTTTTTTTTTTTTTTTAATGTACGGTATTTGAGATGTTGCATGAGACTTTTGTCTTCCAACACAATTTTTTATTTTCAGATATGAAACATCTTTACTCGATGCTGTAATGTACAGAAATACCACTCAGCATTTGAACAGCTTTAACTGAATTGCCTGGATTTGAGGTGTTTGTTCTGAGGACGTTTGCAACGCCCTGGGCAATGTGTGCATTTGTCCCTGACTTACCGATAAATCCTCTCAACCTTCACCTAATTTCTGACTTCGGAACAAACATGCAGCTTAATATTTCTGAGAGGAGATTGTATATCTAGGGGCAGCAGCCACGATGTTTCCTAAGAGCAGGGGAACCATCGAGGAGGCAGCTTGCAGCACCAGGGAGGTCACTCTGGGTAATAAAAAGACCTGGGAAGAAAAATGCAGCCCAAACCTGCTGAGAGTTTGAAACTGCCTGTCTGTGTTTGCTTCTAGAGTTATGAGAACACAAT